TGTCAAATAAATAAATAAAATCTCTAAAAAAAAAAAAAAAAAACTTGAAATAGCTTTCTGAACCTCCCTGTGAATTTCAAGTGTCATATTTTGGTTATTCAACAGATACTATACAATTCGCTATAGAGAAAAAGATAAGGAAAAAAAATGGGTTTTCCAACTCTGTCCGGCCACCGAAACAATCGTGGAAAATCTAAAACCCAACACGGTTTATGAATTCGGAGTAAAAGACAATGGAGAAGGTGGAATTTGGAGTAAGATTTTCAATCACAAGACTGTTGTTGGCAGTAAGTACCTGGAACTGCTACAGTGAGCTTTCTGTCATTTTTACCCCCCCTTTTTTTTCTAAGTACTGAATTTTTAATTATTTTATTCTTAAGTATGAGATGAGTTAGTTGCCATCCTCTAGTACTTAAAAAAATACAAAAGTGAACAGAATTTGAGTATTGGTATTTCAGAATCTTTTATGTTAATGAATTTTTTTAAACAAACAAAAAAATGATAAGCTGATGTTTGATGCTTCCATTGATAACAGTTCTTTGGCCATTGTAGTATTTTAAGTCAGTCTCAGATCTATGAGCACCAACTGAGTGAAAACAGCAGTAATGTGTGCAGGTGTTCAGAATTGAAAGCAGGGCCAATAGAAGTGAACATAAAAAGACTTCGGGGGGCCTGGGATCTATTCCTGTGACCCCTTCATTCAAACTGCACTGGACTCAGTGTTTGAAATGATAGTGAACAAATAATATGATTAACGTGCTGGACTTAGAACAGGAGTTCCAGTTCTTCATAGTGAATAGGGAGAATTAATTTAGGAGCACAAAGAATGAAAATAATGTTAATTTCCCCTTGTTTCTGTCAGGTAAAAAAGTAAATGGGAAGATCCAAAGCACCTATGACCAACTCCACACAGTGGTAGGTACCAGGTTATTCTCAGGAATGTTTTTATTATTGTTGTTTGTGTTGTTTTTATCAGGAAATCAGTGGGTCTGTTAGGAAGTGCTGAAATGGGATTAACTGACAGGCTCTGGGGCTTGGTGTAAAGTACTTAATGCTTTAGGCATTTGCTTCTTTTTCAGAAAACGGAGGTGGAAGTATGACACCAGATAATCTAATACGTTTAAAGGTCTAAAAGGCTGTTTCCATATCCCAGGTGTTTTGAGGTTATACTCATTATCTACTGGGCAGTGGATTGTTTTTTAGAATAACACTTTGCCAGAGTGAACTTGGACATGCTCTGTTTACATCGGTATTACTCATTTCTGTCCTCGGTCCTCTTCCCTCTATTCTCTCACTTCCTACTTAAAAAAGCCAACCAATCTTTTCAAAACAATGAAGCAGCTGGCTTGGATTATTTTTACTGTGCCTAGCCTCTCTCGAGTTCAGTAAATACCTGCACATCTTATATGCTTGACAATCCCCTCCATCTAGACCCCCCACCTCTCACTACAAAAACTCAGTCCCTTGTTCCCTCTTTCCCCCCACTTGTCAAAATCTCTTCTCAGGAAGCACCATACTAGGTATGTACTTCCTGTTATAAATGTAAACCATTGTTACAACCCTCACAGACATGATTGCATTTTAAGTCACATGCCGAATTATAATGTGAAGGCCATTATGTCCTGAGCAGGTAGAGGAGGCATTAACATTTTGAAAACCTCCTATTATATATGATCAAATTTCTTTCTGGAAAGGTTGTGCCACTTCACAATCTTGCTACCAATGTATTAGAGTTATCTTGCTATAGTGCCCCAATTATCAATGTTCTATATTTCCATCACTAAATTTTCAGCTATTGTAATAGTAAAATGGTTTTTTAAATGTCTATTTCTCAGATTTCTAAAATAGCACTACTTTCTTCACTTGCTTATTAACCATTTGTATTTTCCATTTAATGACCTCTTGGGAGTCTTACGGGTTTTATTGAATAGTTTAGTTCTAAAATTTCTTTATTAGGAGTCTCAAAGGCTTTATTGTATAGTTTAAAGACTATCACTTAAAGAACATCAACTTTTTGTGATATCAACTAGGAACATTATTCTCACATTTGTTACCAATTTTGTTTATGGGAATTTTTGAAATAGGCAAGTCTTATAATTTGTTTAATCAAATTATTTGTCTTTTCCATTGTCATATTTTCAATTGCATTATACTTTGGAAAGCTCTTGCCTATCCAGAGAGCAGACAAATATTTCCTTATTTTGATTTTAGTTTTATAAGTGGTTTGATTTTATGATAATTAAGCTCTATATGAGTTTTATTTTGCTATCTTGCAGTTAGTAAGGCTATATATTGGTTAAGCTCCGAAATTTTTTTGCAATCATTTGGCCAGTACTAAGTATGGACTTGTGTCATTCCTTATTAAGGTCCCTTTGGCTTTGTCTGTCTTAAATCCAATCACAGGGAATAGATTTTCTCTTTCTTCTCTTCTAGAACAATCCTCAGTCATGTTGTAAACGGTTACCTAGGAGACATATCTTATCTCCCACCCTCTTGGCTGGCCTGCTTTGTCTTACATGTGACTCAATGATGTCATTTCTTTCATTTCTTTTTATCAGCAATCATATTCCAATAACATCTTGTGGCAGAATATTTCATCTAGTGAGAGTTACTCAGCAAAATTGGGAAAGATGCTTGATGTTTACTCCCAAGGAACTTAATTTCTTTTTCATATCACAAATAGCCATGATTAGAAGGTCCAGGAGGACACTTTCTGCATCTATGAGCCAGAGCCAGATATTTTATTCCTTCAAGCTGTGAGGCAGAGTACTCCCCAACTCCAGCCAGCTGTGACAAGCTGTGGTTTGAAACTCTTGGCTATTTCCAGAGGAAAACCCAAATTCATTGAAAAGCTATTTTAAGGCTTCTCTGTGAGACTTTCTTCATTGTCGCCTTCTGAAAAGCCATCTGTGCTCTTGGGTAGCTCTGGAGCACAGGAAGTTGAAAAGGAACCAGTTGAGATAGCCTTGAGCATCTTACATGGCCACTTAGAATTGATTCTGAAAACAGATTTGATATTTTAGAGGTATATATTTTAATCCAAATAAAGTCAATATCAATCCAAATATTCAGACAGACATCTCTGAAACTGCTTTTAAAAGCAATATTTTAAGAGATATGAAATAAAGTTACTTTTAAAGTTTTAAGCAAAAGAGACATTGGGAAATGTTTTCATTCACCTGTACATGCTTACACCTAAAATTTCCATGCAACAAAAACTTAGCATCTTCTGGGGCACCTGGGTGGCTCAGTGGGTTAAAGCCTCTGCCTTCCACTCAGGTCATGATCCCAGGGTCAAGGGATTGAACCCCGCATTGGCTCTCTGTTCAGCAGGGAGCCTGCCTCCCCCCCCCACCCCGCCCTGCCTGCCTATCTGCCTACCTCTCTGCCTACTTGTGATCTCTGTCAAATAAATAAATAAAATCTTAAAAAAAAAAAAAATCCTTAACATCTTCTAAACAGAGATATTTGGGAAAAGGTATAAACAATTTGAACTTTAGGTTATCTATTTTTAGATGATAGCTATTTATGTTAAAAATGCAGATGTTAAAGAAGCCCGATCTTAAGCATCTGTTCACATTAAATAAGTAATTCTTGTATCTAACCACGTGTTCTAGTGGCAAGCAGTGGTGCGTTTGCGCTGGGAAGTGTAGCAGAGGTCTCTTCTGATTGGTCGGTGCCTTTGTTCTACCACATGTCGAACACTTTAAGTATCATCCCTACCTACCTATACCTCAGAAAAATAGGGACAAGGTGCATAAACAAAACAGTGATTCTTTCTATATAAATTGTATTACTTGAGATCCTTGATCTTGTGAAAGAAAAAATACATTTATCGTAATTTTGCTGTTTCACTCCTGAGAATCTAGAACACTCTTTATGGAGGTGAAACATAATGTTTACTATTGGGTTTTATTTTACATTTATATAATATGTACATTATGTAATATCATATATATATATAAATATATATACAAAATGATTCAATCTAGAACAATGGCTGAAAGGACCTAATTTTAATACGTTATGTCTATATTTTTAAAAAACATATTTATCTTACCAGTTCACTAGCTAAACAATCACTTTTTAAAAGATTTTATTTATTTATTTATTTGAGAAAGAGTAAGAGAGCATGAGCAGGAGGGAGCAGCAGAGGAAGAGGGAGAAACAGCCTCCCCACTAAGCAGGGAGCCCAATGTGGGGCTCAATCCCAGGACCCTGGGATCATGACCTGAGCTGAAGGCAGGTGTTCAACTAACTGAGCCACCCAGGTACCCCTAAACAATCTGTTTTTGAAGTACTTAGCATTTAACAGAAATTTTAAAATAAAAGTTTAATTATTTAATTCCAATCTCCTTAGAAAAAGTGTTCCCATAATCTATGACATCTGTTTTCACCCTTCCATTTTTTTCCATCAGAGATCCACCCATCTTTTTAAAGGCATGCCTATTATTGGCAATAAGAGAAGTGGTGTCAATTTTTAAAGTGTAACAGTTACCAAATGAGTGGGGTGAATAGGGAGCAATGCTATGTGGTCCCCACCCACGCCTTAAGATTGTGTACAATTAATATATCTGGTATCCTTCTGTTCTTAGCAATTGTTGTCTTAAGCAGAAACTTGAAAAGTTTATACCTAGGCCAATGATACTATCAAAGGTGTATTCTGACTCCTCCCGAAATGACCAGAACTATGAAGACTTTTGCAAGTAGGACATTAGATTAAATCAATATGTTTCATAATTTTCATTAGAACATCCTAAAAATGAATTAAAATCACGGTGTAACAGGCCCAAGTTCTTCTCATGTGGTTTGGATCTTAAACCATTGAAGTCTGATTTTGAGCAACCCTTGCCATGCCCCAAATGGCCCCAGCTTTTTTATCTTAGGACCTGAAAATAAATCTGTAGTGAATATTCTGACACCACAAAAATACCAAATAGACAAGCCTGTGAAGAAGAGCCTACAAAGAATAGTGTTAACACTACACATATTAAAGCTAATTTTCAAAATAATATGAGAAGAAAATTAGTATAATGCAGAGTGAATAGGAAGTCCCCCATCCCGTATGGTTACTACTGTTCTGGTTATTTCTAGATAAGCACAGGTTTTCCCTAACCAGGACTAAAATCGGCTGACTCGGTCTTCAGTTCATTGCTGTTTACCATACCAGCATTCTCTCCCCATAGAACTTCCCCACTGGATACTCAGCCACATTGTCCGTGGTAGAAGTGAATTCCCTTAACTAGTCCCCCAGCTCAGGATGTAGTACAATCTGTTCTGAAAGAACAGGTTATCTTAAAAGTCAAGAAAATAAAATGCCACATTTCTTCTAGGGCAGGAGGTAAATAATGCTTACTTCCTGGCATACAGTAAACACACGGAAAATAGTGACTCAGTGAAGGAAGGACGAGGGCTTTGGAAGGAAAGGTGATGAAGGCTTGCAACAGGAATGGGAGTCAGCAAATCTGCACAGAAAAGAGAGCCGGCAGGGACAAGGCCTAAGAGCAAAACTGGGATGGCGAGGAAGGGTTACTGCACCGTTTTGAACACTGTACATGAAATAGTTTGATTAAAATTGTGTTGCAGTTGGTTAAACGCTGTTAACTTGGAAATTATCACAGTATTTCCTTTCTCAGTGGATCAGTGGATCCCAGTAGCACATGTTCCCTTACACTTTTATAAGAAGACATAGGGAAAGGATGCACATGCCGACTTCTTATTGGCAATTTAGAGCCTTCAGCATAGACATTTTAGGCAGGAGTATTTTCCTGATGCTCCTAAAAACCCTACTTACAGAGAGACAGCTACTTGCTCAAGAGTCCAGTCCTGATGCATCTTTGGATTGCAGATTAAGCAAGAGCATAATTAAAGGTCTAAGAAGAATTGGACCCTGCAGCTCAATTATTTCCTCGTTTTTTGGCAGCACATACTGGACATATAGTCTGGTCATTATCTTAATAGAACATTGGTAGATACTCAAGTTAGAGTTCAAAGAGAAACTTCGTGCTGTTCATGTGAAGAATGGGCTATCTTCCATTTGTCCTTGTCAAAAATTGTTTAAAAACAAATCATCAACAGCAAAGGAACTAGAAATTGAAATAATGAAATTCCAAAGCAATCAACACAGCAACATGTAGGTGTTTCTGCTAAAGTGATGTGTCTGAAAAACTTCCCATTCTGCAAAATGTGCACTAAATGGCAGGACTCATAAGGATGGAGAACAAGCCATTCAAAAATCTTTGGAACTGTAGCAACAGCTCTAACAAAAATGGTTCTTAGTACCTGGAAAGGTACTGTGGTTCCTCCAAGCGGCTCCCATGTGGCTGGAGATTGACACAGCTGGCATTTAACATTCTCAAATGAGGGTGCCTGGGTGGCTCAGTTGGTTAAGTGACTGCTTTCAGCTCAGGTCATGATCTTGGAGTCCCAGATTGAGTCCAGCTTTGGGCTCCCTGCTTGGCAAGAAGTCTGCTTCTCCCTCTGACCCTCCCTCTGCTTGTGCTCTCTCTCTTTCTCTTGCTCTCTCTCAAATAAATAAATAAAATCTTTTAAAAATAAATAAATAAATAAATAAATAAAATTCTCAAATGATTCTCAAAGGCCACATGCTGGCAATCCTTTCTCCCTAGAGCAGGACAGGTGAAAGCAAGGTGAGGCAGAGCCCCTCTGGGAAAAGATCCTGTGTACAGGGGCTCCTGTTTAATTTTCTTATGATAAAGCTACAAGAGATCCTGCAGCCAGGGTGACATCCAAGCTAAGAATGTTTTTCCTCTCCCACTGAAGGTTCTACTACTTCTGCTATTCCCTTCCCCTTTGCCTGGGAAGAATTGTGTCTAAATTATACTATGTATCCTCGTATTTACCAATAGCACATAAGCTATGAAGTACACAAGCATGTGTAGTAACTGTATACTGTTGACGAAAATATCTTTTCTTAATCAAAATGTAATTCATGCCTGTAAAGAATCTGGAAATACAGAAAAGTATAAAAAATTAATCTGTTTATAAAAAATAACCACTGCCAGAAAAACCCTATGATCTATCTCTTTCTGATAATTTGTGTATACATACTCGTTATAAAATCAGGTTATGATGTAGATATAATTGTAATCTTTGTATTTATTTATATTATGCATGTTTTCCACTTTGGTAAATAGATGTAAAATTTGAAACATGGTTTATTTAATAAAAGCCCTGCTTTTGGATGATGTAGTTGTTTTGAGCAGTGGTGATAATTTATATGTAAGGGTGTTTATCTTTGATTATTTTCTTAGTTTAGGATCAGATTTGATTGGGCTAGATTGTTACAGAGGAAATTACTGGGTGTATTAGTCCATTAAGGCCGCTATAACAAAATACCATAAACTGGGTGCTTAAACAACAGACACTTATTTGTCATAGTTCTGGAGCCTGGGGAGTTCAGGATCAAGGTGCTGGCAGATTTGGTATCTGGTGAGAGCTTGCCTCCTGGTTCACAGACAGCCATCTTCTCTCTGTGTCCTCACAGGGTGGAAAGGTAGAGGGATTTCTTTGGAGCCTCTTTTATAAGAGCACTGATCTCATTCAGAGGGTGGACCCGTCAAGACTTAATCATTTCCTCAAAAGCCCTGCCTATAAATACTATCACAGTTGGGAGTTAAGTTTTAACATATAAATTTGGGGTGGAGGGGACATAAGCATTCAGTCTGCAGCACTGAGTCTAAAGAGCTATAAATAGTTTGAAAAATCTGATAATAGTAAACTTCTATTTTTTGTGGTTTATAACCATAAGGACCTTAATACAAGAAGAAAAATATCTTACAGTAAGCTTGGTATTGTGGCCCTTATTATGGGCACATTATTCACTAAAATGGGAGCATGTTAAGTCTCTTGCTCACGACTATGAACACCTATGTGGTAAGTATCTCACCCAGCACATCCTGGATTATTAACAGGTCTGGTACATGAAGTTGCTTTATCATATATTCAGGTTAATTCAAGCATCAACAAATCAATGTCATGCTCCCCTCTTTAACTCCGTCTAATTCTTCCTTATATATTTGCTTCCCTTATTTTGTTCCCATGTCTTTCCCTTAGCTGTCTTGTCCTTGGCTCACAGTTCTGTCCAGTGATGACTCTGTTTTCAAGTTAACACTAAACCTGTCCCTAGTTCAAGCCACTCCACGACATCAAAACTTCCTGTGGGATGTCTGAGGCAGTTTGGGAGAGGAGAGCAGGCACAGCGTCCTGGGATGCCTTTCGAGGTTGAGGTCCTTTGTGCAGAAATATGTGCAGAATGGTTTAGAGTATGGGATTTGGGGGTAGAAATGTCTGGATCTGAGTCCCAGCTCTGCCTTCTTGGGCAAGGTGATCCTTGGTCTCAGGAGTTCGTGGAAGTCAGGTCATCTGTAGCAATAGCAGCAGCGGCTGAGCGTACTCACATCATAGACATGGATCAGTTTTAAAAGATAATCTGTAGCTTAGCATCTTTTTGAGAAGAAACGTAAAGACAATTTGTTTGAGTCACATCTCAAATGAAGTGAGAAATCACCTGGTAGTCCATTGCAGTTTCCAGGTCAACTAAAATAATGGAGTTCTGCCGAGACCGCTTCTTTCAAGCCTTTGGACATTTGTAGGGAAAACCAAATGAGTCCAATAGAATAGAGGTAGATATATGCACTAAAGATCTTTCCAGCCACTGTAGTTAACACAGGGCTATTTCCAGTTTTTGTATCTTTCTTTTTAAAAAAGTTAACACTAACTAAAAAGCTCACTGTCTTCTCTCTTCAGCCAGCATATGTCCCAAGGAAGCTAATTCCAATAACAGTCATCAAACAAGGTAATTTGTATGAGTCTGTTCTGGATGCATGTTTTGACCTATTTTTTTGGTTTGTTTTAATTCTAATACAGTTAACAGTTTAGAACTATTTTTCATATACTTTTTCATTGAGATAATTAAATATAGCACTTTTTCCCCTCAGTTTTTCCAATCATTTTAAAGCAAAAGTGTGAAGAAATAAGTATCTTCTAGCAAATTGGAAGTTAATAGATAATTTTGGCTCTTGTACCAATAGGCCAAGTCTTGGCAAGTCACATTGGTTGTGTTTTACCAAAGTAAAACTTTTGGTACAAAGCAATCACAATAAGGATTAAATTTTAAAATCCATCTAAATATGTGTGGCTTTGTTCAGGGTTAAGTTGGCATACATGAAGAAAATCATTAACAGGATATTTTAATTAGTGAAATAAAAATTATAATTTAGTGCTCCTTTTGGGGCGAGTAAAGACCTACAGTTTTCAAGAATTATGTCCATTTTATTTCAGTATCCAGCTTTTGTTTTGACTTTCAGTTTTTTAAATTATTAAAATTACTTTTTTATTTCCAGAAAGTTCCTTGGTAGAAGAAATTGGACATTTAAGTAATTACTCACTTTAAGAAAACACAGTCTCAAGTGTATTCTCAAAACAATGTCAGTATTGGACTAATGGAGATTCTTTGCTTTGATAATATACATTTTTACTTTTTAAGATTTACTGTATGAATTGCCTCATTTTGTGCTATTTCTTTAACTTGGGAAGGCATCAGAGAATGGAGATGAGGACAGAAATTTTCAGCTCATTTAAATGGAGCACTTTATGATAGAATAATAACCTTTCATTACTTGAAGTCATAGGTGTGAAGGTGAGATGTGGCTTCCAGTCCTTTTGTTGACTGTGTACCAGTCCAAAGAGTTAATTTATATTAAATAAAAAGTTATATTAGGGCTTCCCCAGTGCAGATGTCTTCACATTACAGCTATTTACTGCTTCCTGACTATTTTTTTCCATCACACTGTTACCTTTTGTATTTCCACAGTGATTCAGAATGTTACTCACAGGGCTTCAACTAAATCCCCAGATAAGACTCCCTTTGGAGGAACAATATTAGGTGAGTGTATGTTGGTATCTGTACTTAGAGTAAGCATGTCAGGCTACTTTTGGTTAATAGGGCACTTATGGAATTTTACATTGTTAGCAGAACTATTAAATTGATATTGGTTCATTTCCTTTTGATATTGAGCATTCTGGCTTGTGTCCATGCCTGGCTAGGAGCCAAGAGATGCTACCTCTATAAGTGTGTGTTAGAGAAACAACTCTAGCCCACTCCTAGTGGGAATGATGTCACCCATCTTACTTGCCCCATAGTGTTGTTGTTGTTAGGAGATAGTCCTTATTGCATCGAACTGCTCTTTTAAAAGTTATTATTAATAATGGCATTTTGTTCACTGTATATGTTAAACAGCCATTTTACTATTTTTGAGTCTATGGATTAAAAGCTAGAAGATTTTTTAGTTCAGTTCTGAATATTTTTAAAAAATCTGTTTAAAGTACAGTCATATTTTTTTTTAGGTTTGAGTTAAAATTGATGATTCCATATAAGTGCGAAGCTTTATTTTGTTACCTGGTGCTCTGAAATTTATTTTATGTCATGATGCACTTACTTCCTCTTACCGTATTCTATTTTCTTGCAGTCCATCTTATTATTCCAGGCCTTAATGAAACCACTGTTAAACTTCCTGCATCCATAATGCTTGAGATTTCTGATGCAATCAAGACACAGTTAGGTAAGCAGGAATGTTCCATTTTTGAACTTGATGGTGACTAAGTACTAGCACTGATGATCCTAGGATACCCAAGGAATCTAGCAAATAAGCTATTGGGGCATTTCAAAGTAAATGGTAAGGGACAGGCATGTGCACTGTTGATGGGAATAAAAAATGGTACAGCTGCTGTGGCAAAAAATCCAACACAGAATTACCACACAATCCAGCAATTCCACTTCTGGGTATAAATCCAAAAGAACTGGGAAAAAGTTACCAAAGAGGTATTTGGACATCTATGTGCACACTAGCATTATTCACAATAGCTAAAGCATCGAAGCAACTCATGTGTCCATCAACAAATGAAGGGGTAGGCATGTTTATAGCAGTATGATGTTTATAGCAGTATTATCTAAAATCACCAAATTATGAAAACAGCCCAAGTGTCCATCAACTGATGAATAGGTAAAGATGTGATCTCTATACACAATGGAATATTACTTCACCATAAAAAAGAATGAAATCTTGCCATTTGCAACAACATGGATGGAGCTAGAGGTATTATGCTAAGTAAACTAACTCAGAGAAAGACAAATACCATATGATTTCACTCATGTGAAATTTAAGAAATAACACAATTGAGCAAAGAGTGGGAAAGGAGAGAGAGAGAGAGGCAAATCAAGAAACAGACTCTTAACTACAGAGAACAAACCAATGGGTTACCAGGTGGGTGGGGGGATGTTAAATGGGTGATAGGGATAAAGGAGCACACTTGTGACTAGCTCTGGGTGATGTATGCAAGTATTGAATCACTATGTTTTAAACCTGAAACTAATACTATACAGTATGTTAACCAGAATTTAAGTAAGAGTTTTAAGAATTTTAAAAAAATTTAAAAAAGAATGAATGGGTAAGCAAAATGTGGGTATATATGCAATGCAACATTATTCAACTGTAAGAAGGGAGGAAATTCTGACACATGCTACAGGATGGATGAAACATGAGGACAGTATGGTAAGTGAAATAAGCCAGTCACAAAAAGACAAATACTGTATAATTCCACTTACACAAGATACCTAGAGCAGAAATATAATGGTGATTGCTAGGAACTGGAGGGAAGAGGAAAATGGGAAGTTAGTGTTTAATGATACAGTTTCGCTTTTATAAGAAGAGTTTTATAAGAAGAGTTTTGGAGATGGACAGTGGTGATAGTTGCACAACATTATGAATGTATTTAATATTACTGAAGTATACACCTGAAAAGATTAAGATCATATGTTTTATGTTATGTGTATTTTACCATGGTTAAAAAAAAAAAAGGAGGGAGGGGCAGAGAGATTGGAGTGCTGGAAAAATTTATATAAATCACATTCTTTAGGTAAATAGTTATTATATATTATATATTAATATATATATTATATAATGTATGTTTATGGTTTTTTTTAAAAGTGAACATTTATCGAATTATCCAAAATATATATATTTATCTAGGTAAAATTTTCAAATAGAGTGATTGTTAGAAAATTGTTATACTGTACTGTCAAGGGGTCATGAGATGTTTTCAATGAGAGCTGATGTAGAGTTCAGGTGTGTTCGAATTATTAATTACTTGAGACTGATACTGCCTCTCACTTGTAGAAAGAGCTTGATATAATTTCAGTGTTTTTAAAAACACAAGAGGGGTGCCTGGGTGGCTCAGTGGGTTAAGCCTCTGCCTTCAGCTCAGGTTGTGATCTCAGGGTCCTGGGATCTAGCCCTGCATCGGGCTCTCTTCTCGGCAGGGATCCTGCCTCTCCCTCACTCTCTGCCTGCCTGTCTGCCTACTTGTGATCTCTGTCTGTCAAATAAATAAATCTTTTAAAAAATAAAAAATAAAGACATAATGATTTATTGGGAATCAAACCCAACAAAACCCTTTAATAGGAGCCCAGGGAATAATTGCGGTGCTCATTGGGGTAAATTAGTTGCTCCATTGAGTATCAAATTAGTCAGGACCCTCGTGATGTATATTACAGCATCTCAAGCTTGATGGAGCATGAGAAGCCTGGTGGGCTTCTGAGCCCAGACTGCAGGACCCACCTGCAGAAGTCCTGGTTCAGTAGATGAGGGGAAGGACCCGAGAATTTGCCTTTCAAACTAGCACCCAGGAGATACTGAAGCAGCTTGCCTGGGAACCATACTTTAAGAACCACCCTTCCATAGTCTTGGGAGATGGTCTTGAGCTATTGATAAATATGGAAGGAGATGGCATGATGTGGTAGACATTGAATAGACTAAAAAATGCAGAATATTTTCTCTGAATCAGGCACTAGAGAAGAATTTTCATACTTCCATAAATGAATGTTCACCTTGTATGGGTGCAGAAATAGACCCCCAGACCCCTGTGTGGCTACATTCAATCAACACATAATGACCAAGGTTACTCTCTGGCATAACTTCAAATTATTAGTCCCAGAGTGAGTTACCTCTGAGAATGTAGATGAGTGACTTTAGACATCATTTCTTTAATTTGTACATCAGACTTGATCACCTCTTTTTTAACCATAAAACGGTCACCAAACCCTGCAATATCTAAATGCTGTGCTAAAATCTGGGAACCTTCCAAATTAACTTTCCTCACTGAACCTATGTTCAGAATCCAGTGCTCAGTGTTCTTGTGCTCCCCTGTTCCCTGCCCGGAGCCTATATGCCTTGCCCTGCCCTGCCCCTGGGAAAGTCTTGTTTGGAAGGAGGGGGGAAAAAAGGAACTGACCAGTCACTTGCTGATGTGACCCTTCATCCATCCAGCAAAACTACAAAATACAGAATTTGTGAAGGAGGTTGAAAATGAGCAGTTTTACCCAGACCACCACTGTCAGTTTTGAACTGGAGCATGTTGTGTTCTTTAGTCTTGAGTGATATTTCCTAAACTTTTGGGGTTTTGCTAAGTTCCAAGCACTACCTTAATACCCATTCAGTCTTTCTGTTTCCTTTAGAGAATAAAACAGTGCATTTGTTTTATTTAGTTTTTCCTTTTATCTTTCTGATATGATTCACTAAACACTTTCCGGATTGAGTGTGATTTCAATAAAGAAAAACTGTATGCAAACAAAAAATATCTTTTTTGACTTGTTTTTCTGTGAAAACACCATCTTAAATTTAACACATGACAAATTTCTTATGCATTGAAGAGCTTAATAGCTAGTTTCTTTGAAAATGCCCAGCAAATCCATCAAATGTGCCACCATGACAGACTGTATTAAAAATTACATTTTAAGTTTACTGTTTTTAATGGAAAGAGATACTGTTAAATAGTTCTTTATACCAGCAAGGGAGAATTCAACTTACCTGAAGTTATTTAACACTGCAATCAGAAAAGTAGTATTTTTTGAGGGGGTAAATCCTAAAAATAATATCCTCATTCCATCAGGGCCCATCATGGGACATCAAGAAATTAATAGCTTTTGTTCTAAGAACACATGGTGTGAATAATGAGAGAAGTAAACAAGAAAGCTAGTATTACACACACCCCTCCCTGGGGCATACAAAGTGTTTGCCAAAGCCAAGACTTAGCCTGCCAAAAATGAAAGGAAACAACTGTGTTGAAAAAGGTACAGAAGAATCAGAGAGGAAAGGGAATTTCCTGGGATTTAGACCATATTCTTGTGGCATTTTACTCTGCTCTTGCCAGAACTCCAGTGGTCTATAGAAAGTGTGGGTGAGTACTCATGGGTTGGTAAGAGACATGAAAGTTCTCTCACGCAAATATCTTCCCCACCTACCAATTTCTCTGACAACTGAAATAATGTATTTAGAACTATAGTATGCCTTTGTAAGGAATTAGTGATGTGTAAAGAATACAAATGTCTCTTGGGAAGGTAGATTACCCCCGCACCCCCACCCCCGCCATTAACAGCCCAATTTTAAGCTAATGTGATTGCTGGCTGAGGGCAAAGTAATTAAGCAAAGTAATTAAGTAATTAAGAGCATTTGTTTGAAAGTATAGGATCTGCTAATATCTTCCCTGCTATTCCTTATGTTCCACAAATAATTGAAGCCATAAAATAATTGACTTTCTCTGCTTGATTTATTTCATTTAGCATAATCTCTTCCAGTCCCATCCAAGTTGGTGCAAAAAGTTGGGTATTCATCCTTTCTGATGGCTGACTAATATTCCATTGAAGAGTTTAGAAGGGAAGGGTATAGAGGAATGGCATAGCTCAGTAATGGGTATTAAGGAGGGCATGTATTACATGGAGCACTGGGTGTTATATGCAAACAATGAATCATGGAACCTTACATCAAAAACTAATGATATACTGCATGGTGACTAACATAGCACAATAAAAAAAATTTAAAAAATAATAAATAAGTGTTGAATCTCTAAACTGTACACCTGGAACTCATATTACACTATATGTTAACTAATTGTAAACTAACTAAAAACTTGAAAATAAATAACAAATAAAATTCAAAAAAAAAAAGTAAAAAATAAAAGAGGATTCAAAAAGAAAAAGGTCAGATCAGTAACACAAAAATCACTAATAAAAAAAATAAAATATAGGATCTGTAGGTTAAAATAAATAAATAGACCTAGTCAGCCAAGGAAACAACTGAGAATGCAGGCTGTTACACAGGAAGGATAGGATTAACAAAGATTTCTTAAGAGAGAAGAGGACCCTGAAGGAGAGCACTAAGGAAAACCTTATAATCTCACACTTAAAAAACAAAACAAAACAAACAAAAAAACACTTCCCATGGTACACTTTGAAAATAACAGGACCAACGTTCATAAAAATCTGTAATCTGAATTTTTTTTCCTATGCTAACAATCACGATGGTTCTAAACAAAAGCTGTGACTACAACAGAAAAAATGTTGATTAAATTTAGATATTTTAAGAATGGAAATCACCATAAATTTCTACTGGACTAGTTTTTTAGTTATTTCAGAGAGTCCCTTCTCTTTATGCTCTGCTCAATTAATTTGAACAATGTATTTAACATTTCTGTTGGGCAAAAATGCTGTACAACTTCATGTACACATGAATTCAAAATACACCTGTGACCATTAGATATGGCAAACACAGTAACACCTGTGACACCTGTGTCTAGCATCTTAAAACACTCCCAAAAATAATCAGCTCTATGGAAAAATCTATCGTAGACTTCTATAATATAGACTGAAAACTGATTTGCTTCTATTATTGTTGTGAAAGGGATGACTTTATAATTGTCTTTAAGTTATGTTGTGTTTTTTTTTTTTTCTTCATCCCAATGCCAATTTAAATCTTAAAGAAGTACCTAGAGTTCATGAGATGGAATTCTGAAGAATCCCTGGTGGAAATGCACAATAAATTTATTGACTGCCTGGTGGGAATAATTAAGAGCAAAATTGATTTTTTTGAAATAATCTGTTACTTGATGTTTTGAATGAATTCTATTTGGGCACTGTGTTATGAAGAAGTGAGGTGATTGATTGTTCTCTGACTTCTTAGCTAAGAATGAAACGTTGGCATTACCTGCTGAATCTAAAACACCAGAGGTAGAAAAAATCCCAGCACGAGCCATAACAGGTAATGAGATCCCTATGTTGTTAGCTTCGAGAGAATAAATATTTTGAGAAATGATAAATGGTTGATGAGCTTATACTTTTTTCTGGTGAAGGACCACTAGGAGATTAATTTTCATCATAAGCACAAACAATAAGAGATTGTAGATCCTTAATTTAACATTTGGAAAAACAGCTGATGCAGAAGGAACTATGGAATCATATGACCCAATATATAATATGGAAGCTGTATTTTTCACACTAAATGAAAGTTGTCCCCTCAATGTTTAGGATATTTTTATACTAGAATGTAATACTATGGTTCATGTGCTTTCCTTTCATATGAAGATATGAGCTCATTTTCCATTTCTTTCACAAGTGGTCAGTTTAGCAAAATGCCATAATTCCTTTGAAACCCATTAGCATGATAACTGTGAAAGTGCCCTAGAATCATTTAGGACAATTAGATTAATTGTTCTATGGAAGATTAATCTATAGAAGATTAATAATCCTACTATAAAGAAATATATTATAGTTCAGTGAAAATCCTTTAAAGAATAAATGTGGGATACATTTTCCCCATAGTTTATCAACCTTTACTAACAAACATTCAGCATTTCTTCTTTGAATGAACTGCCTAAGTCCGGCCCACTGTGGACATGTTACTCTCTGAATCACAAAGTTTTTGCCAGAGCAGTACCACCTCATCCAGGGCCTAGTAAAACAAACATTTGGCCAGAATTTCCCCAAATCCACATTTAGCAAAACATCTTCAATCTAAAGTGAATGTTTTAATCCACAAAACTGTCATAAGTTGAAATATCAGTGATTATTTACTTTGCACTAAACTCTTGGATTCATAACTGTTCCAGAAAAGATAAAGATTGGTGGGGAAATAGAATAAGTTGATCTCAAGAAACCTATCCAAGTAGGACTATTTCTGACAGAGTAGGAAGTCTCGGCTCCTATCTACATGGAAGATGGACCTTCCATTCCCCACCTTCATGGGTGTTAGGACAAAGGTACAAACTATCTAAGGTGCTAGAATATTCTATTCAAACACAATTCCTAGGTAATTTTTCTAATTTCAATATAATTTGTTGGCACCAAGAAAAACATAGGAATGACCCAGTAGATGACTCCAAGTTCTTTTCTGCCCCAAAGATCCAACCCATTTTTCCCATTATACTTTCCTCCCTTGGCACAGCATCTGACGGGAGAGTCTACAGATTTCTTTGTTCTCAGCCAAACCTTCTTCAGAATTTTCCTATCCAGAAACACTTAGGCAAACACTATACCTGATTATTCAGTGTTGTGTTTATTTTGTGTCTCGCAGCTGAGCGTTTGATTCCTTACCGTAATTATAATCCAGTTCCAAGCTTTGAATTCTGACTGCCGTTTGGAAGAGAGAAATCTTTAATGTAATAGTTATCAATAAACTTTCCTGCCTTGGGTCATTCTTTAATTTGCCCATTTATTAATTCATTTAATATTTGTCATATGCTTGCTGACTATACCCAAGACATTGTGCTGAGCCCTGGAGATAATAAGAAAGAAAAAGACAAGGAAAAAAATTATGATTAATAAGTGCTTTCACCAAGGTCAGCTCACTGTGCTTTTTGGAACACAGGGAAAGTGGACCAAACTCAGCAAGGCAGCATTGGAAGAAGTATCAGCTCAGGCATCTGGGGCAAGCCAGGGAGTCCTTAATTAACTTGAAAAGAATTGGTCAATTTAAGTGTCAGTTACTAATTCTAAAGGGCAACAAAAGCACCTTATGATCTTTGGTTGCTTCATTATTTTACCTGAATTTGTAAAGTCCTTTTTTACCTTCCAGTGACGCCAGAGTCAATGCCAAGGACCACGAAACCCACTGTGTCTAGTGCACTAGACTTTTCAGAAAAAACACTAGGTAATTTTAACTTTTTTTTTTCTTAACTCCCAATACTCACAAAAACAAAAAGTAACCCCAGTGCCTTAGTTCCCCCATTCCTTTTATTTCCCCCCTTTATTGGCAGTTGTTATTCATCCATTTCTTGGGCCAATTCCGTTACAGAGTTAACAACATGCCTTGATCCTGGTGACTGATATTCTAGGCAGCTTGGGATGCTAGATGCCGACTACACACACCTTTTACTGGTCTCTTGGGATGTATAGAAAAAAACGAGAATGCCAGCCTTTTAACCCACAAATCTTGGAGGGGTTGGGGAAACCTGGAAGTCTTGACTGTGTCTGTGCTTTCTGTTTCAATAGGCTTCCTGAGGCTTCTTTGCACTAAACTTGAGGAGAATCCCCAAAAGTGTCCTGCTTTTTAATAAGAATTTCATGTCATGCAAGTTAGCTGCTTCCTAGCCCAAGAGAGTCTTGCTTTGTTGTCTTTTGCTGAAGAAAAGGAGCAGCATGTCTTTTGTTGTGTACTTGTGATGTTGATCTCCCATGCCACGTCATGCCCTCTGAAACTATACCTTCACATTTTAATAGCTATGTGAAGCTTTTCCTGGGGGAGCCAGATGTTTCCATGAAAGGCATCAGCTGCCTTGTGTACACTGTGTTATGAGCATGCTTCCCATGATTAAGTGTGAGCCACAATGTCAAATCCTGCCTCAAGGAGTTGCTGACTGAATTCTTCTTTATTTTAGTTCTCAGCGAAAGGACGCCGGAAATCCTGCAAACTATTCTAATACCTAGGTTTGAATTGCCCCTGAGCACTCTAGGTAAAAATTACTCAACATTGCAGCTTGTTATTGCCTTGGAAGTTTTATTCATGCTTTAAAGAAATCCTTAGGCTTATTCATTCAAATGTATCTCCTCATAAGAAAGAAGAGACATATGGTTTCTAGAACAATAAGATCCCCAACATCAAGCCTTTAACCGTTATATTTTACAATTTAGGATCCTACAGAATCTTTATGACAAATAATTTGGTGTTTTTTCTTTTTGGTGGTCACATTCTGATATTCTATTTGATTCTTTTTATTCGATGGACTTTTTTTAGTTCAGATGTGTTTGCTGCTTGATTTGAGTTAAAATGAAATATATGTAAGGGCACACATATGCAAGACTAAGGAAATTAAGACAGTAGTTAGGGTGAAAAGAAGAACACAAATTCCTCCAATTTAGTAGCTTGATTATAAAAAATAGAAATAGAAGCACTATTATAGTATCCAGCATCAAAACCACAAGAGTAAGAAATACTACTAACAGTACCTTACTTGACATGAATAATTTGCTTTTTTGTGTTTGTTTTTCTGTTTTTGCAAGCTTGAGATTTTGAAAAATCTCTTTTCTCTTACTTGTACCTCAGGTTATAACATTTGTTATGTGTTTCATTGCAGCTCCGAAAAGGCTTCCAGAATTTCCTCAGGCAAACACACCCTTCCCCTTTGAGAAACCTGAGGGCACTCTGGGTAATAGCAGCACCTTAAAGCTGGCATTAAGATAGGGGTAGTGATGGCTTAATTAACTCAGCCAAACAAGGGGTTGATTTTAAAACAAACAGAAAAAAAGTCTATTTGTCTCATTACATTTTCTACAGATACTGTAACAATCATCAGTATGTTAATTTTATACAGGTTTGGGGTTTATCCTGAAAAAATGCTGAAAGCATGACACTGAACTCTGGTCTCTCTCTTTTTTTTAAAGATTTATTTCAGTGAGAGAGAGAGTGCCTGTGTGAGCATGCATGCACACAGGGTAGGCAGGGTGGGGGAGGGGCAAGGAAGAGAGAGAGGGAAACTCAAGCAGGAGGCACTGAGTGGGGAAGCCTGAGGAAGAGCTGGATATCGGGACCCTGAGATTAGGCCCGAGCCAAAACCAGGAGTTGGGTGCTTAACTGACAGTGCCACCCAGGCACCCCCCAAATCTGGTCTCTTTCTGATCACTAATCAAATGATCTCTGGATAGATGCATATTGATTTCTTGATATAAAATAAATTTGGATTGGATTAGCACTTGTTTTTATTGCAAGCTTCTGGTAGCCACTTAACCATACCGACAACCTATTTCTGTCCCTTTCTCTTCTCCAAACAAAACCAGACAAAACAAAAACAAACAAAGAAACCTCAGTGAATTCCATTTCTTTTTGCTGTAGCTTCAAGTGGAAAGCCATGGATTGTGCCTACAAGTAAAACATCAGAAGATTCCAAACTTCTCTCACCTCGAACTGGTAATTTTATTCTTTGTTAAATAATAGATGGGACCAACAATATTGAATAACTGCTCTTGTATTTATTTTTATAGGTTCCCTAGTTGATTATCAAAATACTTGTAGTAAATGGTAAAGCTATAATCCATTCTTGATGCTTAGAGGAATGTCATGTTTTTCTCAATGCAAACACAAAATAGTTTTATTTTTGTTTTAAAAATCTGTATTTTGATGTCTGATAGATAATGTGAATTGTGGCTAGAAGAAGAACTGTGATTTGGCTCATGGATATTCTAGAGACATCTTTTATGACATTGAGAACAGTATCAAAAATAGCATATCATGGGTCTGAATTAGTATTATCAGCATAATGTTTCACATTATTGTGAGCTGATTACAGCTCAAAAAGCAAAGTAAAGTAGATGAACTCTTAGTTCCATTTCATCTCTCAGCTTTTGGGTTATTAACCTTGAGGGCATAGGGTAAGTTAGGTTTCCCTTGAGCAGAATATAGGTTTTTTGGTGTCTATAATTATTCAAGAGTGAACTGACCAAAACCTCCTCAAGGAAACCATTTATGAAGTGTTAATGCCTAAGACATGAGCTATATATAAAACCTGAATCGAACTAAGCTTTGGGTAGTGAGGAGATATGTTGGGAAGTGAGGATTGTAGGGTTCCAAAGAGACAAAGATCGAGGAGATTAAAGATCTTAATAAAGGAAAGGTTCCTTTTGCCTTCGATTCCAGAAAAGGAATATTCTGGTCTTTCTCTGACAGAGTATGAATAGTGGCTAATGCTGCAGGAAGCACTTGCATTATCCAGTTACCTCGCTATGGCCAGAGCAACCTTAGGCTGCCAGAGAGCTTGTAACTATTGACTGCCAATCCCCTTTGGATGAAGTGTTGGGGCTTGTCATGAGCTGTAACAGTTCAGTAGGTAATGATTTCAGGCATGAGCATTGGCTCTAGAAACTTCCTAGCCTTCCCTCACAACATTTAAATTTTATACTTCTGCTACTTAGTATGATCCTTAGACCAGAAGCATTGGCATCCCTGGGGAGCTTGTTAAAAAGGCAGAATCTTGGGGTCTACTCCAAATCTTTTTGAATCAGGATCTGCTCTTTAAACAAGATTTCCAGGTAATTAGTATGATCAGTAAAGTTTGAGAAGCACTACCTTATCACTAGTCAATACTATTTCACACAGTGTAGGTAAGAATCATCAAATGTGGTAAATTATAGTGTGAGAGTCCTCCGGTCAGTATAAGATTAGTTTCTCAAAGTGGGTGATTAAGTAGCTCTTGTTTCTACTAATGCCCACAATGTGTCTATCTCTTAAATAAAGGTTCTGTGACATCTTCTTTCATGTTAAATTTCAAATTAAAACTTATTTTAATTTGAATTAAATTCAAATTTAATATTGTGATTGGATATATTGATATATTCATGCCATCCTTCCATCACATTCCATTTTGATTGGATATATTGATATATTCATACCATCCTTCCATTCATTGCAGCCTTTCCTATTTCTTGTGATTGATTTTATGTGAATTTATACATGTACTAAGTTCCTATTTCCTATTTCGTTTCAGTGTATATAATTACTTTACTTTCCGTTTACTCACCATGGTTTCCTAATGTGATTATTTTTGGAATTAAGAAGAGAGGTAGAGATAGTATTGGAAGGCTGGTCCATAAAACCATTGGTCCCATTCTTAGTTGTTGTATCCTTTGAAGAAATGATATATTGTAGCTGGTATGAATGAACAAAATGAAAACATTTTGCTTTCTTTGTTGGGATACAGTGCACCTATACTTACTGTATCAATTCCCATTGGCCAAAGACCATTAGAATCACACATGTTTTTGAACAAAGTTAGGTGTTTTACTTATTGCAACAATAGGGAATGCAGAACATGAGAAACAGTGGGACCTCTTGGTAAGAGGGTGCTAGAAAGGATTTATTGTATAGGATGTGGAAGGAATGGCTCTGGAATGGCTACTGCCAAAAAGTGGGAGTAATTCTATAACTGAATACCTTAATCCTTAACTAGAAGTGAAGAACAGAGTGAAGCAAAGTTGTACTTGGTAAATTCATATTAACCAGAATGTGGGGACAGAAATTTTTGTGTTCATGCATTTGTGTTCAACACAATCACAGAGTGGTATGGATTTTATCTTGATCCATCTTGGTCACCAGGTGGTCTTGTGTGAAGTTGGTGTCCATTCCAATTGTTGATGCTCAGCAGAACACCGTAGCCTAGCTGTGGGTGCCAGGCCAGCTCCTGGATGCCAGGAACTGCTTTTCTCTTTATCAGCCATTAAGTGTGATTTATCAACACCTCTTGTAAAACTCCTTTTCCTTCAGCACTTGCTTGATTTGTGTTTTCCACATTTAGTTCATATTTGTATCAAATCGTCAGAATGCATGCTCTCAAAAAGATGTCAATGTTACTTTTGGATATAAAAAGCTGTATGGAAATTCTAACTTGCATGCTGATTATTGAAATCCCTAGATCATTTCAATAGTTGATGAAAGAAAGAGTAGGACAGGGTATTTGGCATTTGGAGTATCCCAGAAAATCTGAGACGTGTAGTCATCAAACATACTCTTCCCCACTTTCAGCTCATTTGCCCTAATATTTCATTAGTGCTGCATTTTGTGATCTTATTATTTGGAATTCTATTTTGTATTAAGCCCTCTCTAAAGTATGTTTAAGTAGGATTGATTGATTTTTTTTTAATTCCCTTGGCAAATCCAATTTTTCTTAAAGTTTAGAAAGGAGATGATTTAAAAAAACCTGCTTTATAATTATAATTTATAATTATACACCACAATATACACTTCTTTAAAGATTTTTTAAAAGATTTTGTTTATTTGAGAGAGAGAGAAATTGTGCATGAATAGGGGGGAGGAACAGAAGAAGAGGGATAAGCAGATTCTGTGATGAGTGAGGATCCCTCAACCCTGAGATCACAACCTGAGCCAAAATGAAGAGTTAACCAAATGAGCCACCCAGGTGCCCCTGGAATATTTACTTCTTAAAATAAGTTCTATGTTAAAAGGAAGTTGGCCACATTTTAGAGATACTTAAGTGCTTGTTACAATGGTTCAGAAAAGTACATTTTTCTGATGATGCAATAGAAGAGTCTTAAGTTCTATTGGTAAGTGACCAGTTGACTTTGATTTCTGTGTTACTCTAGAGTGAGTTCTAGAAGAGCTCTCAGTAGCTTCCACTCACCACAAAGAATTATGCATTTGCATGCATGTGCATGTACTTGTTGGATTTATCTCTTCACTGGAATAATATAGTCTTGTATTTGGACAAATTAGTATTTGTTTTCTATTAAGAGATTCAAAGGGTTGCATGTATACCATCATATTAATCCTCCCAAAGTCCGTGGAAGTAAAGGGAGCTATCATTTTCTTTTAAGGAGGTAAGTGAGAGGCTCGTCCCTGAATGGGTAGAGGAGCAAAACAAGATCCTCATTCATTTTTTTCCTAAGCTTCTCTTTAACAAAGCATTCCAAGTTAAGAGTGAAACAATGTCATACAGCTTGCTTTGAAATTTTTTGTTGAACAGCTTCCCAACAGAGTTAATTAAATGTTATTAGGTCCAGGTGCCTTCTAGAATTTTAAGAGACATTAAGTGGTCTGTAGAAAGGTTGTACAGTTTCTGAAGTTCAATCTTATTGCAAATGCGATCACTAATCTTTGAACTACAGAGTGAGACAAAGCTGGATTAATAACTAACTCAACTGTCTAGTGGTTATGTGACTATTGACAAGTGATTTAACCTCTTAGAGCCTCAGTTTCCATATGTACATTTTTTCATTGGGTTGTTATGTCTTAGAACTAATGTGTAAAAAGAAAATAGTGTGTAAATCACTAAATCTAATTCACAGATTCACAGTACATGAGAGATGCCCTATAATCTTTTCCTTAATACAATGGACTCTTGGAATGAATGCATCCTCTTCCCACCACACTGTCCATGCCAACCTTCCTGAATTGCTGCAGACATCCAATAGTAATAATAATACAATAACAACAAAGTACCAAAAAGAAAGGAATGAAGGAAGAAGAAGGAAGAAAGAAAATAAAAAGACTCTAAGCTCACATATAATGATTCTTGAGTCTTCATTTCACTTGTTTGAATGTTTTTTATGAGGAATGGAAAGGATTTGTGCATTGTTATATAAAGAGACCCTGCTCCTCATGGAATGGTCTGATGTCCTATTCCCATGGCAAGAAAGTATCACAGAGCCACACTGTTGTGTTAGAGTCACAGCCTGAATCATTCTATAAACTCTGGACCCTTTCTAGGCTCAGGGAGTAAAATGATGCATGACCAACAAGTTGTGTTTTTCCATGGGCATCAGAGATGGGAGAAGCAGCATAAATGCTGTGTCTATATCATCCCACAGCTGGGGCACATGCATGATTTCTAACGGCCTTTATATCATTGGAGGGGGAGGGTGGAAATCGGCTTTTCGTTTCTGGCTTCATAATGTCATCAGTGTTAAGCCTCTTTAACTTCCTTGATCATCCCCTTAAGAAGACTTAGTCTCAGGAGAGATTTAAAGCCCAATTCAAACAAAGAAAATGGTTTCTTTTTATAACCCAAGATGATTCGACATGTTTACTTTCATCCTCAGAAAATTCTCCTGCCTGTTCTTTCCCTAACATATCCAGACTAACTGATTTTTCCCTCCAAATGTACTGTGAATGAGTGCTAAGATGACTCCTTCTTCTGACATAATTTCTTCCCCTTGAACAGCTAACAGTTCTCTTTAAAGGCTCCCCTTGACAAGAGAGTCCAAACTGGAGACAGTCAGCCTCAGTCTCTTCATTCGAATCCACTTTGGGAATCCACTAGTTATTTTCTGTACTTTGTAGAACTTCAGGAAATTACAATATGCACTTCAGCTCTCAAAATCATTTAAAGACCTGAAAGCTGAATGACCAGCACCCCCTAGGAGTGGTATAATGGTTGGAATGTTGTGGCCACAGGTGGTTTGCTTGGAGTGGCTGAAAAGAGATGGAACTCTCTGCATTTGGACCCTGCAGCCTCCCTGTGAGATGATGATGAGCACGGGATCTGGCCCACCCAGCTAGCTGAAGCCCTAGAGAGGGAGCAAAGTAGGGATGAGTGGTGGTGTTGATGCTCTGAGAGTCAGAAAATAGGATTCAAGGGCAGCAGATGGTTTACAGATTTACTTTGAGATTTACAGCATCAGTGTTTGGTTTTGCTTCAGGAACATTTTCTTGTAGGCACTGTTTTCACAAATTTCAAGGCCAACCAGAGAGGTATTTTATGTTTCCACGAACTGAGGAAAGCATTATTTATTTAGTTCAACAGTCCTGAGAACTCTGTGTGTGGTGTTCCTAAATGCTTTTCTCATCTAGCTGTTTATTGATAGCCTGTAGTATTTTCCCATTGCTCCTTCGTATATGTTCTTAGATTCTATTTCCATGGCAGGGGATGGCCACATAAGCATGTGGCAGGTAATTAATTGTGTAGTAGAGGAAGAGATCTGTGTGTACACGTATGTGTATCATAAGATAATTAAAAGGGCCTATTCATTTATTTTCATTTGTCCCCACCAAGAACATAAACTACCCAGCTGTCAAACCCACTATTATTTTTTCACTATAATGGCCATCTTGCAGGTCAACTCTATTAATTCTGTTAATTAATAGAATGATTATTTCTTTTAATTTTATTAAGTCTCTACCATGTACCAGACTCTTGGGCAAAATAAACCTTGGGGTGCCTAATGAACATGACTGATGTAATCCCTGTCCTAATGAGATCTTTCATCTAAGAATTTGTTTAAAAAGGAAAGTCTTTCACATGGTTACCAATATTCATGGAATTTGAATAAAATACATTGATAAATTCTTGGTAATTGGAAATGCCTTATCTGTGTGCCATCATATGTTTCCAGAGCAATACCAGAGCATTTTTATGATAGAATTTGCATCTAATCAGTTTTTAAAAACTAAAGCAACCAACAACACATAAACTAGCAGTGTGGTTTTAGAAAATTGTGAGCAAATAAGAAAATGATACTATGCCTTATTTCATACCACTGCTTTTTCTGAAAAATACAAAAGTAAAATCTGGTTATTAGTCATTACTATTTTTTTTTAAAGAAAGTTAATAATTGCTTTTTCTTGGGGTGCTTGGGTGGTTCAGTGGGTTAAAGCCTCTGCCTTCGGCTCAGGTCGTGATCCCAGAGTCCTGGTATCGAGCCCTGCATCGGGCTCTCTGCTCAGCGGGGAGCCTGCTTCCCCCCCTCCTGCCTCCCTCTATGCCTACTTGTGATCTCTGTCTGTCAAATAAATAAATAAAATCTTTAAAAAAAATAATTTCTTTTTCTAACCTTTGAATTGAACTGCCTATTTTACTTGCATTAGATTGGTTCTGCAACTTTTGGTCCAATTTCTGTTCTGTGAATACAAGATGAGAGAATCTGCTTAATGTCACATAGGAGCATTTCATCCACTGAAGTAAACATTGGTGATAGAAGGTGTTTGCCTAATGCATCATAGCATGTAGAGTGTCCAACAAATAGAAAGGTTTGCTTTGAACTCTTAGCTATCTATCACTTTCATAGCTGGAGTAGCATTGTAAAAAGCCAGGGATGTCTAACCATTTCATATATTTTATTCTGGTACAGAAATACATGTATAGTAATTTTGGAAGGCAGCTATGCTCACCACTATACCACCAACGCAGACTGTATAGGAATTTTGTAACAAAATCAAGAACTGTTGATTTTTCGGGAACTCCATTTCTGACACTGTTCTTTCCTCAAACATCTATACTCCAAAGTCATAAAAACATGTTCAACCCATGAGCCAAGGGAGATGATAGTGTGTCTCTCAAAGCTGCCCAAAGAGTATAAAACTACTAGCAAGCGGTGTCTGTGAATAGTTAGCTCTCTTGTTCTTAACTTACTCAACTCTCAGGAACTCCAGAAATGGAAATAGCTGGGACCAAGCCTCCTGGCAGATGTGTTATTTTAGTCTTAAGTATATTTGAAAAAATGTTTGGAAGTTAGAGGTCCCTGACATTTGGGAAGTTCCCAACATGAGCCACAATGGCCATCAGATGCTGGAAAGACAGTTTCTTTCTCTACTATACGCCTTCTAGGAATAACATGAGGGAAGATGGCAGCCTGGCTTGGAACCTCCAGAATGAAAGTAGAAAGAGGGCGAATAAATACCTCTTGGGACAAAAAGTACAGAATCAAAGAAAGCTGGTTCAGTGTTACTAGATAATAGGGGAAATGTGGGACTTCGTGTAATAGACAGTTGCCTTTTTCAAAAGCAAGCACCAATATAAATAAAAGTCAAACTATTTAGTCATAATTTCTGGTATGAGAAGTTGAAATACAAGTTGGTAAAGTTTTCCAAACTTGTTTAGAATCAGAGCTGACTTTGCTAGATCCATGACTTGAAATTGGCTTAAAGCAAGTCTCAGATCAGCAACTGCCAGAATTTTTGTCCTTTAAAAGGTCAATCATTCTTGGGGTGCCTGGGTGACTCAGCCAGTTAAGCAGCTGCCTTTGGCTCAGGTCACGATTCTGGGGTGCTGGGGAGCCTGCTTCTGCCTCTCCCTCTGTACCGCCCCCCACTCATGCCCTCTTTCTGTCAAATAAATAAATCTTCCAAAAAAAAGTCAGTTGTTCTTATCTGACCGTTTAAAATTGTAGCTAAACACAAGAAAACCTTGCATCACAATGTAATAGATCTTCTCTTAGAACGTTTGCATGACTCATAATGTTCTTTCCATTTTTTGAAGATTTTGCAAAGGAGTAGATTCCCCTTCACAAAATGAAATCTGTGTCCTGCTTCTTTCGTGTGTGGTGCAGTATGAACGGCCTCTCTGTCTTAGAGTGTGTCCCACAGCGTGATATTATCTTTCTTAAACCTTCAACTAGCACTAGCTCAAAATCACTACAATGTCACTGAACTACAAGTTAACTACTGAGTAAATTTTCCTGTCAATTTCCATATAGCCATTCTGAATGGGGAAGGAAAGTAACATCTACCTCATAACAATTAATGCTTTGTGTACACCTCTCATTCTCTTAGTGACAGCTCCTTGTGCAGAAAAGAGAGCATTTTTATTTTGATGCTGTTCTTGCTTACAGATTCTGTGCTTACATGGACATGAAGTGTATTCCTTTGTTAAAATCAACTGTTATTTTTAAGGTCACCCTGCTCGCTTTATTTTACATAGTGTGTGAAATTGATCCTGAAATCCACCTAGACTGTAGAAGGACTACAAGGAATATAGAAAGAAAGCTGCTTCTAGGTAAAGAGGCAGGAGGTGTGGTGCAAGAGGAAAGGCCGGGTCTTAACTCTGCTCTTTCTGGCCCTGTTAATGGGATGGAAAATATGCTGAGCTTGACAGTCCCAGTGTGGGACCACCTGCAAATGTCTTCACCACTGTGAATGTCACCTTTGTTGTCTAGGAAATGGAGAAAGCACCCCATTATCTAGAAAGTGAGGATGATGCCTACCTCACCTGTTTCTCAGGGATGTTGAGAGGGTTAATTAAATAAGCCAATCGGTGAGAAATTACTATGCAAATTGAAAAGTGCGGTCCCAACATAAGATTCCATGATGGTAACTTTCACTAGGTAGAAAGACCAAGCAGTAGACTTGGTGCAAAAAGCTTTAATGTGACCGCTTTTTCCTTCTTTGGAAATCTCTCCTCAAATTGCTTCTGGCTCATATATGTTTATACTCTTTGAAGCTCTTTGATTTAGAGCTGGTACCACTTCATTATAAATACATAGCACTATGCACACATCACCCTTAAGACCAGTGTCCAGGTTCACTGGGGAAAAGCCTTTAGTTCGGGGCAGGGGTGGGGGGCGGTGAGGGAGACTGGAGGCAAGCCTCAGTGATTGCTTATGCATTAGTGACAAGACAAGTAGCCCAAAGCTAAAACTCACTAGCGTCTACATGAGACTCCCTTGTAACCAGCATTAAATTATGTCATGAAATCTTTTAAAATTCATCAAAATTAACATCTTCTCTTTTGTTTTACCTTTTCTTTTTAAAAGCCACTTATGATGTTTTCTCAAGCCCTGCAACATCAGATGAGCCTGAAATGTCAGAACCCCACACAGGTATATCCAGCTTCTCAGGGATTTCTTTGGATGCCAGACCATTCTGACAGCATTATACCTAGTTCCCGCTTTAATTTTGCAGAGGGAGGAAGCACACTCTTCGGAGCTCTGCAGGGGAATGTGGCAGTCTGTGTCCGGGAGATGTATCCCACCCATTTCTCTGTTGAGCCATTATCTCTTTATCACTATCAGTAATAAGTTCTGCCACGTGTGGGAGATGCAGATAGATTTGGTTGCTACTGAGCCAAAGTCATGAAATGGCCCTATTGCTCTATTATCAATATCATTCCAAAAAAGTTTTAGATTCTTAGAGAGCTTTCTGTAGAGCAGTGGTTCTCAAAAGCAGAAGACTTTTCTCTAGGCATTTGGCAACAGCCAAAGATATTGTTCATTGTCACAACTGGGGAAGGTGGTACTGACATCTAGTGGAGGGAGACCAGGGATACTGCCAAACCCCTGCAAATATACAGGACAGCCTCCCTACAGGACCCCCCACCCGCAACAAGGAATTATCCAGTCCTAAAGGGCTATGGTGCTGAGGTGAGAAATCCTGTTCTAGAGCCATCATGTCATTCGTCTGTGGAAGTCCAGTTGGGTCTAATCTTTGACATTCATTTACTGATCCTTCTACAGATGAGTTTAACTCAATCTAACAGTTCCCTCTAGCAAGTGTTCATTAAGCATCTACTAAACTAGGTACTGTGAGAGATTCAGAGTAAATAGGACTGGTCTCTGCTAGACATAGCTATATATCTGATATTTTTTGTATATTTAGCCTCATCATAGCATTTTTTGTGCCATGATAAAGGTAAATAATTTTGAATAGCAACAGAAAATAAGGGGGAAAAATGAAATAGAATGCTGAGTGAACTCAGCTAGTAGTTAAGAAACAAAAGTGAGAAACCAGAAAAACCAGTTGAAAACAAGTTAAATATATGCAACATTGTTTTTATCATGGTTTTTAATGTTTAAAGTATGTATGTTTTTTTAAAAGTGAGTTCCTCTTCCGCTCCTAATGAATCACTAGTTTAAAAATGTTGGTCCACTCTCTTTCAACTGTTCTTGATACTTTTTCCCATATGAGGCATAATTTGTTACTCATGAATTTGTATTTTATACTTGGGGCCTTCTGCTTTTATAAATGTTGACATTTATTCCAACAGCAACAAGTGATCCATTTCTGGATTCTGTCCCACCTAAAACTTCTAGAACTATTGAACAGCCAAGGGCAACACTGGGTAATGTTTTTAACAGAAAAATCCTACTTTGTTTTCCATCAAAAGAAAATCCATTTGAATGCCATTCTTCCAAGTGACCATTTCATTCCATCACATCTAATCATTTATTTCATTTTTACTTCTGAATGTATTTTTTTTTCTTGTAATGCAGGCATCTTATGTTGCATTTGGGGCCTTCTCTCTCTCTCTCTTGAACTATAATAGATCATTTTTTTCCATCCTTAAAGGAATGAAAAGCTTTGAAAATTGCATGGACCTCTTCATCATCCATATCATCCCATCTCATTCATGTGTTTGTGGCCTGTATCACCTCTCTTCCATGCGTTGACCCTGCCCGAAGTCTGCCACTGAAAAGTTGTCATTCTGATCTTTTCTCTTCTTTAAATCATTATTTCACCTACCAGCTTTCAAGACTATATGCATTTTTCATTCTTAGTCATGTAGGTATAGCATGTGCTTTGCAATACCATCTAAAAGCATGTTAAAACTCCTAAAATACCACATTTTAACTGGAATTACTTGGTGGGTGGGGTGTTTGTATTTTCAGCTCCAAGTGAAACACCATTTGTTCCTCAAAAATTGGAAATCTTTACAAGTCCTGAAATGCCACCTACAACACCTGGTAACTAATGACATTTTTATGGTTGTGTACTTTGAAAGAACAGATAAAGTGTCAAGAAAAGAATCAGTTTTGTTGGACTTCCAGAGTATTTTCATAGTAAACATTCCCTTTCATTCTCTGTCATGAAATTCTTCCAGAAACTGGGTTATCTGTTGGACTGCCTTGTGATAATTCTCAAAGGATTTCCATAATCTTGGTGTCCATGTATTTTAAGAATTATTTTCTTTCTGTAATCCTTTCCACTTTGCTTACCAGAAAGTTGCAATGGAATTACAGATGATAATTATTTTATAATATATTCCTTCTATTTAGCCCAAATCAATACCACCTGGTCAGAGTATTTTTCTCAATGTAGTTTAAATATAAAGAGCACCATGTAGGCTCTGCAATGAGGAAAGATGGGTAAGAGAAGTAACACAATCTATATGCTATTATAGAAAATTATTTGAATAATGAAGTTCATTAACTCTTGCTGAGGTTAGTCATGAGCTACAGAATTAAAGCAGTTCTGAACTTCGATTCTCTAAATCTCAAATGTTTGTGCTTCTCCCCTATTGTTCAGTAAATTATCTTTTGAGTTCTTAACTCTACCTTGTGTTCTTAAATCCCTTAAGAGTGCCCACTTCCCAGTACATTTAGCTCAACAATGTACCTTTGGTTTTTATATGGACAGTTAATTCATTTTGGCCCCAAAACACCACATTTATTGAACCCCTACTGTGTAGAAAGCACAGTGCTGGGCATTCTGGAGATACAAAGAAATAAAAAGTAGTTCTTGTATTCAAGAAGTTTACAAATTTACAGTTATAACCTGATTGGTTCCTGCAAAATATTATTTATCAAAGCTGTATTAAATCTTCTTTCAGCTGCCCAGCAAACTACGTCTATCCCTTCTACACCTAAACGACGCGTCAGGCCCAAAACACCAAGAACCAAACCTGGTAAATAACTGCCTCTTTAACCTCTCAGGATATTTAATTCCAAATAGAGAGTGTCCATCTCCTTATCATAAAAAGAGGTTATGTGATTCTATAGGTTAAATGTCTATGGGTCTTTACAAAATTTGAAATTAAGTGAAGATGAATAAATCAAAATAACCAATCAATTTTCAATACTACATAATTTAAAATTATTTCAGTGATGTTCGTACATGTGAATTTTGGTATAAACCCAGAAGCAGGTACTAATGTCACTGTGTTAGAAAGTAAGATTTATAGTGAAATTTGTTTCCTTGGTATGTATGGATATTTAGGTGTTTATTAGGCTGACAGTTCTTATTTTGTGTGCCAACAGTATTTTCAGCTTTGAACTGGGGCTGTGGCTCACAGGAGAGACCATGATTCCCTCTGTCCAGTTGCTTATCATCTTAGAGAGATCATAGAGCATAAAGAGTGAGAATCAACATGAAACTATACAATCTGCTTATGAGGCTATAATACTTGTGTGGAAGCTCAGAAAAAAGAAAGAGTTGAGGATGTAAGTCTCTAAATATGTGCAGGGTTCAGACAAATTTGAAGGCGGAGGGAACAATGTAAGCATACGTTATAGCACAGAATTTGCATGGTACAGCTAGCTTCCCTGGAGGTAATTTTTTCATTGTCAGATAACACACTCAGAATCATGCTCAACAAATCAAGTTTTTGCTTATTCTGTGGTAGAATAAATACAGTTTTTTATAGTGTTTACTACTATGACTGAACTTATAAATTCTTTCCCAAAACTTGTACTCACTGTATTTGTAAACACTGACAGCTAAATATGGCAGGATTTCAAAGGGTCATTCGGTTCTTCGTGGGATGCTATCTTTTTATTGCCTCTAGGAATCTTAATTTTTTTTTTTTCCTTTCCATCACCAGAAAGAACCACAAGTCCTGGAACAGTTACACCTAAAATTCCTAAAATCCCTGAATCTACACAGACAACACTGGGTAATGATATGTCCTTGGTAGATGGCTTACTTCATTTTGACATGAAAATTCAATGCCTTAGCTTTTGTGTAATGTCTCAGTCTCTCTTCTAATTAGGTCATTTTAACAGTACTGAGAATCTCATAAAGTACAACAGCTTGGTGGCTTTTGTGATTTTCAATAGTTGGCCTCATAGCCAGCACATGTGAACTCAGCATCCATATATTATCCTGTACCATGGAAAGCTGGCAAACCACTGCTACCTTCTCCTCTTCCATCCACCATTGTATGTGAAGTGGAGTCTTAGACACAGTACTCCATTTTTTTTTTTTTTTGAGGGAGGCCCTCAAGTTCAAATTCAGACTTCTTTTGGAGGAATAGTAGTCTATTATGATGTTAGTAGAATTTCTTTGTACTATAGACCATGGCATTTTACCTATCAGTGATTATTCATTTTAAAACATGCCTAAAGTCTTGGATATGACTGAGAAATATGAAGTAAGGGTACAAAATTATTATACTGATTTTTTTTTAAATAATGGATTAGAATAATTTCCTTTGTGTAGTTATTGTGGCTATTTGTAACAATGCTGTTTCTGTTCAAATATACTCTTGAAATGCTTTTTCTGAATCAGATACAAATTTATCACTGTTTCCTGTTAAATACTTGTCTGTGAAAATGTCTTCACAGACATTTTGACTTGTCTGTGAAAATTTCAATTTTCAGTTGAAATTATTGAAATTTTAATATTTCAATAATATCGAAAGAATATTCCATTCTTTCAATGGAATATTTCCAAAAAATGTCTAAGATGATGCATTCATTCCACTTAAAGTATAGGTTTTTCTTTTGAGGTTTTAGACACTGAAATGCTTAAATATTGATTTTTCAATTATTTTCTTTACTTTTCCAGCTCCCAGTAAAACACCATTTATTTCTTTGAAACCTAAAATTCCTCTCACCCCAGAAGGGACACCCACCAAACCTGGTAATTACCCAAACCTTTTTTTTTTTTTTTTCCAATTCCAATAGTAGGATTAAAAAATTGTTTCATGTCACTCTTTGGAGCAAGAACTTCTGATTTGTATTTTGTTATTTGATACAATTTTTCCACAGAAAGTGCAAAAATGAAATGCAATGATCTCATTATATCCAGCCCCTCTGATATTATCATAGTGTTGCCCTGTGCTTTTGGGTGGATCATTCTGTTCATGATCATCACAGAGAAAATACAGAAATAGAATGAAGGGAGTGATTGAGGACTCCCTTGTCTAGGACTACGAAATAATTTCCAATATCAGAGTGGACTGGAATTCTGATCACACTGAATAGCTTTTCAGCCTGAAAGGGGGGAAGTGTTTCCAGCCCCTAAAAACTCTGCCCTTGTTTTAGGACTTCTCGTTCTCCAGCTGCAAGATTGGAAAGAGTGGGATTTTCCCAATGCTCCATGATTTACTTTCTGAAATGAAACTGATTTCTGAATACTGACTTTTGTTTATTTCTCAGGCGTAATAATGGTGTTTTGCTGAAGAGAAGAAGGCTCTTTTGCAGGGCAAGGTTATTGCATTTATGTAATTAATAACAGAGATATTCCCCTGCCTTTAGATGGCAGGACATACCGAATGACCAAGTTTTCTTTCTTTTTTTTTTTTTTTTTTTTTTTTTTTCTGTTTATCCAGAGTCTATACAGCAGTTTAAATGTTGACTTCTAGGTATCCCCTTATACTCAGGAAGTCTGTCAATACAAATCATTTTCCTCCAAATTTTAAATTTATCTTCAGGGTTTTTCTCACTGTCACGTTCTATGGATTTTTCACTAATGGGTGTTCACAAAGTACAATCATTAAAACAAACGATTTTCTACATAAATGGGCATGATTTATTTTTTTGCAGTGAAATGGGCAAGGAAGAAAAATGTAATTGCTCAGAAAAAAGAATTCTCAAGACTCCCTTTAAAGAGGCAGTGAGATTTCCAGGTGTAGGTGTCAGACTGGAGGAAATTAGGGATTAGGCAAAGGGAGTGTAGTTGATGCTGTGACCATGGGTGAGGTCTCCAAGTCAGAGAAATGGAATGAAGTTTCACTCTTACCCAGAGGGGTTATTTGGAGAAAGAAGTATAGCTAATGAAACTCAAGAGCTCTAACAGTTTAAATCAAAGAACTTTGACAGCTATATGAGAGAAGGGCTTAATTTGTTTAAATTTGTTTAAAAATCATGCTTAGAGGGCTTTGGAATAAGGTTATAACTATTATGCTGTACTTTGAAGAGAAGGTTATTATCTAGCAGATTGGAAAAATATCACCGTGTGTTTAGAACACCAAATTTAAATAAATGTCTCTCTAATCTAAGTATTTCTGTTATTACAAGATAAAATTTGAAAAGACAAAAAAGCCTTCGGATGTTCTTAAGAGTTTAAACATAGTTACATTAGTAATTTCATTGGTTTCTAAAGAATGATTTATAAGAAATTCACTCATACAAGTAAGGGGAGAGGATGTGTTCTTATTCTAAGCTCTTCGAGCAAAGAGACTTCTTCGATTCGACATTTTCTTTTAACATGTGGCAAATTATTTGGAAGCCAATGAGTTTTATATTCCTCTGATTTCTACTTTCTCATCACCTAAGAAAAGCCTCACTTTCCCCCCTCATATCAAGTATTAGGACTTCAGAATCTGCACCTACATTTACATCCACTTAAGTTGACCACCAGTGGTCTGAGGCAACACAGAGTAATGGATCTCTGCAAAACGGTGCTTGGGTTCTAGCTTTTTAAAATGTATTTACTTTTACTTGAGGGTGGGCCACCATTATAGCTCTGTGGAAGATTTCTGTCACTAGCCAAGGTTCAGGAGAGCAAATAAACCACCAAAACTTTTTTTATTTGAGTGATTCATTGCCTTCCCCAGCCCTCTCCTCACATGCTGCAATTTTTCCATCTCACTTTCCCTGCAGATTGCTTGCTTTTCCTTTGGTTTTCCTTTGTGGTTACACTAACGAGTAAAAACCCACATTGGGTTTGGCTTGTTTTATAAGCATAATGCACTGCTTTCTTGAAAATCCCACCATGTACCATGTCCCAACTTGTCTGCCTCGTCCAGCGAGAAGTGTTTCCTTCACAGTTAATCTTTAAGATAGTGGTGACATTTGGCTCTTCAGGCTTTTAACAGACTGGAAAGAGAGAGAGAGAGACCTCTAATTATAGGTGTTGTTTTTTTTTTAACACAGTTCTCTGACACAGTGGATAGAAGTATAAATTTTTCTCATTGTTAGTCACAAATCTGGGAGCCAGGTGTATTTTTCTTTTGTGCTGAGGTGAGTGGTGTAGTTATTTGCATGACACTTAACATTTTTATTCCTTTACCCATAATACCTTAAAATTGTAAATTAGAGGAAATCTTGTCAGAAGATGTACTTACTTTTCATAAACCCTGACATTAGTATTTCTAGGTACAGGTGAATTAGACGCTTAATTGAGGGCCTCCATACCTATTTGGTTTCCATTTCAGTGAGGAACTCAAAAATACAGATTTTTGTTTATAAAATTCATAAGACCACATTTTTTAATCTTTGTAAATTCTGAAAGATGCTACAAGTAGCAAATTTTAGTTTTTCACAGTTTAAGAAGGCAACTGGGTAGAAATTAAGACATGAATTACATCCTCAAAATTTCAAAAAGAATTTTTGTTTCCTATTTTCAGATATGGACTTTTTTGACAGTTATTATATTTAATGTATTAATGTACTATTTAATTAGCCTATGTCCTGTAGAATCCGAGACACCCAGACTCCTCCCACCCTCTCTCTATTTTTCGCTCTCTTTCTTTCTTACATACACACACACACACAAACACACAGACACAAACACAATTTTTGCCTTGCTATGTGTACTTCAGTCTGATATATCACTTCGGCTTTGCAGTTTATCTGTTTTAATCTATTTCTGGATAAGTTCTTGAGAAATGAAAAAAAATTTTTTTTTTTTTGGGCCACAGACATGCTAATGAACAATGCCACCTTTCCATAACACCTTGTATCTATTATACATTGCTTTCAGAATAAATGAAAATTTTCTACCTGCAAAATTTTTTGTTGTATTTTCTATATTTTAGATACTATAGAGTCTCTATCTACTTCTCCAAATCCTTCCACGGCCCCTAGTCCAGAAACATCATCCTGGTAAATGTAGTCTAAAGAATATAACTGACAAAATGATTTAAATTCTTTTAAGCTGGTTGGTGGGTGCCATGTTAATTAATTTTTCTGTAGGAAAAAAATGACAAAGAATCTTCACTTTTTTCTGTTTTGGAGATTGAGTTCCTTTTTTATTTTCTTCTTGAAAGAAAAGAATTCTTTTTGTTCTGTAGAATAAGAAATCTATTGGATAATCTTTTTAAAAGCACAAACAGATATTGTAACCAAACTATATTCAGCACAAAGTATCATTTACTTACTGCCAATTTGAAAAACATTAGAAGGATTGTTATCTTTCAGAATATTTAAATAATATTGTTATTTAATTTGTTCAGTGTTTGATGAAATCTGAGATTACTTTTTGACTTCTTTGATTTGCTAACAAGAATGGAATAAATTTCATATGTAAACCAATTTGTTCACCAGTAATAAATACTAGTAAATATGAGGAACTATATGAACCATCAAGGCCCCTTTTACCTTTTTAGACCATATATTCAATTCCTTTTTTTTTTTTTTTTTTTTTTGGTGAAAGAATATCAGATCCAGCCAGGCTGAAAAATCACCCAAAACTAACAGATCTCAGACCTGGCTATAGTCTGTTGGGTCTCTTGCCTCTTCCTACTTCCTTGGACGAATCTGACCATCCTAACTGAAAACAAATTGGCAGGTGATGGGACACTCTGGCCAGCTTTTGAGAGGCTACCCTGACCTTACCTTAAAGCTGTATCTCCTCAGGCACTAGAAAGAATCTTCAGAATATTAGGTAGTGGAGAAAATAGCTAAAAATCAACAAAAACCAGAATTCTCAATTTTTACTTTTATTGTGGTTTGTGGAAAGGATGTGGAGTGATCTTTAGTGTAGTAAGCCATAGAACCTGATTGTTCACCAGTGAGAGAACAGCTTTTAGAGTAAAGGACATTTAATTTTTCTGTCTTAAATGGTGATCTTTAGCATCACCTTTGATAATAATTATTTTATTGCAGCCCCAGAACCTCAGACTCTACCACCATCACAGTCAACTCTAGTCAACCACCAACTACAGTCAACACAGTTAACTCTATTAATGAAGTTTCCTTTGATGAGTGAAAAAGAAACCTCTTCCTTAGGACCCTTTATGTTCAATTTTGTCCTTACCTTGGGCTTTTTAAAAACTTGTCCTTCAGGTCTTCATTTCAGCCATATGGTCAGATGATACACTCTGTTTTTGCTTAACTAAGCAGAGGCTCTAGAAGCCATGCCGATTTTGATTGAACACATGCTCTGTCGTCCTCCTTATATTTGAGCACTGTGTCCCAAGCTTGTTTTAACCTAGTTGTTTCCAGTGGAGGACCTTGGCATTCCTCTTTTTGTAGACATTTTTGTGTTTTCACATTCAGAGGTGTTTATCTTATTTTCAAAACTCTAACATTCACAGATTTTCTTGAAAAGTAGTAGGATCTTTCCAGATCTAAATATCCTAATGTGTCACTGGGCAATTCATTAAGAGAAATAGAAAAACTAACCCCAATATTTATAGCTTCTTTTTCTTCAGAAGAGCAAGAAATGTATTTTGCTGGTGCCATCCTGGCCAATTACCCATATTTTCCTTCATAACACAAACTGTTGGTCACTTTAGGGCATTCATGTCTTCCTGAGAACCATGCCTTCGTTTGTTTATTTCCATTTCTCCTTCCAAACTTAACTGACAAGGCTACATTTTTTTTCATTTTGTCTAAAAACACAGGAATCTATTTGAATAAAAAAGGACTATCTCACATGGATTAAAGTTTCACTATTTATATATAATCACTCAACTTGGTAATTAGAAATCAAGAATTTTCATATCTAAAGGTTTTATCATTTTTCCTTTGATTTTGATTCCTTCCTGATGGTTTTCATGTACTCCTAGCACCTGGAACTCTGGAAACAAAACCTTCGACATTAGGTAATGCAGTTATGGAGCAAATGAGCTTTGTTTCCTCTTTTCCTGTCTGTTGGTATCTTTAGTAATAGGCTCACATTAATAGATTCATCCACTGATATCCCTTTGTGTGTCTGTGTTCTTTGCTCTTACTTGCAGAGAAAAAAAAATTCTTCAGTTTTATAAACTGTATCTCATTTTTAGAAAGCATTCCTTGAAATAATTTCTGAATTCAAAACTTTTCTGTACATGCTGTTAACTTGTAAAGTTTTTAATGCTAAATGAAAAATTCCTTTTGAATCTTGGGCGAAATAAAGTTTAATTTGTATCCCTAGTGGCTCCTTAAAGGTGTCTTTCTCATGTTCTTGTTAAACATACACCTTCAAAACTTTCAGGAGACTGTCTTCTCTAAGCTTTACAAAGTTTTGAGTTTTCCATCTCAAATGGAAGAATAAGGAGATATTTAACATATACATATATATATGTTTATATGTACATGTATATATGTACATGTGAAAGACCTCTTTTAACTGGGTAAATGATGATCAAAATTTGCAAAACAGAGGATATATACCCACAATAAATCAAAGAACTTAAATATGCTTTTAAGATATATTTAGTATTATCAGTTTTTAGAGCTACTGCTCTTGTATTAACTAGCTAATTTTCTTTCTTCAGCTCCACCAAAGACCAAACGACCAGGTCGTCGCCCCAGTCCTAAAACCACACCTAGTCCAGATGTGCCCAAGTCCAAACCTGGTAAATGTGATGTTCAGGGTTCCAGTAAGCATAGAAAATGGAATATGGTAGCTTCTGATATGATAGCTTCCTACTACCCAAATAGCTGGGCTTTAAGAAATAGTATAGTTGATTTTTATATTTAAGCATCTATCCTTCTTATATTTATGATATACTGTTATTTTTATTTGTAACTATTAGGTACACACAGCAATAGGCTGGCCCACAAGTGAATTATTAAAGTAGGGCACCCTAAAAGTCTCACTTGGGATGCGTCTTTATGGCAGATGGGGTGTGGGAAAGCAGGAGGAAGGAGGTAAAGGGGAAAAGTAAAAGGGAAAATCACACTCAGAAAAAATAGGGCTTAAGAATGAGGAGTAATATTTCCTTCCTCAAGATGCTGCTGCTTGATATAATTAGTGTTCTTGCTTTTTGCTTCCATAGTTCTGGAACCTGCTACAGTACCCCCGGAGCCTTTGGTGCCCACAATCGGTAATTCTACTAACCTCCACTTGCTTTCACGGAATGTCACTTTTGCTTTTCCGACTTTCCACCCAGGCATGACTGCAGTTTCACCACACCATCATAATTTCATTCCATGCTTTTCCTTACATTTCCTATCTGGGTCTGAAGAGCCTGAAGATAGGAGACTTCTAGAAGAATCCTACCTGTGTTCTTCTTTAAGGAAAGTCTGTGGTCTTGGATGCAGCTTCCTGGTTCTGCACAAACCCTTTGTCCTTCCATGTTCTGTTGAGAAAACCTTTTCCTCTTTCTCACACAGGGACTTCTGTGCTCATCCTGGACTTGGCAAATGGTGAAATTTTATTCCAGTGCCATGATTATCATTTCATTGCTTTACTCATTCAATTTGTAAGACCTTTTCCCTCTTAAAAAGCTGCATGAAATAATGGCTTCTTCAGCTTTCTGTTTCTTTGAAGAATGTTTTTGAGTATATTTTGAAAATGAGAGGCATAAACACCGTTCTTGTTCCAGGGTCTAATAGGAAAATAATGTGGTCTTCGTAACTTGAGAACATTAGTAATCCCAAACTTGTTTTATTGATTTGGGTACTAATGCTATTTGACTATTACTCTTTCATGAAAATTTCTCAGCATTCACAGTAAACCTGCTTTACTTTGGAAAATTCCAGAAATCTGTAGCCATGTGAAATTCTGTATCATTTAGAGTATTTATGGATTATTTTCTAGGTCTCCTACTAAGCAAGTTTCAAATTTCCACTTAAGATTTTTATGCTGAAAAACCTTAGAGTTAAGAAATGAAACTATTATACTTGTCATCTCTGAAATTACTTATGTAGAAAAAAGTCTTATCATCATTCTCATTTCTTTGCTCAAAGGTACATTTTGAACATTTCCTAAAGATTTTTCCTTTCTGAAAAATTAGGAGAAATGGACATATTTCCCATCCTTCCCATACTCCATGAATTAATTTTGTTGTATATCCAGTGAATTTATACAGGATCTTTGCTCAAGCCTACATGTCTTTAATTATGACAGTTATGGCCATGAGAATTATTGCTAATTTTTAAACCTTTCTCTTTAGCGTCAAAACCATCCAAAAGACCTAAAACCACACGTAGACCAGATGCACTTCAAATCCAGCCTGGTAATCACTACTTTCACTGCCTTGATCTGTAACTAGGAAAATGGTGTGTAAGTAACACTAATCTTGACATTCACAGCTCTGCTATGACACTAATTACAGGAACTTTTTTCCTTCAGATTCAAAACCACCAAAGCAATTACTTCCTAAACCCCAAACCCCAGCACAACCAGATACGCCACCAACTAAACCCGGTAAAAGTAATTTCCAGTCCTTTAGTTTAAAAAGCTTTTTCTTTGGGAATGTTGTTGAAAACTTTTATAATTTGCCATACTGTATGAAGCATAGAAACCCAAATATGATTTTGTTCATTACCTTTTCAAAGTAACCACATTAATTGTTAAATGAACAAACCAATATGTAGAAAGTTAGTCAGTTTCACATCTGATAGTCTGACAGTTTCCACTTTCTTAGCATTTTTAGACTTTGTTTTCTGAATTTGGGTATGTAATGAATAAAAGCCTGATGTTTCTATATCTGGAACATATTTGAAAGTGATTTTAGCATTCACCACTAGATAAGACTGGAAAGGCTGACACCGTGTTCATGCTTTGTAGGCAATAATCAGAGATTGGCTTCCTCTAAAATACCTTAATGGCATTTTAAACAGCAACAATTACCTAAGTGATTTCCTATGAAGTAAGAAGATATTTATATAATAGTTCTAAAAATTCAACTGCTTTGCAATTGAAAATTTCTCCTAAGGTTCCAATTAGTACAAAATTCTGATTTAGTAAGAGAGTATCTCTTATAATAAATAAGCTTATAAAGAAGGCAATTTATATCAACTTAGAATAAACCACGTTCTGTATCTTATGAATTAAACATCAGTAAGCACCACGAAGTTTGGACTTCTTTATTTTTCTTACTTCTATCTGTTTATTTTTTATGATGCAGTCTTTGAGCCTGTTACATTGGAGACCGAAGCTCCCTCCCCAACCATAGGTAATGAGGTCTTCCTTCTTGGTTGATGTCTCTCTGAGCTCGCCCTTCTCATCTGTCATTAACTGTATTCTCTTATGTATATGATGCTCATTGATCATTTTATCATTCATTTCCAAAACATTGTTTATTATTTTTAACAGGGAACTTTTCAACATCAAAAGGCATTCTTACTTCTGCTGCTCACTTTATAACCCCTGAATGTCATTCTTCCTTTGATCACCTTCAGAGGCATTTAGATTGCTTGCAGCAATGGACGCTGTCAAGGATTGCAGGGGCTGAGAGCGCATCCATCCTGTAATCCAGGAAATCTTTGAGATTTCTGCTTTTATGTGTCTGTAATTTACAGTTATGGGAGAGGAGCAGTTAAAAAGCTGGTTGGGGCTGGAGGCAATATCCAACTGTCCCTTTCTTGCAAAAGTCCTTTCCTCTTTGATTCTGTACTGTTCAAATGCACCTGGACATTTCTGCCGACAAATTCATCTTAGACACTGATTTCCCAAGCAAAACAAGGATTTCCTTTTTTGTCTGAAGGCAAACAGTTTTGAATATTGTTGCATCCTGTTGTGCTCACTTTCTCCACCTCTCCTGTAGGCCATGTTTTCCATTAATTTAGAAGATATTGTCAGATGTGGCTTCAACCAACTCTGCTGTTATGTCTTAGTCAGCAAAAGACAATCTCTGTACAAATGTTTACATGATAAGATCTTTAATGTTACATTTAGTCTTTTGGACTTACTGAAAAAATAGAGATACCAGTTTAAATCCAAGGAGTTACAAATCAGAATTTCATATCTATGCATAATTCATTCATTTCAGAATATTATAGAATTCTAGGAATCCTAGACAAAAAGTTGAATTATTACTCTTCAGACTTTTTTCTTTTTTTTTTTTAAGATTTTATTTATTTATTTGACAGAGAGAGATCACAAGTAGACAGAGAGGCAGGCAGAGAGAGAGAGAGGGAAGCAGGCCCCCTGCTGAGCAGAGAACCCGATGTGGGACTCGATCCCAGGACCCCGAGACCACGACCCGAGCCGAAGGCAGCGGCTTAACCCACTGAGCCACCCAGGCGCCCCAGACTTTTTTCTTAATTATCTCTGTTGCCTACTTGAATAATTATTTTCTTTGTTGTTGTTGTTGTTGTTGTTGTTTTTAATTTTTTATTTTTTATAAACATATAATATGTTTTTATCCCCAGGGGTACAGGTCTGTGAATCGCCAGGTTTACACACTTCACAGCACTCACCATAGCACATACCCTCCCCAATGTCCATAACCCCACCCCCCTCTCCCAAACCCCCTCCCCCCCAGCAACCCTCAGTTTGTTTTGTGAGATTAAGAGTCACTTATGGTTTGTCGAGTAATTATTTTCTAATTATTCATTTCAAATAAGTGAATATAAAAAAGGAGAAATAGTAAGAAATAATACTCCATTTATTATGAGGAAAAGCCCCAAGTTTATCTTTTGTGTGACTGTCACACATCTCCAATAAAGAGGCTAATTGAGAACATTTTTAAAGATTCTCCTCACCATCACAGTTCCTCAAAACAAATACCGGTGGTGGTGAAAGCCTTCCAAATACTAACAGAAGCTTTTGTAGTTTTTTTTTTATTATTTTTTAAAGATTTTATTTATTTATTTGACAGACAGAGATCACAAGGAGGCAGAGAGACAGGCAGAGACAGAGAGAGGGAAGCAGGCTCCCCGCTCCCCGCAGCCTCCCAAGCGCCCCTGCTTTTACAGCTTTTAATAGTAATTTAAATATTAGACAATAGAGATGTTTTTGGAACCAAGTTTCCAATGTAGTTGGAATCAGATAATTAAATACAGAAAAAAGGCCTCATAGGGATGCAAAATATAAAAGGTATGCCTATTTTGTGAGATAAATGGATACCAGAGTACAGCCAGTAATTGAGACCAAATACTATTTTTACAGTGTTCAGAAATGCTTTTTAATCATTACAGAGTAAAGAAGATTCATTTTCAAGATAATTTTCCTTCTTTTTGTACAGTTCTTAAATTTCTGTTGTTTATTGCTTTTGGTCAGTTCCTGCCACAGACCTTGAACCTGTAACTCTGAGAACTGAGACTCCCATGACAACATTGGGTAATGATTTTTTATGTCTTAAAGCAAGTGCATTTTCTGTCCATTATCTAGTCCATTCTGCTACTATCTTGGTCAAGGGGTTCTCTTTTTCTAAGGTTTTCCTCATTGCCCTCTCTTGTCACTCAACTATATTCTTCACTTTGAATATTGAAGATGTTTAAAGTAAGTTACTTGGTTAGTTACTTGGTTAAGCCTGTATGCAGCTTGTATAGATCATCTGTCTTCCACATTATCCAGTTTCTTAGTGCTTTACAGAGCCTCCGATTCTGCTCAGTGTTCTGTGGTAAAGCTAAATTTCAAATACAATTAGGAGTGGCTGCTCTATAACATCAATTTTAATTCTGTGGACATTGACAGAAGGTTGTGTTAAGATAGGCAGGGCATTTTTATTTTCTACCAATGATTTTAAGAAATGAAATGTACTTATTCTAATGTTTAATGGGAGGTATGTCTAAGCCAAATAATTTCTAAGTACAATCTCCCCAAAGCAGGTAAGCCTGGGTCCCTCTCTGATATGGACATGTTATGTTTCTGGGGTCAGGATCCTTTTTGAAAACCTGACACCAATAATAATAAGCTTTTTGGATTGTTAGAATAATGTTATATGTTCTTTGTCAAAAGAACTGTCAGTGGACCGGATCCCCCCAAATTTTCTTGCATATAGATGACAAAATTCCCAAACAAAAGAGACAAATTTATTAAGTCTTAGAAAATCTAGCAAAACGTTAGAAAACCTAGACCCATGTATCATCTGTTCTTGTGTATCTGGAGTTATAAGACAACATTAACCAGTTTCCTTTCTTCAGCTCCAAAAACTTCACGACGACCAAGGACACGTCGTCCACGTCCCAAACATAAATCCACACCGAGCCCAGCTACATCTCAGAGCAAACTAGGTAAATATGTGGTTCCTGGTGCCTGTGGAACCCCGTGGGATATGATTTTTGGGTGACAGTTTAACTCGCCAGCTAATAGCTCCTGGGACCCTTTAGTGTGAAGGCCTGAGTAACAAGAGCTCTGGTTAAGTCCCTGTGATTTTCTTGTGCTTCTCGGTGTCTTCTTGGTACCTTTGTATTTGCTTTCTCTGAAAAATTATATTTTCTCTTTGATTCTGGTTTATCAAAAGCTTACTTAGTTAAGTATATAGCTAGCATATTTAGTTCACTTAGTCACACATATTATTAAGTGCTACGTTAGCATCTGTGAAAAATAGAAATAACAAATGACTTCATTGAGGAAGGAAATATCTCATGTAGAAACTGTTCATAAATAGATATAAAGGAATATGGGCAGAAGAAACATATTTATTGAGTTTTACCAGCTGTCAGGCATGTAGTTAATTTTTAGAGAAGTGAAAGATTCATGAGCCAGTAAGCATAATGAGGACCTCGAAATTTATACAGCTTGTGGATCGGTTGTAGTGATAGACAGGAATAATATAAACAGAGGTGGGGAGGTACCAGATGTGTGAATGATAGCAGAAGAGTAGGAATTCGAAGGGCAACCTGATTGGGAGAAGAGGAAAAGACAATGTTCACTTAGCAGATGCTCAAAAATTTTGGTCAGTGATGCTACTTTTAGATGGGTCCATGAAGAAGACTTTGAATGATTGATTTCAATGATGGGATTTACAGCACACTCTCCTATCCTCCTGTCAGGTCTTTTCTGCCCTGATAACAGAGAAATGCACTGACAAGTTTTGCATACTGAATGACCCTCCTTATCTTGTTCTTTTATATGACTTCAGTTGGACAGAAGTCTTGGTCTTTTTCTAAAGTGGACTCTCAGAAAAAAAAAAATCATCTGCTCTGGTTATTCATTATAGTATCTGCTTAAAAATACCAACTATTTCATCCGTCATGATCTAGGGCCTTTTTTTCCCAATAAATTATACTTTCACATTCAATTCTCATAATTTTTAATCATAATGTTACTAGACAGATGCCTAAAGATTTTACTAAGCAGGGTTTTTTGTTGTTGTGTTATCAGATAATATAAAAACAAGAAAGGCTTGGAGCCATGTAGAGATACTAAGGATATAACCATTTCATAAAAATAAATATCTTTGTACCCTCACCTCAGAACTTTAAAATTTTTGCCTTTTGGCTATAAAAACAGTGGCACACTGTTCATTTTCAAGAGAGCATAAAGACTTTTCTCATGGGTTTAACATTTCTTTTTTCAATTACTTTGGATCATTGCTTGCTACAGACTCTGAACCTGTTACTCCTGGGACATATTTAGGTAATGATCCTTTATGTCCTTTAGCAAGTGCCTTTTCTTATTCACTGTCAGCGTTCTCTGTGGTGCGATATCGATGATGTCATAATTTGTTATCATCCCATTACAGTATTCAGCTTACAATATAAAAGCCTTTCTAACAGAAATGTGTATGGACTCAGTAAAGACCACTATCTGCCCACATCCCAGCTGGAGACTGCATCATGTCAGTCTCAGTCTGTTTAAACAGACTGTTGGTTAGAGCTAAGGTCCGAATATGGTTCTCCATATATCCCTTCCTTAGGCCGCCAATGCAATCGATTATGATATCATGAATTTTCTTTAGGCATCTTATTTTCTGTATTTGAAGTTCTCCCTAACTTTTCACTTCATGGGTGTTTCAGCACATTTTGCATGCTTAATCTAGTGAGTTACCAGGTGGAAAATTTGCCCAAGCCTAGTCATTCTAAATTATAATTAGAAGTGAACACTCTAGCGTGCTTTGAACTTCTCTCTCATCATCGTATTTTAGGAGCAATTTGTAACCAGTTTTGGATTAGGGACAACTTTCAAAGAATGATGGTTCCTCATCTTCATTTCTTAAACATAATTGTATTATAACTTTTAAACTTTGACAAACTCTCAATTTTAAAAGGAAACCTATTAATATACCAAAGGAGGAAATATCAAACCAAAGTAACAAAGCTTTCTTCACTCAGACTGACAGATTTTAGAAAGCTTAGCTATATCATCTTATTCAGAGTTTATGGAACCATCAACATTGTATTAACCCTAAATTTTCTTCCTTCAGCTACGACAACAAAGAGACCTCGTCGTCCACGCCCCAAAGCTAAAACCACACCCCATCCAGAAGTACCTCAGCCCAAATTGGGTAAATATGTGGTTTCCAGTTTAAGGAATTCAAGCAGTCTACCCCAATTGAGAACCTAAATTCTGAGGACACCTAGTCTAATATACCATCACAAACAGAGGTTCTTCCTTACCTTTTTATACCAAATGCCATTCTTTTCACTAAGGACTTAGTCTCTCAGCAAATGTAGTATTAGCTTCCTTTTGGAAATCTGTAGTATGTGTGGTAAACAGACCCTAGAGTGACCCGCTACTCCCCACCCCTCTCTCCTCCCACTCCCATAGTTCTGCCTCTTGGTATTAAACATAGTGTAAGCCATCTTTTCCCTGCTCTTTCCCCCTTAGAAGGCTTAGAAGCATTATTTTTACTGGGAAAATTAATTTTCTGACATTTCATGCACTCACAAAAATCTCTTTGGTTTCTCTCATTGATTTTGGTCAGTTCCTACCACAATCTTTCAACCAGTTATACTTAGAACTGAGGCTCCGGTGACCACACTAGGTAATGACACATTTTGTACATCAGCATCTGCTTTTCATGCTCATTTGAAACCCATTTCATCACCTTCATAACCACAGCTGCTTCTGCTTCACAAGACTCATGTGTCATCCTCTATTATCATTCAGTTGCTTCTTAATATACTGAAGAGCATTAAAACCACTCATTTATTTTTAAAAGAGCCAAGTATGAACTAAGTCTAGAATCTGTGTCTGCAATGTAATGCATTTGAATTTATAGCATCTCACCTCCATGTAACCTATTAATCACATTTTTTGTTGCTGAGTTTCAAAAATATGGGTTTTGGGGAGAGGTATCTATCCTTGATCTAAATTAAATATTGTCATAGCTCTTATAGTGTGACATAATTCTTGTGGAGATCTAAATTCTTACATTTTTATTTTGTGCATGATTTTGTTCTTTGTTTTGCCATTTTAGGTAATGATGTAGTCTTCTTTCAGCAAAGGGTGATATAGAAAACGTGCTCAATGCTAATAAATTTAAATTATAAGTGCCATCATTAGTTTAAATTCACCCCATACTTTCTCTACCACCACCATAACTCAGTAAAGGTTTGGAACTTTTTTTCATCTAGAGGTCCTTGTGAGAATATCCTTGGTATATAAACGCCTGTTTCTGTGTGACTTTTGTCTTTCAGAATAGTGTAAATCACATAAAAGGCAGTTGTTGAAATGGAAGCATGTATTTTAACCTCAAAGGAAAAATTTTCTGAAACTTCAGAATTGAGAACAAGTATACTTCTATCCACACTAAGAACACTCTGTTAACCTGAGGTTTTCTTCCTTCAGCTCCCAAAGTGTCTCAGCAAACTCATCATCTACCTCCCAAACCTGAAACCACAGGGAGTCCTGAAGCCCTTCAGACTGAACTGGGTAAATTGGGCAGATCCTGGTGAAGCCCATCCTGTAGGGTCCAGAGAAAGTGAAGGAAGAATTTAGAGTTAACAGCCGCTTCTACTCTAGAGTAGCCTGGGAGAACATGGTTGGGGAGCTTTACGTGGTAGTATGAGGGATATTTCTTATGCTTGTGAATTAGAATCTTCTCTCTAAATGTTTGATTTCTCATTCAGTTTTATTCATCCTTTAAATATTGAAAGTATGTGATGGAATGAAATAGCTACAGAACAAATTATGTTTGGGTAATTAGGAAATTATTGTTGTTGTTATGTGCCAGGCACTATAGTTAATATTTCATTTTTTCCCCATTTTTTTCCACTTTTTACAATTTGAATTCAATTAATTAACATATAATGTATTATTGGTTTCTGATGTAGAGGTTATTTCTTGCTAACTACAAAGCGAAGTCAATACTAGGTAATGAAGCTCTAGGGCAGGAGTTGGCAAACATTTTCTGTAAAGGGCTAGAGAGTCAATATTTGGGGCTTTGTGAACATATTTGCATATTTTTCTTTTTTTATTTTACAACTACTTAAAAAATGGAAAAAAATGTTCTTGTGTGGGCTATATGAAAATAAGCTGTGGGTGAGACTTGGTCTATGGGCCATTGTCTGTCAACCCTTGGTTTAAAGAAACAATAATCAGGGTGGGCCACTAGTTAGGAAGGACTGAATGTTGTAATCACCGTAGATGTGGATGGCTGGGGAGGAGGCAGGTGGAGAAGTACAAACAAGAAGGACATATGCAGAGGGCCAGTGAGGAGAAGCAGAGGCTTCCTTGAGCAGTTGAGGCTGTCAGGCTTCTAAGTCTTAATCAGAACATTTCACTGAGGCTGCTGCAGCTAAATGGGCCCAAACGATCAGTTGAAAATGTATGTTGAATATTGCACTTAGGAGTTTGGATTTCATGTAGGACTCAACCAGTATTTGTGCATGGTCATGCTTTCCCTGCTTACCCTGCTATAGCTCAGACTGAGTGCCCGTCCCTTATCCTGCTGTTTTAAGAGCCTAATCCTAATCCTAAAAGCCTAATCCTATTGGCAAAGTTCATTGTCTCTTTCCAAAAATGAGTTTTCAGCAAGCTTGATATGGTCTATTTTGGTATGTTACTTATACTAAGATCATGAAAGAGTGAGACACTTCTGGGGCACTTCACAGGGACAGTTGTCTACTACAAAGATAACACTTACTAAGTAATAAATTAATACCCAAGTGCAGAAAGACTCCATATCCCTCAGCTCAGAACATTAGTAGTTTTTGCTTGGTACTCTAGATGCATTATTACTTAGGTACAATTATTTTTGCAGTTCTGAGATTGTATAAATGTTTAACACTTGATTTTTGTTTTTTTGTTATTTTTGGTCAGTTCCTGCTACAGTCCTTGAAGCAGTCACTCCTATGAAAGAGGCTCCAGGGACTGCATTTGGTAATGCCACTTTCTGACCTTCAGCAAAAACTTCCCCTGCTCGTTGTCAAACCCATTCCACTCATAGCCATTCACTTACATTCTTTATCTTTGGAGTTGAACATGCATAAAACAAATGACTTCTTGTTCTTATGAGATTCACACCTGAATCTAGTTTGGGATATCTTCCCTCCCTGTAACTTATTTTAAAATTTGTTCATGCCACCTTCTATTTTAGGCTTAATCTGAATTCTCTGTTAAGGCAAATTTCATATATTCAAGTGAGCACCTGATCTTGATCTATGCTAACCAAGCAGTGACTGGGAAGTTTCTTAAAATATCCTTTGTGCATAGACCTTTTTTATCTGCTGGTTTTTTGTTAACTTTTAAGGAATATGTTTTTAATAAATTGTCTAACAGATAATGTGGTCAAGGATAGTTAAGTTTAAATAGTAAGCCGCATCCTTAGGGTAACTCTGACTACCCCTTACTCTCAGCCATAGTTTAGAAATGATTCTTAACTTTTTAATGCAGTTGGGGGACTCTAGGAGAATATGATAAAGGGGTGCCTGCCTGCCTCAGTCAGTGCAGTGTGTGACTGTTGATCTTGGGGTCATAGGTTTGAGCTCTTATTGGTTGTAGAGATTACTTAAAATATGAAATCTTTAAAAAAAATGATAAAAAATACCAATCTTGACTCTCTGAAATAATAACTTTGTTTTTATGTCAATTTTGCCCCCCAAAGTATCAATAACAGAAGAAGATACAGTAGCATATTAGGGGCAAATTTTCACACTGGAAACATATATTTTATGAAACTCAAGAAAAATCTGTCAAGTTATAGAAAACAAATTTTTAAACCTCATAATTTGCAGAACCATAAACCTTAAAATAACTGAATGTTATCTTTTTCCACTTCCAAAAACATCCCAATGGGCACTCCATTCACAAACCAAACTTAAAACCCCTCTAAGTCCAGATGAACCTGGGACTACACCAGATGAAAGCTCTGGTTTCAGGATCCTGTGAGACTGTTACTGTTACTGTTACTGGCTGAAAGTGTAAACCCACATACCCTGTAGCAAGGGAATCATGAAGAGTCCTTTCCCCTTCAGGGCTGGCAAAAAGTACATCTTTGGAAGATACATAATGTTTCCTCTAGCTCAGGGTAGTAGGAAACATGTTTTATTTCATCTTCAGGCTAGTTGAACACAGAACATTTTTCTGCATAAAAAACCTACAGAAGGAAAATAAGGCAGGGTGTTATTTTTTTTAATTAACACATAATGTATTATTTGTTTCAGGGGTACAGGTCTGTGATTCATCAGTCTTACACAATTCACAGCTCTCACCATAGCACATACCCTCCCCAGTGTCCATCACCCAGCCACCCCATCCCTCCCACCTGCCTCCCCTCCAGCAACCTTCAGTTTGTTTCCTGAGATTAAGAGTTTCTTATGGTTTGTCTCCCTCTCTGGTTTCATCTCATTTTATTTTTCCCTCCCTTCTTTTATAATGGTCTGTCTTTTTTTTCCCAAATTCTTCATATCAGTGAGATCATATGATAATTGTCTTTCTCTGATTAATTTATTTCTCTGAGTATAAAATCTTCTTGTTCCATCCACATCATTGCAAATGACAAGATTTCAGGTTTTTGATGGCTGCATGGTATTCCATTGTATCTATATACCACATCTTCTTTATCCATTCATCTGTTGATGGACATCTAGGCTCTTTCCATAGTTTGGCTACTGTGGACATTGCTGCTATAAACATTGGGGTGCATGTGCCCCTTCAGACCACTACATTTGTATCTTTAGGGTAAATACCCAGTAGTGCAATTGCTGGGTCATAGGGTAGCTCTATTTTCAACTTTTTGAGGAACCTCCATGCTGTTTTCCAGGGTGGTTGCACTAGCTTGCATTCCCACCAACAGTATAGGAGGGTTCCCCTTTCTCCGCATCCTCGCCAGCATCTGTCCTTTCCTGACTTGTTAATTTTAGCTATTCTGACTGGTGTGAGGTGGTATCTCATTGTGGTTTTGATTTGTATTTCCCTGATGCCAAGTGATGTGGAGTACTTTTTCATGTGTCTCTTGGCCATCTGGATGTCTGCTTTGGAGAAATGTCTGTTCATGTCTTTTGCCCATTTCTTGATTGGATTATTTGTTCTTTGGGTGTTGAGTTTGATAAGTTCTTTATAGACTTTGGATACTAGCCCTTTATCTGATGTGTCATTTGCTAATATCTTCTCCCATCCGGTCAGTTGTCTTTTGGTTTTGTTGACTGTTTCTTCTGTGCAAAAGCTTTTGATCTTGATGAAGTCCCAATAGTTCATTTTTGCCCTTGATTCCCTTGCCTTTGGCAATGTTTCTAGGAAGAAGTTGCCATGGCTGAGGTCGAAGAGGTTGCTAAGGCAGGGTGTATTTGCAAATTGAAGATTTTGGGGGTATTTCAACATTAAATATTAGACTCATCATATAAGGTCTTAAGGAAGTAAAGCATCATTTTGGAACTTGGTAGATCAGGGAAGGAGTTTAAGTCTTGATATCACATCAGAATTTGTACAAGTGGACAGGTGAGAATGAACGAAGACAAGAAAAAAAAAATAGGATATATATAGAGGAAACCAGAGGGGCAGAGGATCTGCTTATTTGAAGTGTTCATCAAAAGCTCTTGTTGGTGATTCCACATTTGGATAATTCCACAGAAAATTGAAGGAGGCTTGAATGTTCCATTCAGGAGTCCAATGTTGTTCTTATGAGCTTCAGAATCCTTTTCTTTCCACACTGGATGATGTTTTTCTGGTACTGATAGTGTATGGGTGCTTTACTGAATGCCACAGACTGTGAGTGGGTGCTCCTTGCCCAGTCCTCTTGAGTACCTTCCTTTGGACACAAGTCACAAGATCTTCCCCAAGCTGAGTTCTCAGCAAGGTCATCATACCCATTTTTGGTTATTTGTGTAATGGCTGCTTGGATCTTTAGGAACCTTTTCTGCAACCATAATGTGATGAACATAGTAGATATCTTCTTTATTCAGCACCCACTAAAGTGCAAGTTAGTATTTTACTTGCTTTTCAAGATGATTAGGAATGTATTTAAGTAAAAGCCTAAAAATGTCCTAGAGTTTACCATGTAGATTCAAATAATCAAGCATGAACTAGTTGAACTGTTTCCCTCTTGTGGTGCTAAACAGAGACTACAAGTAATGACTATCTCATAAGATGAAGAAGTCCTCAACTATAGTTTAGCCAAGTCTGGACCAAACAGTTGGTTTCCCTTTGTATTAGCTTGTTAAGGCTGCTATAACAGCATAGACTGGGTGGCTCAAACAATAGAAGTTGATTTCTCACAGCTTTGGAGGCTGGAAATTTAAGATGATGGTATCAGCAGTTTTAATGTTTCCTGAGGCCTTTCTCTTTGGCTTGTAGATGGTCTCATTTTGCTGTGTCCTCACATGGCCTTTGCTCTGTGTGTGAGCCTTCCTTGTGTGTGTCTCTATTCTTATAAGGTCATCAGTCATACTGGATTAGGGACCTACTCTTACAGCCCCATCTAATCTTAATTGCCTCTTCAAAGCCCCTATCTCCCCTATCTCCAAACAGTCACATTGGGGAGTTAAGACTTCAACATAGGAATCTGGGGAGACACAGTCACAGTCCCCTTCACCTAGAAATAAAGTAAGAGTTCTAGATGAAATGTTACACTGGCAAAATACATCTTGAAGTGAATTTCATAACTCCTTATACCTTTTTTAAAAACCTCTTTTGCTAATTTTATTACTTCAGTTCCTGTTACAGACCTTGAACCTGTTACTCTTAGAACGGAGACACCTGGGACAACATTAGGTAATGTTTCTGTGTCATTCACCAAATGCCTTTGTTGCTCATTGTACATTCCATTCAGTCTCCGTCTCCTGGCTTTTCTTCTCTCACGAGACAGCCACCATCCTCTTCTGTTGCCATTCAGTCACTTTATCCGACAAATCCTGAAGCCTCTTAAAAACAAGTTTCCTATTGTTTTTATGAGAGCTGATCTTAGCTTAATTCAAAACATTGCTTTCACTGGTACACTTGCATTGTCATGTTACCTCGGGCTTTGTTGAACAGTGCTCTCTGTTAAAGCCAAGTTTAAAACAAATTGGGATCTTTTTCTTATTTAGGCTGATCAGAGGCAACAGCCATTCTTAGGGTCCTTTGTACATTTAGGTTGCCAAGTCTTTAAAAAACTATTTACATGGTATGTTTGTTTCTTTGTTGGTGCTTTAAGTAATGACATGCTTTATCACTAACTTGACATATAGGAAATTACCTAAATCCAAAATTTTAAATTATAAGCCTTTTCCTCAGTGTGACCCTAACTGCCCCTCCCTTGCAACAGAGTTGAGCCTTCCTTCTCATTTATTTCCCCAATGAGGAAATTCTGTGAGTGTTTAATTATAAGTGTTAATCTTCATGCCTTGAATGAACAACTCAACCACACACATGAATTTGCCTCAAAGTACCACCAATGATAAAAAGAAGATACATTGGCATAAAAAGATTAAAAACATTAAATAACAGAAAATTTCCTGTAACTTTGGAAAATCTGACAGCTCTTGGAAAAACCGCTCCTCAGAATCCAGAGCCTTAACACCTAGAGTAACACAAAGTTTTTCTCTCTTCAGCTACTAAAACAACACAAAGACCCCATAGTCCATGTCCCAGACCTAAAACAACACCAAGCCCTCAAGTACCTCAGACTGAATCTGAATCTAAGTGTATGTTAGGTCAATGAATAAAATATTTTCTAGTGCAGAGTTATCAGAATCCATTAGCTAAAACCTAGGAGAATTTCATGTTGACTTCTTTAAGACAATCAAGATAGTTTAAAGGCTAAACCTAAGACCAAGACTATAGTTTGGCCAAATCTTCAAAGAACAACCATCTACTCTTTCCTTCATTTAAGAATGAAGGAAATTAATTTTTTTAGGAAGGAAGTTAATTTTTTTCTTTGTTTTTTGTAGAAAGATTGATACATAAGTATATTTGTTTAGATGTGAATGTTCTTACTTTTCATGTGTTTTAAAATTTCTTTGGTTTACTGTATTTGGGGGGCAGTTCCTGCTACAGTTCTTGAACCTGTCACTCTTAGACCCGAGACCCCAGGAACAACATTAGGTAATAATATATTATCTTTTCAACAAGACTTACTCTGCTTTTGTCAAACCCAGAGTTTCATTTTGCTTTATGTGACCATATGTCATTCTTCTTGGACATTCATTTATATTCTTAAAATTATGAAAACTCTTAAGTTTACCTGCCATTTGAAAGAGAACCAGTCATACATGAATGTACTTCAGAACATTTATTTGCCAGGTAACCTATTTGAAATTTTTTTACATTATTTTTTGTTTTATCTGAGCAGTGTTGGTTAAAAAATGGTTCTCAAACATACTATGGCTTTTTACCTCTTCTCTAGACAGATAAAGCCAAGAAATAGCAATCATGGGGCCAGGAAGATCCATTTATTCCACATTTTGTTTCTACATTTTTTTCTATTTGTGTGATATTGTTTTATTTATATTTAGGTAATGACACGTTTTTGTTTTAGTAATTACATAGAAAGTGTGGAAAGATGGGAAAATTGAATTCTAAATCTTGGGTTTAATATGACCATCCTTCACAATACATTAAAATTTAGCAGTGGCTCTTAACCTTTCTGTTGCCCCATCAACCTGCTCTATGACACTTTGATTATAATTACTAATATTATTTCTTGAATTAAAAAGGGACTTTTTTTCTTCAAAGAATCTTCTATGGTACAAGAATTATATACAGGGTATACATGACAAAATCTCAAACTAGAAGGACACATATCTAAAAGTTGTAGAAAATCTAGAACCATATTTTCACCTCTTGTTGCTTCCAGAACAGAGGTAATGTAGTTGTGTGATAACCCTAGAATTTCTTCCTTCAGCCTCCAAAACATCACAACAGACACGTCGTCCACGTCCCAGACCAAAAACCCCACCAACTCTTGAAGCATCTGAGTCCAAACCAGGTAAACAAGTGTTCCTGGTTTAGAGTTGCAGTAGCCTAACCCAGCAGGGGCTCAAGAGTAATCCCAGTGTGTGGAAGTAACAAATAGGCCCCATAAAAGTAAAGATATAACTTGTGTTAAACAGCAGTTCCCACTGTAGAGATGGCAAAAGGAACACAGCAGGGGAAAATCTGTGGAGCGACTGAATGCTTCATGCTTCTAGAGTGAAGTCTTCTCTGTCACTGTGCATTTCATTAATTTCCATTTATATACTGAAAATAAAACTTTAGAAAAATTGGGCATATTCGGTTCAAATTAACAAATATTATCTTTAGTATCCCTGGGTAATATTAGCAAATTTGGGGGTATAAATTAGGTGTGGGAGACATGTTTTAATCCTCAAACATGCAATAAGTTGAGAACAAAAGCCTTCATAAATAAGATAGAAGATGGCACTAGACAGCATGTATGCAAAGACAAGATCAAGATTGATTTCTCATTGCTATCAACAAAATGTATTAGGTACATAAATGTGTAGATCTGGAAAAGATAGATTAAGAAACTTAAATGGAGACTTGAAACCACTGTAGTATATGGATAAGTAGAAAGGTAGGAATATGGGGTGCCTGAGTGGCTAAGTCACTAAGTGTATGCCTTGGGCTCAGGTCATGATCCCAGGGTGCTGGGATTGAGCCCCACGTCTGGCTCCCTGCTCAGTGGGGAACATGCTTCTCCCTCTCCCACTCCCCCTGCTTGTATTCCCTCTCTCTCCCTCTCCCTCCATCAAATAAATAAATAAAATCTTTTAAAAAAAGGTAGTAATAAAATCAGAAAGAGTGAGTATAAGTGAGACCAACCAAAGGAGAAAGTCTAACTGTAGTACTAGTGTAAAAGATGTCTGACTAGAGAGTGATAGTCAAATCCTTCTGAATCTTGACTGGTCTATGGATTCTCACAGTGGAGATTCTTAGGCATCTGATGGAGTAGTTGAGATTTGATCAAGTGGACATCAGTAAGCTCTTTGTTGCACATGAAAGCATATTTCTTTGCTTAGAATGAAGGGGTAACCTGCTCAATTCATCATGCTGTAGCTCCACTTTCCTCCCAAAGTTGTTAGCAGTACACACACATCCCATTTTGACTTATTAGTTAGAATTAGATCATCAAAGTAGGAATAAGGAAATCGTTACCTCACTTAGGTATGGCCAAATTTTAGGAAATCAGAGGTCTACGTTTTTTAGTTGAATGGTTTTTAGAAGTTGCTACATAGTTCTAGAAAGTATATGATTAAGATAAATTTTGAAATAAATGTTTTTAGGGTTTTTTAAATTTTAAGCAATCATTTTGTTTATTTTTAATACTTTTGGTCAGTTCCTACTGCAGACCTTGAACCGGTTGTGTTGAGAACTGAAACATGGGTAACAACACAAGGTAATAACACATGCTCCTCAGTAAGTGCTTTCCCTTCTGATTCTCATACTCACTCCATCAACATCATAGCTACATGTTCTTTTGCTTCATAAGGACTACATTGTCCTCTGTTGTCACTCCATAAAATTCTTCATCCTAAAAGTTTTGAGGACGCTGACTCTTAAAACAAGTTGTCCCTTCTTTTTAAGAGAGCCATGCATAAACCTAACTCAGATCATCTGTTGTACAAGTAACCATCTAAAATTGTTCTGTCATCTCATGTGCATTTTAACCATGTTTTATTAAAGCTGGGTTTAAAAAGCAGTTCTTTTGACTCTACTGACTGTTATGGTATCAGGAAGTTTCTTTATGCATCTGAAGTCCTACCTTTTTAAAAATTCTCTAATATCTGTCCTTTGATAAACATTTTAGTTAATTATATGGCCTTATCTTAGTAAACTATCAGAGAGTTTGTATCTGACCATGGCTGCCCCATAATATTTCTGCAGCAGGACTTACCTCTTTTGTTCAATAGAAGAGAACCATGAACACTACTTCAGTTCTTGAATTAATAACTTAATTCTGTATGACTCATTCTCAATGAAATTGCCTTTATAAAAGAATGTATACTATTAAGGGTGAAAGTTTCAAACTGAAAGTTTGAAAAGATAGATTTACTAATGTAGTAAGTTTAGAAAATCTGGAGTCATGTGTCATGCTACCTTTAGCTTCTAAACTATGGACTCTGTAGTAATGAAAGGTTTTCTTTCTTCAGCTCCTAAAACATCAAAACGGACCCGTCGTCCACGTCCCAAACATAAAACTACACCAACTTCTGAAGCACCTAAAAAAAAACTGGGTAATTGTGGGTTTCTGGTTAAAGGAGTAGTCTTAGCAGCTCTTGGGAGTCTGGGATTGATGCCGGAGGGAGAAGAGATAGCCCTTGTGATCCCAGTATTGGTGAAGGCACTAGTTGATCTACACTGATCCCACCATTGACTTAACAAAGGAAAACATTGTTTGGGAGACATCTGGATGTCTTTGGGAGGGAACTGGATTCCTTGTGCTTTGTGCATAAAGATCTTCTGTTTTAGTATAGATTTTATTTACTCTTGCTTATTTCATTCCATACTTCTCTAGAAGACAAAATGTCTTAAATAGAACCAATCATTTTTATTTCAAGAAACATTAAGTGCCTTTCATTTCCCCCTAGAGCTACATCAACAGCTGTGAGGATATCACAGATGTAGATGGCTTCTTTTTACTTCTCAGTCTGTAGTATACTCAAAGTCAAAACCTGCCCCAATAGGAAACATTCAAAGATTGAACCAAGGCAATGTGTCTGTGCTAATCAAGATTATTTTTTGCAGGTTTTATGAACATCTATGCATTTAAAGAGAGAGAAGTTTGTGAAGGACAGGAATAAGAAGTTAGGAAGAGAGTGGGAAATCTTAGAATTGAACTGCTTTTTAGAAAACAGGTATTGAGCCCAGCTAGAGGACACAGGTCTCCTGGAATAACGGAAGTTCTGCTTCTAAGTGGTAATGATAGTAGTGAGTTTAGAAGGGCCCGTAAGAGCAGCTGAAGAAAGTTCTTGAAGGTATGACTCAGAAGTTTGGATCTGAACCTAGAAGCATTAGTGGTCTTTCCTGCAACCTCTTCCACATATATAGGGTACAACATTTTTTTGTGTAGAGCAGAGAGCTGCTCTAGTTGGCACCACACACTGAGTGGTTGTTTCTTATCCTAATTAGCTGAATACCTTTGCATCATGTGAGTTCTAAGACTATTTCTACTTACGAGTTCTCAACAAGATGAACATAGTTCACTTTGCTTTGTTCTTTTCTATGCCTCCTTTCAAACATAAAACCATTTAGTATATCCATCTTATTTAGACATCCTATCTCCTTAAAGCTTCCACAAAAAAGCCAACAATTGCCAGAATGCTTTTATTAGTATATATCTGGTAAAATGTTTAAACAAATTTCCTAGGGCAATAGTTGGAATTAGGTACTTAAACGACTAAGAGAATACTGTATTGACTTTGAGATGCTTACCAGATTATGTAGGCTATCACTGACTATTTCCTAAAAAAAATGTTTACTCGGTTATACAGTGACCAAATCTTTAAGTACTTAATTTCAGAAAAAAATATAATTGCTATACATTTATTGAAGCAGTGTTATACTGGATAGAATTAATTTGCTGACTTTTCACAAGTGTTTATTTCATTGCTTTTCATTAGCTCCTACTACAGATCTTGAACCTGGCCCTCTTAGAACTAAAGCTCCAGAAATCGTGGGTAATGAGAATATGTGTCCCTCAAATAGTGCTTTTCCTGCTCATTGTCATACCACTGTAGCCACAGGTCCTGCTGCATCTTAAAACCATTTTAACATCCTGTGTTGTCTTCCATTGCAGTCTTCATCTTGAAATTATGCTAAACTCTACATCAAGTCGTGTTTAAATTAAACTTAAGAAAACTGTGAATATTCTATTTTCAAGGCACCAAACTGCCATGTAACTTGTTCATTGTTGTTTCATGTGGTCATATGTATGTGCTGAAACAGGATTGACTACTTTAAGCTTTGTTTCAAACATGAATTTCCACCTATCCCTTATATGCCCTGCTTGTCCTTCATTGATTGCAGAAATACCATGTTCTTTAATCATATTACTTTTTATTGTATTAGGATTTATGTGATTATATTGATGGATCTGTTTTTTCCAAAAATGATGTTTTTAGTTAATTATCAAAATTATAATTGTGCCTAAGTCTTGAAAGTTTAGATGATAGGCTTTCATTATAGAGTAGGATGCTTCTTTCTTCTTTGCTAAGAGGATTTAACAGTGTTTGTTAACTTTTCTTGAGTCAAAGACTACTTTGAAACATTGATGATCACACTGTTTTATGTACTGATCCTCATGCTCTCAAATAAATAAGTTCATTATTATATACATGATTATTTAAATAATAAGCATTTGTCTCAACTTGTACAGAAGTGCAAGTAGACTGACATACTTTTTCCAGTAAAGTTAGAAAAGTATAAATATGTATAAATGTGTAAAAAAGTTTGTTTAGCAAAATTTTACATATTAAAGATAATCAGATAATCAAAACTTCTAGGAGAACTTCTTAATGATCACAGTGATATTTAGCAGAGTACAATGTTGTACCTATCTTGTGAGATTAATGGGTGCTTTGCCAGAGTGTGGTCAAATCTTCAGAGTGCTTCTTTTCTGTCAGACGTGAAGCTTAAAAATTGACTTTTGCAGTTAGTCTTCAAATGAATTTTTAAAATATCTTTGGTTTATTTTATTATTTTTTTTACTAGTTCCTCCTACAGCCCTTGAACCCATCACTCTTAGGACAAAGACTCCAGAAACTACATTAGGTAATGATATTCTGCATTCTTCAACAGTTTTTTCCTGCTTATCATCAACCCACTCTATCATAATCATAATCACTTTGTCACCAGCTTTATAAAACTGTCTTGTCATCTGCTGTCCTTCAACTTTATTTTTTTTTCTTCTTAAGGGCTTTTAAAACTCTTAAAAGAAGTCTTCTATTGTTTTTGACAGTTATGCATGGACCTGGGAATATCTGTCAACCATGTAATCTTGAACTTGTATCATGTACTCTTGTCTAAACTGGGTTCAAATTTAAACCTGAGTTTCAAAGTCGATAATGTCTGTATCTTCTCCTGACCAAACAAACCATGACAGCTCACATGGTATTATAAATTCTTTGGGACGGTTCTATTTCTTGGTATGAACCTACAACCTTACTACCTACAGTGTGGCTAGAGTCCTTACCTATTTTTAAAGCTAGACATTTATGAGATTGCTCACTCCTTGACTTGACTCTGTGTGTGAGATTTGTCTCTCAAGAATCTTCAGTGCTTAAAACAATAGTTAACAAAATAAGAGAAAATATTTCAACCTTGAAATATATATGCCTTGAACTTCAAGGCAATATAATGTATTTTAGAAAATTTTGAGTCATTTCCAAAACTGTCTTCACTGGAGTAATATGAAGTTTCATTCTTCAGCTCCTAAAGCAGCACAACGAACCCGTCGTCCACGTCCCAGGCCTAAAACCACATCAAGCCCTGAGGCAACTCAGACCAAACAGGGTAAATATGTTATGTCATGAACCCTAGCAGTCTGTCTCAGTGGGGTCTCAAGAAAATGTCTCTGATGGAAAGTAATAGTCTTCATGTTCCCTAAAAGTCAAAGAGTGAATTATGGTTAGCAACTAATTCTTGACTGAAATTTTTGATCTCTTTAAAGATGTGTTAATAGCAAGATTGGCATAATCAATCATAGTTATTTATTGCTATATTTGCACTTAAAAACATGATCTATTTATTGTGGTCATGATTATATAAGCATAAGTATCTTTTTCAGATTTCAAAAACAGCAACAAGTTACTTTCATGCATATTTTCATATCTATTGCCTAAACAGCATTTCCAAAGCAAGCTTTCATATTGGTTAGAATCAGAAAATCAAACACCTAAAAAAACCTCATGCAGAATTTAAAGTTTGTGACTACCTTCTAGAACGGATAGTCCCCAACGAGTATGACCAAATCCTCAAAAAGAAATTGCTTCCTGTCAATTCAAAAGTTTAAAAAAAAAAGTTTGTCATTTGAAACTAATGTTTAAAAAAAAAAATTAAGATTTTCTATGTGTGTTTAAACTTTCTCATGTTCATGTTGTCGCATTTGGTTAGTTCCTGCTACAAGCTTTGAACCTGTTATTCATAGTTCTGAGACTCCAGAAACAACATTAGGTAATGATTTTTGTGACTGCATTATATGCTTTTTTACTCATTGAAAACCTACTCCATCATTGTCATGGCTAGGGTTGCTCCTGCTTCCTTAGACTGCTGTTGTTCTGTTTCATACTTACCTTCTGGGTAGTCAAGATTCTTAATTCAAGTGCTACCTGTTGTTTTTAATTTTTTAATTAACATGTAATGTATTATTAGCCCTAGGGGTACAGGTCTGTGAATTGCCAGGTTTACATACTTCACAGCGCTCACCATAGGACATACCCCACATGAAGAAATCTATCTGCCATGAAACCCCCTTTAAAATTTCATTACCTGATCCGGGGCTACAAAATGATGATAATTAAAGATCATGAAAATTTTCTGAGCAACTTACTTTCTATGAGATTTTTGAGACAGTCTCATTTTTCCCTTCCTATTTTAAAAGATGATTTATCCCTCTTAAATTATCCGCCCCCCCCCCACAAAAAGAAATGCTTCCTAGAAGTGCTAATCCTAGTAAATATAAGTTACAGGCTTTCCTCACCATGGATGAATTTCGTTATTCTTTATCTTCCGCCACAGTTTAGTATTGGTTTTTAATTTTTACTAAGTAGGAATCTCTGAGTATCTAATTATATCAGTATCTATTCCTATTCCTTAATTAATAATTTTTTATATTATTTTGGTTCTCAAAATACCCTCAGTAGTGATATGAAGCAAATTAGATTAGTAAAGTAAAAATTTTCGAACTTAGGTAATAAACTCAAGATAATTTAATATGTTTTAGAAAACATAGGCCTATGTACAATGCTTTTGATGGTTTCTGGACCTAGAAATACAATAGCAACCCAAGATTTTCTTCCTTTAGTTTCAAAAAGATGAGGGAAAAATTCATTCTCCTCCCAAACTTTAAACTTCCCAAAGTTTCACAGTTGAAACCAAGAAAGTCAATGATTTCTAGTTTGAGTCCTTCCAGCTTATTGCAGCTGGATCCCAGGATTGACAGTAATGTGGCTTGTTAACTTTCACTTCCCAGCTCTATGCCTTCTAAGAGAAAAGAGACACAAATATTGATTAGCATCTTTACAATTGCATGTTAACCAGAAGGTTCGTGGTTAGGGAAGATCTAAGGTAGCCAAAATCATCACGTGCCCTGCATAAAGATTGTCTCCAACAAAAGATGCATCTCGTTCTATTCTCCTACTATTTCATTTATTTTTTAAAAAATTAGCAATACTCCTTTGGCTTAGTAAATAAAAATTTCCTTGCCTTCTGTGTTCCCGGCACCATATTAACAGTTGAGTGGAGTGAGGTGAGGTGAAGAACAGAGGTAGAGATCAAAAGTAAGAACATGTTTTACTTCTTGAAAAGAAGACAGTGTAATTGTGAGGAAACCTTGTTTCCAAGGGGTTTTGTTTTTTTAGATATAAGGCAATTTGCTTACACAAAGCAATTTGTTTAATAGAGTGGTAAAAATATAGAGAGAAAATACTTAAGTCAAAGTTCTGTGTAGACTGATAAGAGTTGGGCTTTAAAATAACCAATTTTTGGAGAGGAGATGCAACATGGGGGGTTAAGGGGGTAGGAGAAGAGTAAATGAAGCAAGATGGGATTGGGAGGGAGATAAACCATAAGTGACTCTTAATCTCACAATACAAACTGAGGGTTGCTGGGGGGTGGGGGATTGGGAGAGGGGGTTGGGGTTATGGACATTGGGGAGGGTATGTGCTATGGTGAGTGCTGTGAAGTGTGTAAACCTGGCGATTCACAGACCTGTACCCCTGGGGAAAAAAATATATGTTTATAAAAAATAAAATTTAAAAAATAAATAAATAAGTAAAATAAAATAACCAATTTTTTTTGCATTAGTAGATGGAAGGGTAGGAATAACAAAATAAAAACTCAATACCTATTGAGGTTACCCAACGGGGGATTCAAACTAGAACACAGAACAAAGCACTCCTAGATGGTACTAAACATTTTGGTAATGACAATATCATAAAATCAGTGGTAGGAAGCTCTTAGAAAGCCCTTGTGGGAATTCAGATTCAGATATAATAGTAAGAACCCATTTCATTTTCAAATTTTTATGTAACGATGTCAGATTGTAAATCTTTTATACTTTGTAGGCCATTCAGTGTCTGTCACAACTACTTGATTCTAATGTAGTATCTCAAGTGAAGGCAACCAAAACCAATATGTAAATGATATGTAAATATACCTTGAATCCTATTAGTTTGTGGGTGTGGTTGTGTTCCAATAAAGCATTACTTGGATTTTATATCATTTTCACATGTCATAAAATATTACTCTTAATTTTTTTTTGCATCATTGTAAAACACAAAATCCATTCTTAGCTCACAGATCAGGCAAAGGGCTGGATTAGGAGGACCATAGTTTTCCAATTGCTGCTTTAAATAATGTATACTCTGCATGGCTCTCCATAACCCTATGATTTTGAAGATCTATGCATTTCAGTTCATTGCTACCTTTATCTAAAATCTGTGAAATATCCAAAATTACTTTGACAACTTAGATGCTCTTCTTTCAGCTCCCACTGAACTGCAAACTCTTATTTTTAAACCAGTGACATCATCAAGCCTAGAAATGACACAGAGTCAACCTGGTAATTAGACTGTTTTATCTGTCTGGGTACATTGTAAGCTTCAAGGGACATATTCCAAGTGTTGATTTCCAAATATAAAAAAGCAAATAATACATTTAATAACTCCATATATTGTACATGCTCTTTCCATGACTACCTATTGGTATTAACTTAGTAATTTATTTATAGTAATTGCTATTCTACTGCTTAATATACTTATCTTCATTTTATTGTGTTTACTCTGTATCACATAAAGAATAATCAAGTATGTGATTAAGTAGTCAGTAAACCACTCAGAAGAACTGATTTTATTCTACTTATTTTTCACTAAAGTTTACAAAATTCCTCTTTAGGAATAAATTAAATTTTTGTTCTGCTATGTGAAAAGAATGCTAGTTCAGTTGCCACCATCAAGGAAAGTGAAAGTGTTCACTTCAGTAAAGATAACAAAACCAACCTATACAACATTGCCCTTCAAAATTAAAAACAAATATTTTAAGTTAGCAATGAAGGTTGCTACCCCTGACATATATTTTGAAACATAAGATCTTACTTTTATCTAGTATAGGATTATAATTTCTTTTCATCTCCTTTGTGCATCCGTAATTAGTTAAATGGCATTTTGGGGCTCATGAACGGTGCAAGGTATGATTGTTAATTGTTACCTACAACACTTAGAAAATTGTGACTTTAATTCAGTTATTGGAGCTTCCCTTAGTATTATTAATAATATTGTTATTATCATAACAGCCAACATTGAGCATCTATAAGTGAAAGACACTTTTCTAAATATTTAGTTTGTATGCATTCATTCAATGCTGGCAATAACCCTCCTTGATCAGTTGTATCATTTTGTGTTCTTTGCTAGTTTCTGAAGTCCTGGAATTGATTACATTAAGCACTGAGTCATCAAAGGAAGCTCTAGGTAAAAATGTTTCCCAATAAGAAGTCAAATATATGTGCTTTTCCATCTCATTGCAGAAGTCATCTTTGGATGACCTCACAGTTTGTGACATTTCATAGCTCCTCACATCTTGTCTGGGCTCATCCAGTGAATCTTAAAAGTCGCATGTTACATACAGCACATTGTGCAAGTGTCTGCTGTATTTCTATGCAAGTTTCACAATTTCCTTAACTCGCTTTCACTCTGAATGTAAGATTTAATTTTTTAATATTCTAATCATTCTTTAAATATGAATATGCACATCTTAGTTTTCATGTTTATATTCTATTTAGGATTCATCCCTATGCTTTTCAAGGACTCACTCTTTGTCTTTTTCTTACTAGAATCCTTAATCAAAATATGTAAGGAAGTGACATTACCTGCTTTGCTCCAGGTAGAAATTACTGAAGACACTGCCTGTTTTGGTGTGTGTGTATGTGCCCACACTGAACACTGCCTTGATTTTCTGCCTTCATCTCTGCCCTCTTAAATTGCAGTCATCTTCCTAATCTACCTGAGTGTTATGTATTCTCATGAACACATTGACTTAAGATAACTAACCTCTGTTTTCAAATTAAATACGGTGTTCTATGACAGTGTGTAATGCCCCGCCCATCACTAACCAGCCATTCCGTTTATTCCGTAGCACCAACTGTAACAGATTATCTGTATCCCTCTGCCAAAGCACCACTCAGTCCAGAGGAACCAAAGACTGGAGGTGGTAAAAGTTTTCATGCTTTGATTCATTTATTCAACAAAGTCTTAATTAGCATCTGTTATGCCCATGGAACATGGAAGTTCAAGCTGTGGTACTTGTTCTACAGTTGAATTCATTTGAAGAGCAGTAGCTTCCAAAGTCCTTGGAGCCTTCAAACTACAATGATAAATGATCTCTGAATACAGAAATTCTGGCTTCTCTGTGGTATCAAAATATTGAGGCATAATAGCTTTTGACAGCCAGTTAATGACAATTAAAACATTAATATTAGTTGGAAAATTAGTATGACAGAATAGGATTTCCCCTTTGGTTATCTCTCTTTTCTTCTCTAAATCCGTTATCCTAGCTGTAAAAATATAATTCAGATTCCTAAGAGAATGAGGTGTGCTGATATCCAAGAAGGAAATAGTTGACTATAGCTTAGCATCTTGAAGTTTTCTAAAATTGTTCTCCTTTGTTTTGATACAGTTGTGGAATCTATTACAAATGTGTCTGAACCACCCGAGACCACACTAGGTAATGACATACACCACAGCAGCTTTTGTCCTCATCACCACCATCACCTGACAACCTCAGTTTCTCTTTCATTGTGAATTCATGTTGCAACATCATTCTTTTTCACAGCAGTTAATTTTCTTTCTAGGTGCTTCTATTCATAACCATTGTCCAAAAAGTCTCTTCTGTTTTGTATCTAGATGTTGGTCTCTTTCTGTACTTAAGTCAGTGAAACTGTTGAGCCTAAAGCATCTTTTTCCTAACATTAAACATTCTGCCAGCTTGTATTGTGTTGAATATTTCAGTTTTCTTTTTGTATGGTGATCCATTTTATACTTTCTGCCCTAGCAACATACTTTCCATTAACACTCATTCCATGACATTCATTTACATCTTTGACTTTTTTTTCCTCTAATTTTAAGTGAAATCCAATGCTTCTTCACCGACTCATGCTTTAACATTTTTTAATACTTTGGTTTTCCCTTTAAGGTTACTACTAAATATGTCATTCTAGGATGGTTGAGGAGGTATTAGTTTGAAGTGAGGATTTAAAAAGTAAAGAATATTGCTTACTTTGAAAGAATTTTGGAATCTAGCATCTCAGCATTTTTTTAAACTAAATGCATTATGAAGAATTAGGAATGCTATTTTGCTGCAGAGTTACAATTTTCTTTCTTTGTTTTTAATTGTTGCCATCCTTTCTGTCATCTATCTGTACTCAAAATTTGTGAAGCACTATCATAGCCCCCTCCAGGTACTTTCCTTCTATTACCATAGAGATATCTCCTCTGCCTTCCCAAACCATAATCCTACCCAGCCCAGATGAGCCTTCCACTGAGCCAGGTAAATATTATTTTGTATTTCATGTAGAAGGTGAGTGTTTGCAGAATTTATAAGAATGGAAAGACAGTATGGGCACTATAGACATCAGAAAGCCTAAGTTAATTACTGTGCTCACATTCTTTGATGGGTGATCCTATTTTTCTGATGCCCGACTTCTCCTACCCATAAGCTATAGCCATTCACACGGCAGTACTGTGAATATTCTTCAGGATATGGCCAAAAAACCATTCTCTGCTACTCTGCCAGTGTTTCAAACAGGACACAATAATGTTTCTGGGGAAGAACATTTATATTCCATTTTTAAACATAAATATATATCCTAATTTTAAATACTTTATCATCTTGACTAGAACTTTTACAAGTTCTGTGGTCATGTACAGAATATCTTAAGGTATCTACGTTGTGTTTGAGATTAACAGAAACCTCCAGAAATAGATTGCACTGTGCAAAACACATAAAGGGGTACAACCGGCCAATCACCTTATTATTACTCAGGTCTTCTATTTCTTTCTAGTCCTCTTCCTGCAGCAGTTTGGCCTTTCTGCATGTAAATAAAAAAAACTAAGTCAAACCATCTAATTGGCAAGTTATAAAAACAAGTTACTTGATGGTGGAATTTAAAATATGAGACAACAAATCACCAACATGAATAACTAAATGTGCTGCTTCTTACAAGAAAAAATCCTTTCAATACCTATAGGCTTTCTTGGACTGATAGTTTATTGAAAATAAGCCCAATCTTTTGTTTTGATTATCATTAAACTATTTCACATGGGTCTCTTTCCAAAGGAGATATTAATCTTAATTTTATATATTGTCTTTTAAAATATCTTATTAAATTTTGCCTATTAAACTTTACAGTTTTAATTTTTATTGAAATTTCACACTAACTGCATTAACTACATCTGTACCAGTTACCTCTACATTTTCCAAATTTTCTTAAATAGCTGTATTAATGGATACAATTGAAATGTTTAATTGGGAGTACTCTTAGTGATACCTACCTCATACCCTGGGAGAAGCAAAGAGCCCATCGGGAACCTCAGCAAGGAAGTTGAGACTGAAGAAAATCAAAGATTGAAAGAAACTCTAGAATCAGAATTTCAAGACTGGAAGAGCTCTTATAAGAGTCCTGTTATTTTGATGGGGAATGTAAGGCTATAGACTGAGTGATTAGCAAAGGGAGCTCTAAATCTTCAGGCTCCTAGACCAGTACAATCTCCTGCATATCTTGGTGTTCATTTCTCCACAGGCAATGCCACTGAAGATTTCATGGAAACCACTGCATGCAGACTGTTTAGAAATTTCTAGTATCTAAAAACTCTTATTTTCAGCAAGGTTTCTTTAAGGTGCCTGAAACTTGGTGACCTTGAAAAAACATTTTGTTTCTCCTAAGCTGTGTATATTGATCACGCTTGAGACAATCCAAATGAGGTGTTTCCACAAACCACAACCCCATGTTTGATTTTTCATTTCCTCCAGCAGAATATACTTCAAGTTTTCTTGATAAAGATACAATTGGTTGTTACAGTGAATGTCCTAGAACTACTTTAGGAATTGTCCAAGAAAGGAATAACTTTCTCAGGAATGTATCCTTTCATTTCTGTTCAGTTTTTCTTCCCCAGTCTGACCAATGAGAACTGTGTTTTGTTTAATGAGATTTTTCCATTAGCACTGCTATTAAAATACATTTGTTTTCTAGGTGTATTTGAAATATAACTCACTGCCTTTGTTTTTAGAAGAAATTATAGTTATCTGCACTTAAAATATTATACTGGGCTATTCTGGTAAAATGGTATAAACCTGTAATAAAGAAGAATTCTTGTTACCATGAAATTTATTTTTAACCTATTGAAAGGTATTTGAAGTAGATATTTCTGAAATTCCAACAGTTTCATTTGTCAGCTGAGTATCTTGGACATCATATAATGTACTTTACTGTTTTGCTTTCCATTATAATGATATATTTATCTTCCTGTATTTTGTGGTTCTTTGGGAACTTTAATTGCATTAATTGCTGTGTGTCTAGGTCTTCATCTTTGAGATCCTAGAGGCTTAGATGCTGTAATTCTTGAAGCACTCAAGACTTCTAAACCTATATTCTTTCTTTTAGCTCCCAAGCAAGCACCGCGTGCTCCTCCCAAACCAAAAACATCTCCACCTCCAAGAATCCCACAAACACACCCAGGTAAATAGATATTTTAGATTCTGACCTGAATAGTTTGATATTAGTGGAATTATTCTTTTGAATTATGGTTTACAAGAGTTCTTAACTCTTGTAAAATGAATCTTCCTTTGAAACCTAAAAAATAATTTTGTTTATTTTTGAACTTCATTAAGTATGTTATTGGAATAGCTTATTCCAGAAAGCTTCCCTATGGTTACATTATTCGAAGAGGGAGCTGGAGAAGAATGGAATTTCTTAAAAGAGTAGACTGCCTATTCCCATTGCCTCTCTGAGCTTGAGAACACCTGTCCCTTCCATGGTCCTTGAATGTGCCTCCTCCTGCCAATCACTTTTTTTTTAACTTTGAGTAGATTTTATTTAGCAGTATGTCATGAAGATTTGTTTTATATGTCTATATAGTCTCTCCTATAATACAATGTTTATATAATATTGCTTTGGTGCTTTTGCTGTAAAAATTTTTGTAAGGATCCAAACAAGAGTCATTATAAACTATATTGCATTTTTCTAAGAGGCTCTTATTTGAATGATCAATCTAACCCTAACTTCTTAACCAAGATCTTATCCAGTTTCTCCAACTGCCTTGGAGGATCTCTACTGGGGACTACTATAATCTTGACATACCTCAAAATAAGTTCATCTTTTCCTCCTTTCAATTTGTCATTTGCATCTCTGGCAGGTTCTTGTTATATCTAATTTTTACTCCTCTTCCTTATCCAGCCTCAGCAGTCCATTTGTTAATAAGTATGATGCATTCAATTCTTCCAAACATTTCTAGCATTGGTACATACGCCAAGCATGTGCTTGGTCATGCCTTGTTTGTTGTCATTGATCTCCTCTTTTCTCTAATTTCAAATAATATCACCCCTCAGTGTTTAAGCAATTAATTCATCTCATCAGGTAGCGACTCAACAAATATTCATTGCATGCTGACTATGTGCCAGACACTGGGGATGTGAGACAGAATTGTATCTTTCCATGGTCAAGGAATTTACAGGCTAGCCCTATTGCATAAATTTTTAAATATCATTTATACATGGTCTGCTTCCAAAAAGTATTAGGGGTATACCTCCCCAGTTTGGAAGAAAAGGAATTTTCTCTACCCCTTACAGTCTGGGGAAAGAAAAATGGTAGCAACATCAAAATTATGCTCAAGCAAGGTTAACAGTTCTGAATTCCTACCACTAATCCTTTAATCATATCTCAGTATTCTTACTGAAAGAAAAAACTCTGTAGATTTGGGCATAATCTTTAATATCTGATTCTGAGAGAAATTTTGTCTGTCACTTTTTTCTTTAAAGGAAAATTCCTTAATAGACTTTTCTATGTTCTACATCTAGCTAATGATTTTAAATCTGTTTTAACATATTTTTAAATGTGTTTTATTTAATTATTAAAGCTTTGCTATGAAAATAATATAGGTACGATACATAGTGTATAAAAGGTACCAAGGCAAATATCTCCTGGAAGAATAAGAAAGTTAAAATAACAGTAAATACACTTGAAACATTAATCCATAAGAAAATAGTTTGAAAAACAGTGATTAGAGAGTAAGTAATGATTAATGAATAGAATAGGAATAAAAACAGGAAAACAAGTATATTAAATTGATAGAAAATTAAAATCTGATTTTAAAAACACAACAGATAAAGTCTCCCAGCTTTTTATTTAAATGTAAGGCATAAAATAGAAGTAGCAGAGAAAGGAGAAATCAAGAGAAGAAAGAAAGCATGAAAACTTGTTGAATGTTAGAAAATTAGAAATGAAAAGTAAGAAGTGGTGAGAATTAAGACATTGGAAATATAAATTAATGGTTAATAGAATTTTTAAAAGTAAAGGAGATATGAGGTAACAGGACATTCATCATTTTCTTTTTCAGCTATATATTCTGGACTTATAAAAATACTTATAAATCAGGATCTTTAATTTCCTATTATTATAGTATATTCTAAAGTTCAAATTTGTTTAATTTTGATTTAGACTTTGGTTAACTTTGCTCAACAAGTTATGTAACCAGAATGGATAGATTCATGTGCTCAAGGCATTCTACTCTCTCACGCTGAAATTTGGCGTGGCTGCCTGCCTCTAACAAGAGAGCCTCTGGTTCTGTCCCAGTTGAGGCACCTCTCAGCCCATCAGTATCTCCCACAGAAAGTAGCTGCAACCCACAAACTTTTGGCTTTGTCAGTGCTACTTAATGCAAGAGAAAGATTTGGAAAAATCAATCATGAAAAAGAAAATGAATTCTAATTATTCCTCTTAAAAGTGGGTGAAATTAGGAATCTCCTTGCCTAGGGGAATGAGCTTACTCAATTTATCCTAGCAATACAGAAGGTCTTTATAGTCTTTTAAGGATGTTTTGTATAAATATTCAAATCTTGGTACCTTCTCCCTTACCTTGGCTAGCTCTTGTAATTTCAAAAGGCCATTTGGGTGGGAGAATGTCCTGTGCATCATATAATACCAAATGCAATTTATTACTATTTTACTTTAGAGGGATCCATGACAGTAGTGAATACAACTTCAAGTGCAACACAGTGTGTCCATACACTACTATTCTCAGAATGATATTTCACAATCGGGCATACCACCTTTCTTCCTGTTTATGCTTAGATGGCAAGATTTAAATCTGTATTTGGCATTTGAGGTCAAAGTGGAATAAAAAGTTTGGTACAAATCATCAAGAGTATTTTGTCATTGAATAAAGGCTTGATTCCTGTGTTCATAGGTAATAGTCAACAACCCAATTAATTTTATACCTAGAAATCTTATAACCATCAAAACTCTGGGTGCTTCTGGCTTGTGTGGGGCAAACAATATGAGCAATATGGGCAAACAATATCAAAATATACTCAGATGTCTAATTTGTCAAACTTGTAAAAATCAGTGTCAAATTTATAAAAGTCTTGTAGAAGTGGAAAAAAAATTTATTATAGTCCTATAGTTTTCACATCATTTTGACATTGCATATTTAATTCTCCCAGGCACCCTTTGGGTTAGGACAGGTTTATTCACCTAAAAGATAAGAAACAAGTTAAAATGTGACCTCAGTGCTGGGATCCAGAAATCCCAACTCTTTGGAACTAGTGCTCATGTCTAGACCTTAGCACTTAGTTCCAGTCTCATCTCTATACTTAATTACTGTGTAACCTCAGGCAGACTGTCACTAACCCAAACCATTAAAGTGGAGCTCATAATTCATTCCTTCCATCATTATGGTAAGGATCAAAGAGCACAGTTCTTCTAAAACCACTTATGAAATTATAAAATGAGCTATAAATAAATTAGACTTTTTTTTTTCCTGGTATCTGTTACATTAACAACTCATTACTCCAAAGAAACAGTTGTGGGAAGACCATTTTAGTTTATGAACTTGCTCATTTAAGGATTTATGTGGGGCCTAAGAATTTAAGGGGGTGTAGAATGTAAGCCTGCCCACTCTGGCCCCTCCTGCTTCCCTTTCTGCTGTTGCCTGAGCTGACTTTAAGCTTGTTTTATGCATGCTTCATTGCCTTCTACTCTGACTTGACTAAATTCATCTTCATAGAAAGACATGAGACTGGGTTTGAGGAGTCAAGCAAACATCCAGAGAGGAAGAACACATCTGCATTAATTTGTTATTGTTATCTCTTCTGAAAAGATTTCCAAAAAATAAATCCTCCATCTTACCCTTATGCTTAGTCATATTTTGTGGTTTCTCAGACATCATTTTTCTAAAAGCATCTGGAATTCTGAGAAATGTTCAGAGTTTAAAGTTTATTTTTCTATCTAGTTCCCATTTCAGTACTTTTCTTTTAAAGTCAGGACTGGGAGATGCTGAAACAAAATGACTCATTATCTAAGTTCTCTCTTTCAGCTGACGAGGTGTCCCAGCCTATTACTTCAAAGCCAAAAGCATCACCAAGTCCAGAAGTATCATATACTCTGCCTGGTAAATGATTTATTTCATGTTTAAACCAAATTCATTCCCCTGTCACACTCTGCTGCAATGACACCTGAGAGCTGATAGGTGTAAGGGCAATATTTCACTCATGTTCTGACACCATGTTGAATCACCCATGATATGATCATCTCAGAGCTTCCATAGGTTATCTATTTGCTTGTAATAAGCAAATAGATAACCTATGGAAGGTTAGATTAGATTAGATTAGATAACCTAATAAGCTACTGATTCAATCAAATGTCAGAGAATTATGCCAAGGGTAGACATTTCCTTTATAACTAAAGTTCTCATATTTTCTGTCTTATAAAAAAAAAAAACTACCAATGTTAACTAGACTATGTTCAAATGGTTCACCAAAATAAGATAAAATAAAGAATTTCAGGGTTTTTTCCCATAAAAATGTGATAAAATGTTTTGCAAACAGAGGAAGTGATGTTTACCCATTATCTTTGATTCCGTAATTTTACACTACCCAGCACTGAGGGGTTTTCTCGGTTAATTTCTACTTTATCAGTTCATGTAGCAACAACTTAGGTTGAGAAATAAGAAATTTCACATACATAAAAGATTTATTTAGCTACAAATCTGTCTCTTGCCTATCATCTGAGAAGGACTTTTGTCCATTTATGGGGAGAATAATTTTATATTGGTGGAAGTAGTTGGTGTGAGAACTACAAGGACCCAGATATTTCCTGAGTCTTGCCAGCAATGTTCTAGATCCTCAGTGACTTTAGGAAGCCACTGTAAGAGGAATAGTTCTCTCACCAAACAAAGCTAATTTTTACCTAAGGTATCTGGAAAAGGCTATAATTTTTTCTTTCTTTTTAATGGTCCAGTTATTATAAATTCCTACATGCTCCTAGAAGCCTACAGAACATTCCTAGAACCAAAGGATTTCTAATCTGCAGCATGAAATGATGGCATTTTGGAAGCAAGGCTGAATTCACTTGCTGTAAATGTTTTCCAGACTTGTAAGCAGGTTTACCACTGCTATTGTGAGATAGTCCGGTTGTTGCAGGTGGCAGTAGGCCAGAGAGAGGCTCCTTTGCTCTGAAGTCTAGAATGTCAATTTGCACCACTAAATGCAACAGCCAGTATTATAAACATGCAACAAGAAAAAAAGTTGATCTTCCCACTTGGAAAAGGTCAACTTCTCATTTTAATTTGCAGGGAAAAAAATGTCCCAGAAATTGAGTCATTGACGATCACCATAGTAGGTTTGAGTGATTTTGTGTGCTTTTCCCTTTTGTTAGAGTAATACTGTTGGTCCTAATGTGACTTAATATCCTTAAACCATAATGAATACTAAACTCTATCTAATTGTTAAATGTTTTTCTTTTTAAATATCCAATATTTGTCTTAATTTCCCCTTATTTTTTCACAGAAATTTGAACCTTAAGTTTGAGCACTAGAATACTGGCACAAACTACCCCCTGGAGCCTCCATCGGGCTTATTCTGTTGACTCTCCAGTTCCACATGTTCATTTAGGGTCCCATCTCTAAACCTGGTTCTCATCCCACCATTTATTCATCAGGGGCTCCCCTGCTGCTCCAGGGGTGTGGTGCCTATAGGAATAATCTCTGTTTTTTCTCACGAGTGTTCAAACAGACTAGGTTCTCTTGGGTTCAGTTTCTGGGTCATATCTAGATGCAGGTTTGCCTCCTAATGAACCCAAGACCTTGTTTACCAGCTCCTATAGGTTCTATATCAGAAAGCAGAGGAGAACTTACACATAGGTTAATATGTACTGGTGTCCTAGAGAAATAGATGCTCTGTAAAAGTCTAAAAATGTCAAATGTAATGCTGAAATCAAGACAGTTATGTTTTATCACAAGGTTTATCTCAAAATTTATTCTGAGAAGTATCAGAAGTAACAAACTTGAATTTTCTATCTGTATCCATTAAGTCAATCTGGGACTGGACACACAGTTCTTCCATTCTATAGATTCCTAGATATAGCACAAGTCTCATCCACTTAGGCTTTTAAAAAATGTCTTGCAGCCACTCATTTGAATTCTCTCTATACCATTTAATGAAGAATCTAAACAAATTGAGCCCACATGCCATGTCCAGAACCAACACAGAACTGGCTTTTCTTCAGATCTGCCTCAGGAATGATTTCAAATTCAGAGCAAGGACTTACCCTGATACCTGGCTCAACAGAGCTGTGCTTTCTTTGTAGATATATTTCTAAACAAAGAGCTCTCTTGGCTTCGTGGTGACTCTTATGTCCCATAGGTATCTGGATACACCTCAGTCATTGGAAGTGAACCAGACAGATTTCGGCAAGTTATGCAATCCTCACAAGTGTTGTATGTGACTACTTTCTGGTAAATTCCAATTCACAGGGACACTTAAGCACTTTCACTGTTAGGAAATGAAGGAAGAATGCTGAAATGCCTTTAGAAATGGAATCACTTGGATGTAGACAATGACTCTTGCTATGGAGAGGAGGATGATACTGTTGCTTCTAGCTTGGGCAAGTAGTAGACGACAGTGCCACTAACTAAGGCAGAGAACACAGTGACGAATAAGCACTTGTGTTTGCGCATACTGGGTTTGGAAGGCCAGTAGGACTTCCAAGTGGGGATGTCTAACTGGTGGTCAAAATGTATTTAGAGATTTCTAAACTGAAAGTATGGGGTATAGGTGTGGGAGTCACTTGTCTACATCAAGCAGGTTATTAAATTTTGTGTGTGAATGACATCACCCAAAAGAAAGTATAGACTGAGAATTTAGAGATCAAAGACTTGGGGGACACAGTTATATTTAGGAAATGGATAGGGGATGAGAAGCCAGCAGAAGTTGCTACCAGAAATATAGTAGAGTATCGGGAAGAAGGGCTTCCAGAGGTAAGGCAGGGAAGCGTGGTCCACAATGACAGTTTGAAAGGGATCAGAGGAGATGCTGGACTTGACAGTGCAGATCCAGAAACCCATATCCAAAACCTGTGGGCCTATTAAAATCCAGCAGTTTTTAGGTTTTAGAAAGGCAAAACAGAACATACACTAAATATATTACTATGTCTGCAGTAGGAGGTATGAATAGTTGTACCACACCAGATGAATAAAAAGTGTTATTAGCCTTAGGTCTAGTCAGGTTTTGAGACCTAATTAGTGAAGAAAAAGGCTAAGTTTTTGGAGCCTTTGGACTTGATAGCTATGGATAAAGCACTGTGGACCTACTGTTGCAGGAGGTCAGTGAAGAGGAAGCCAGACCACAGCAGATGAAGATACAATTGAGAGACCAGAAGCAAAGGCAGATGAAGTTTTTCGATTATAGGAACAAGAGCAAGGGAAGGGTGGTTTGAAAGGGAAGGCGTATCAAGGAAATGATTATTATTTTTAGGATGTTGGAGCATTTGGACTGTTCTATAGGCAAAGAGAGAGGAAATCATAGGTAAGTGGAAATACGGACTAATGGAGAAACATATAAGATAATAGAAATAATGGAAGGTAAAGGCTCTGGAAGAAGGGGTGGTCCAATGGCACAGGTAAAGTGCAGAGAGTGGTCTCCACACAGATGGAGACATGCTTCCTGCTAGACAGGACCTAAAGGTACGAGGTTAGAATAAAGACCAGAGAATTCAGAGATTAAAATGGTGTACAGTCCATGTGTATTACTTTTCCAAGACCATCAGTCTCTTTGTAGCTAATTGTGGAAGTAAATGTCATTGATAACATATTCCAGGGTGCCTGGGTGGCTCAGTCAGTTAAGTGTCTGCCTTCAGCCCAGGTCATGATCCCAGGGTCCTGGGATTCAGCCCCATATTAGGCTCCCTGCTCAAGAGGGATTCTGCTTCTTCCTCTCTCTCTGCTCCTCTCCCCAGCTTGTTCTCTCACTCTGTCTTTCTCTCTCAAATAAATAAAATATTTTAAAAAAGAGAACTTCATATTCCACCATCCTTATCAGAGAATAACAGATTAATTTGTCTCATCTATTCTAGCAAAACATTCATATTCATTCATTTACCTTTGTCCAGATTAGACATTTCCATTCATAAATGTCTTAGTTGAATTTTTCTTTGGATTGGTGTACTTTATTAAAAAAGAGAGTAATGTAATTGGTGAATATAAACAGTAAGTTGGCTAATATAATTGAGTTTAAAGATATATAATACCAGTATTATGTATTAATTACACAGTTATTATAAAAATATTCTTATAAGGAAATCAAAACTACCTTCTCATATAAATTGTCATTATTAATACACAAAATTTCTCCCCACATGGAAGATTTAGATTTTAGGAATCATGCTTTTGTTCAATTTAGTATCTGGAGGAATGCCACACAGGGAAAAAGCAAAAAAAGTTTCATTTCTTGGAGCTGCTGTTGACTGAGTAAGAGGTTGATTCATATCCCTTTCCTGTGATATTTCTCTTTCTTTCCTTTCCACTGATTTCACCTGCTTTAGAAAGTCTGCAGTGACAGTTTATTAAATCATCACTTCATGGTTAAAAAGTGACAATTGCAGCAGCAGGAATCCACATTACCCTGGCCTACATTCCACAGTAAACGAAAGCAGGCAGCAAGTAATGTATTTACAGTACAGAGGATTTATTGGTAGCACATTTTTTCTCTGCCTCTCCTTAATCCAGCTCCTGTCTGTATAGCTAAGAACTGTAGCCTTTTAGGGTATTTAAAAGCCACAGGCTTCTTTGTATGGCCATGATCTTCACACAGCCAAATCAAAGTCTTTCACCTTCCAGATAAACATTTAATTTGATTTACAACTGGGAATTTCCCATATTTTACCCTTCGAATCCTCCAAAACACTACATAGCAAAGGTCAAATGTTCACTATTGTGGTAAGTTTTCTCTAATTTTTGTGGACCACTCATCTTTTTGAAGTTTTTTATTTTTAATTCAAATTTTCGGGGTGTCTGGGTGGCTCAGTGGGTTAAGCGTCTGCCTTCGGCTCAGGTCATGATCCTGGAGTCCTGGGATGGAGTCCCATATCAGGCTCCCAGCTCCATGGGGAGTCTGCTTCTCCCTCTGACCTCCCCTCTCATGCTCCCTCATTCTGTCTCTCTCCCTCAAATAAATAAATAAAATCTTTTTAAAAAATTCAAATTTTCAAGTTTCTGTACAACTTTTAGCTCGTAAAAGTTCTAATTGAATCAAGATCCTACTCTCTGTACCACATTCCACAACTATAACTTCAATGGTACTTAGAGGCCTAGACTAAGAACACTTGTGAAATGCAAGTTAAATATGATCTCCAAAAGCAGTACAAAGAGAATGTCAGTTCTTTATAAACTACATTCTACACTAATGGGTACAGTGTGTTTGGTTACCTCATGGTGCAAATCTTTCCTTGTGTTTTTCTGAGGTAGAATTCTAGCATGAACCCCAATTTTTCCCCAGCATCATTTAAGATGCAAGAAAATTACAATGTCTACCAAAGGATTTCTGGTACTTACCACAACTTCATTGTGGTAGGAAAACCTTTCAGCAAGTGATTTGGACTGAGAAAGACCTCTTTATGGGGAAACTGAGCCAAAGAAACACTTTACCTTGTTCTTGGAAGGAGACTTTGTCATAGAAAACTGGTGTTAATAATAGGGAACTTACCCTGGTATTTTCCTCAGATTTCCTCAGGCATCAGATTTGCAGCCTACTGTTTTGTTTTACCAAAATTCTAAAAATGTACCGGGTATCAGGGACCTACTATAAGTAGGTCTCTTTCAGCTGACATTTTTGTCCCTAGTTGTCATACTCTTATCTGTCAGAAGGCCCTGAAATGTAAGGTACTGGAAGCCACATCACTAAGAATGACAAAAATGGCAACATTGATCTAGCATTTACTATGTTACAAGCACTTTCATAAACCTTACATGTGGTAGCTTCTAATGATGGGTATATTCCACTTGCTCCATTTCCTCCCCCAGAATAACCATGAGTGCCTTTTAGAGTAAAGCTTTGTTCTCCGCTTACATATTCAAGAATTTGCCTTTCTTGCTGTCTTTCTTAATTTATAGGCCATTTATGTGTACATTATCTAGGATAATACATTTTCTTTTCCTCTCAGTGGACTTTTAGTAGAATATCAAATAGTAACTAACCACCTCAGGCAAAAACTAACTTTTCCCTTTTATTTTTTTTAAGACTTGATTTTTTAAGTAATCTGTATACACAATATGGATCTTGAGCCTACAACCCTGTGATTGAGAGTCACATGCTCTACTGACTTGAGTCACCTTCTTGTGTTTAATGCCATTACTTATTTCCTCTTCCCTGCCCCCCTCCCAAGAGAGGATTCATAAAGAATTGGGACCAATTTTATTTAACTGTCACCAGAACCACCTTTACACAGCGACTTTTTTCATTTTGAATAAAATAGTCATCTTCTTGGCTTTACTTTTTAGCCATTGTGAAAATACCTTTGCTTTATTCATGTTTTCCAGGATATTCTATCTGTGGGTTGAGTTTCACTCCAGATGTGGCATTTAGAGTACAGTGTTTGATAATCTTTTTTCTTTCAGTTCCAAGAGATGTGCTCCTTCCCCCTAAACCAGACCCTGAAGTCTCTCAGAGCGAACCTGGTAAATAAATTATTCTCTTTTCCCAGTTAGGAAGTATGTTTTTTGAAAAATGTTCTTGAGATAAATACATTTTTAATCATTGTGATATGGAAGAAGTTTGGAGAAAATTATGGATATAGAATGTATATTTCCTTTTTGTGAAGATTTAATCTTATAAACTGCATGAATATTTTTCATTTTCATTCTCATTTTATTCCTTATGCTCCACAAGTAAGTGAAACCATATGATAATTGACTCTCTCTGCTTATCTTTTTTTGCTGAGCATAATCTCCTCCAGTCCTGTCCATGTTGATACAAAAGTTGGATATTCATCCTTTCTGATGGAGGCATAATACTCCATTGTATGTATGGACCATATCTTCTTTATCTACTCATCTGTTGAAGGACATCTTGCCTCTTTCCACAGTTTGGCAATTGTGGCTATTGCTGCTGTGAACATTGGGGTACAGATGGCCCTTCTTTTCACTACATCTGTATCTTTGGGGTAAATACCAAGTAGCGCAATTGCAGGATCATAGAATAGTTCTATTTTTAATATCTTAAGGAATCTCCACACTGTTTTCCAAAGTGGTTGCACCAACTTGCATTTCCACCCACAGTGTAAGAGGGGTTCCCCTTTCTCCGCATCCTCTCCAACACTTGTCATTTACCGTCTTGTTAATTTGGCCATTCTAACTGGTGTGAGGTGGTATCTCAACATGGTTTTGATTTGAATCTCCCTGATGGCTAATGATGATGAACATTTTTTCATGTGTCCATTAGCCATTTATATGTCTTCTTTGGAGAAGTGTCTGTTCCTGTCTTCTGCCCATTTTTTGACATGATTATCTGTTTTTTGAGTGTTGAGTTTGAGGATTCTTTATAGATTTGGATATCAGCCCTTTGTCTGTAGTGTCATTTGCAAATATCTTCTCCCATTCCATGGGTTGCCTCTTTGTTCTGTTGACTATTTCCTGTGCTGTGCAAAAGCTTTTGATCTTTATGAAGTCCCAAAAGTTCATTTTTTGCTTTTGTTTCCTTTGCCTTTGGAGACATGTCTTGAAAGAAGTTGCTATGGATGATGTCAAAGAAGTTACTGCCTATGTTCTCCTCTAGGATTTTGATAGCTTCAGACCTCACATTGAGGTATTTTATCAATTTCAAGTTTATCTTCGTGTATGGTGTAAGAGATGGTCAAGCTTCATTCTTCTATACATAGCTGTCCAATTTTCCCAGCACCATTTATTGAAGAGACGTACCTTTTTCCCACTGAATATTTTTTCCTGCTTTGTTGAAGACGATTTGGCCATAGAGTTGTGGGTCCATGTCTGGACTCTCTACTCTGTTCCACTGGTCTACGTGTCTGTTTTTGTGCCAGTGCCATGCTGTCTTGGTGATCACAGCTTTGTAGTAAAGCTTGAAATCAGGCAACATGATGCTCCCAGTTTTGTTTTTCTTTTTCAACATTTCCTTAGCAATTCGGGGTCTTTCCTGCTTCCATAGAAATTTTCAGATTGTTTGTTCCAGCACTTTGAAAAATGTTGGTGGAATTTTGATTGGGATGGCATTGGAAGTATAGATTGCTCTGGGAAGCGTAGACATTTTAACACTGTTTATTCTTCCAGTCCATGAGCATGGAATGCTTTTCCATCTTTTTGTGTCTTCTTCATTTCTTTCATGAGTGTTCTGTAGTTTCTCAAGTACAGATCCTTTACCTCTTTGGTTAGGTTTATTCCAAGGTATCTTATGGTTCTTGGTGCTATAGTTAATGGAATCGATTCTCTAATTTCCCTTTCTGTATTTTCATTGTTAGTGTATAAGAAAGCAACTGATTTCTGTACATTATTTTTGTATCCTGCCACATTACTAAATTGCTGTATGAGTTCTAGTAGTTTGGGGTGGAGTCTTTTGAGTTTTCCATTTAAAGTATCATGTCATCCACGAAGAGAGAGTTTAACAACTTCTTTGCCAATTTGATTTATTTTTGTTGTCTGATTGATGTTTCTAGAACTTCTAGTACTATGTGGAACAGCAGTGGTGAGAGTGGGCATCCTTGTCATGCTCCTGATCTCAAAGAGAAGGATGTCAGCTTTTCCCCATTGAGAATGATATTCACTGTGTGTTTTTCATAGATAGATTTTATGAAGTTGAGGAATGTTCCCTCTATCCCTATACTTTGAAGAGTTTTAATCAAGAAAGGATGCAGTGTTTTGTCAAACGCTTTTTCTGCACCAATTCAGAGAACCGTGTGTTTCTTCTGTATTCTCTTACTGATTTGTTCTATCACATTGATTGATTTGTGAATGTTGAACCACCCTTGAATCCCAGAGCTAAATCCCACCTGGTCATGGTGGGATTATCTTTTTAATATACTGTTGGATCCTATTAGCAAGGATCTTGTTGAGAATCTTGGCATCCATATTCATCAGGGATATTGGTCTGAAATTCTCCTTTTTGATGAGGTCTTTGCCTGGTTTGGGGATCAGGGTAATGCTGGCTTCCTAAAGAGTCCGGAAGTTTTCCTTCTGTTTCTATTTTTTGAAACAGCTTCAGGAGAATAGGTATTATTTCTTCTTTGAATGTTTGGTAGAATTCCCCAGGGAATCCATCAGGTCCTGGGCTCTTGTTTTTTGGGGGAGGTTTTTGATCACTGTTTCAATCTTGTTACTAGATATTGGTCTATTCAGGTTGTCAGTTTCTTCCTGTTTCAGTCTTGGGAAGTTTATAGGTTTCCAGAAATGCATCCGTTTCTTCTAGGTTGCTTAACTTATTGGCATATAACTATTGATAATAATTTCTGATGATTGTTTCTATTTCCTCAGTGTTAGTAGTGATCTTTCCCCTTTCTCTCATAATTTTATTAATTTGGGTCCTTTCTCTTTTCTTTTGGATTAGTTTGGCCAGTGGTTTATTGATCTTATTGATTCCTTCAAAGAACCAGATTCTAGTTTTGTTGATGTGTTCTACTGTATCTCTAGTTTCTAACTCATTGGTCTCTGCTCTAATCTTGATTATTTCTCTTCTTGTGCATGGGGATGGCTTAATTTGTTGTTGATTTTCCAGTTCTTTAAGGTGTAAAGAGAGTTGGTGTATTTGGGATTTTTTTATTTTTTTGAGTGAGACTTGGATGGCTATGTATTTCCCCCTTAGGGAATGCCTTTGCCATATCCCATAGGTTTTGGACCAATGTGTTTTCATTCCCATTGGTTTTCATGAATTGTTTAAGTTCTTCTTTGATTTCCTGGTTGATCCAAACATTCTTGAGCAGGATGGTCTTTAGCTTCTAAGTGTTTGAATTCCTTCCAAACTTTTTCTTTTGGTTGAGTTCCAATTTCAAAGCATTGTAGTCTGAGAATATGCAGGCAATAATCTGTCTTTTGGTATCAGTAGAGCTCTGATTTGTGGCCCAGTATATGGTCTATTCTGGAGACAGTTCCATATGTGCTCCAGAAGAATAAATATTCTGTTGTTTTAGCATGGAATGTTCTGTATATATCTATGAGGTCCATCTGGTCCAAAGTGTCATTCAATGCTCTTATTTCTTTATTGATTTTCTGCTTGGATGATCTGTCTGTTTTTGAGAGTGGCATGTTAAGATCCCCTACAATTAATGTTTTCATATCAATATGACTCTTTATTTTGAGTAGCAGTTGGCTTATGTAGTTGGCTTCTCCCATTTGGGGGCATAAATGTTTACAGTTGTTAGATCTTCTTGGTGGATAGACCCTTTAAGAATGATGTAGTGTCCTTTTTCATCTCTGACTACAGTCTTTAGCTTAAAATCTAATTTATCTGATATGAGAATGACTACCCCAGCTTTCTTTTGAGGCCCATTGGCATGAAAGATAGTTCTCCATCCTTCAAGTTTCAGTCTGGATGTATCTTTAGGTTCCAAATGTGTTCCTTGTAGATAGCATATGGACGGGTCCCATTGTTTTATCCAATCTGCAACCCCATGCCATTTTATGGGAGCATTTAGGACGTTCACGTTGAGAGTGATTATTGAGAGATACGTTTTTATTGACATCATGTTGCCTGTGAAGTTCTTGTTTCTATAGATTGTCTCTGTAGATTCCTGTTCTGTGTGACTCTTGGGTTCTTCCTTCTTTTATAGAACTTCCCTTAATATTTCTTGTAGTGCTGGCTTGGTGGTCACATAATCTTTTGAACCTTGCTGGTCTTGGAAATTCTTTATCTCTCCATCCATTCTGAATGTCAGCCTTGCTAGATGAAGTATTCTTGGCTGCATATTCTTCTCATTTAGTGTCCTGAATATGTCTTGCCAGCCCTTTCTGGCTTGCCAAGTTTCTGTGGACAGGTCCGATGTTATTCTGATGGTCCTTCCTCTGTACATAAGGAATCTCTTCCCCCTAGCTGCCCAGACCTCCTGTCTGAAATTATGATTCATGAATTTCACAATTAAGTGTCTGGTTGTCTTTCTAGACTTGTTGATCTTAGGGGGTGTTCATTCTGCCTCTAGGACACTAAAACTTGTTCCATTCCTCAGATTAGGGAAATTTTCATCCAGAATTTGTCCAACTATATCTTCTAGTCTTCTCTCTTTCTCCATCCCCTCAGGGCTCCCAATAATTCTGACATTGAAATGTCATTTATTTCCCTAATTCTGTTTTCATGGCTTCTACATTGTTTGTTTCAGGCCTCCTCCTGATTCTTCTTTTCTATCAGTTTGTCTTCTAGATCACTAATTTGATCTTCTGCCTCAGTTACCCTAGCTGATAGAGTATTTAGATTAGATTAGATTCGATCTTGTTGGATCCAATGAGATTGGATCTCATTGGATAGCATTTTTAACTTCTGCCAGATTGGCTCTCACTTCCGCCCTTAGAGATTCTCTGTTGTCACTAACGGTCTTCTCCAACCTAGCCATTGCTTGGATAATTGTTACCCCTTTCTGACATACTATTTATGTCCATATCCAATAGTTCTCTGGCAGAGGGCACAATCTTTGAGTTTTTCCTCTGTTGGGTGTTCCTCCTCCTAGTTATTTTGGTGAGAGGTGGTTGAGGGGATGTATAGCTGAATATATCGACCACAATCCAGGCAAGGTGCACCCCAAAGCAGAGCCCAAGAGCATGGTGGCCCAGGCATGAGCGGCACCTGCCTGCAGTTGTGGCGCCAGCATGCTTGGCTAGGCCAGTCCCACCCCCGGCATGCTGCGAGTTCTGTGGGTGCTTGGACAGCCTGGCTCATGTCTCCGGCTTGTGGCTCCGGCTCATGGCTCCCGTTCGTGGCTCTGCCTTGTGGTTCCCACTCCCTCTCCAGCTCTCCTCTCTGAGACCTTTGAAGTTTTAGCTAAATTTTCTTAAGTGTCATCTAATATGTAGAATTTACTTATATTTATTATGATTCTTTGAGAAAGTTTAAATGTTCAAATAGAAGCATAAACACATAAGTGATGTTTACATCACCAAGTAAAAATTTTCATAAATATATTTCCTTGATTTGCTTTTGGCCTAGTTCTGCAACCTGTTACCTTTAGAATTGATCTACCAGAGACAACAATAGGTAATGGTTTTCCTCTACCAACCACCTCTAATTGTTTTCTTTGCTATGTATGGTCCAATTGCAGGTCTTTCTCAGTTTGTCATATTGAACCATCATCTCTTCTCAATCCTCCTCATCATCTCATTCTCATTACTCTTGCTCTTTGCAAAATACAATAGCAATGTCTTCACTGTTGTAAAGGCTTTGTTCTGAAGACCAACTTAAGACCACTCCTTACTGAGTTCATTTGTATCTACTTTATTTACTTCCATGTTCAGAATGAGTCCACATGCTCATGCCCATCTAGTTAATATTTTCTGCATGTTTAATGGTTCTCAGCTGTAGTGCTACAACACACTAGCACGTGACAAGTTAGGAAAGGTTCTGACAAGTAATTATTTTTAATATTGATCAAAATACTGAACTTTGCCAATGGTTTACTTTTAAAAATAAACTTGAGGAGACTTCAGATGACCACTGCAATAATGAATATTTTCACTCACTTTTGTAACCCTGCATGTTCTCTTGTATGCGAGGGAGAAAGAGATCTGTGGTTGACAGACCAGGACTGTTTCTAACTCATACCCCATCTTAACCAGGGATGGTCATGAAGTGTGTCAAGCCCTGAATGTTATTTCTTATCTGTCCTGGTGGGGGGGGGGGGAGAAAAAAAAATAAAACAGTTGAGAACCATTATTCTTATATTCCACAGTCATTTTCCTGAAGGTTCTGTGTACATCTAACTTTCTTCTTCATGACCCATTTCATGTTTTCCTTTTTCTGTGTCAAATAAAGGAATCTCATGTAATATTCTGGTCTGGTGCTAAAGATTGACAACACTTGTGCTTTTCTTTTGCAGCTCCTTTAGAGACACGAGGCAGCCCTTTTATACCCATGATTTCACCAAGTATTGGTGAAGAGGAGCTGCAAACCACTCTGGGTAAATCTAGTTTTCATATTTCAGCCCAATAAGGACCTTTCAGGGATTGCTTTTGAAGTAGCTATGTGTACATTGTGTATATCAATGATTCTAAACAATAGAGGGTCTCTTTTTACCATTATAAAAAAATCCATTCACTTGATTCATTTACATTAACTGTATAATTGTCCTTCTAATATTTATGCTGGTTTTCAATTGAAAATGAGAATATTTTAAAATATCTTGACAAAATTTTAACTGTTCAAAGAGAGGAATGTTCCCAAAGTGTATCAGTGCTATACTTTTTGCTGCTTTTTTTCCATATTTGAAACTGCCTTTGGGAAGAAAATTTTCATTTTCAATTTATTGAGTATTTTATGGGAGTTGAGTGAAATATTAAACAATGGGAGTTCCAAAAAAGAAATTGTTTTTAAGGGGGAGTCCTTTCTCTGGAGAGCTCAGCATCTAATATGAAAAAACAGGATTAGTGATAATAGTGCTTTTTCATTGTCCCCCAGTGCACTATGTGTAATGTTTTCATTTAAATCCCACAATGCTGAGGTAGATTCTATTACTTGCCCCATTATATAGATTAGAGAATTGAGGCATAAAGAGATTTAAAAATTGGGCTAAGTCACACAGCTAATATCAGAGCTGGATTGGAACCCACATACTCAGTAACCAGAGCTCCTGGGATTCACCTCAGTGTTGTAAAAATGAGTGTGGTAGAGAAATGAGCAACATGTTAAAGAAGCCAAATACTGGGTGCATCAGGGGAGGAGGCAACATTTACACCAGATTTTCAAGCCGGAGTGAGAGTTGAAATTTAAAATGTGAAGGGTTCTTTCAGGTTAAAGACAGATGGGAGAGAGGCATTTCAGAGAATGGTGTTCAGGCTAATATGATGAGCATGTGACTCTCCTGGAGAAACAAGGATGGCCAGGTGTATCTGGAAGGTTAGTGGGGGTGAGTGAGCCATGCTTTCAGTTCAGTACCAACACTTTCACAGCATGGAAAAACCCAGTTTTCCTGACCCTTGATTGAAAATGAATCAGAAAACAAGAATTCCCAGCTTGTGTTTGTTGATTCCTCTGCCCTGTCCACAATACATCTAACATGGCTGTGTTTATTTAAATCAGTGGCCTTATTTTCCTCCCTTCATCCCTTTTCAAATAAATATATCCTTTGTATGTGTGTACTGAAATGAAGTTACTGATCATATTTCAAAATGAAATCCTTTTTAAAGGAACAAATTTAAAACTGAGCAAACACACCCTAATTTTCAAATATTCATCTATTCTAGCCATATCCACAAAGTGAACATCATCCATGACCGCAAAGTCAAAAGTACTTTTCAAGAACCACTGCTAGATATGCTATGTAGCTTCTACACCCTATTTATTTTAATACACCTTGGTTTATTGAAGCAAGAGCCATCGCCTGCCAATGGTCACAAGTATATCTGTTATGAGCAGAATCCATATTATAAACCAGGGCAGGAAAAAAAAAAAGACAAAAGTGTATTCTATGCCCCAAGTATTTTCTTGGACACAGGGTATGGTAAAGTGGCAAAGTAATTTCTCTGTCTATATGATGCTGTGATGACTTCAAGATAATATGGAAGTAGAAGTAGTGCCACACTTAGTTTTCTTATTTTGCCAGAAAAATATGTCAATAAACTTTGACTCTCACATCACATAAATAGAAGAATATTTATTCTTATACAGTGTAAATGCACCTGTTTTCATACCCTGTATTTCTTTTCCAGCTCACATAAATAACTTGTGAAGTTTGTGAAATAGAGGGGAGGCATGAAGACAGTAATATGTAAAAACAGTTGAGAGGCACAGTTTGGAACGGCCATGTCCAGGATCATGAAACAGTAATCGTGAACTTAAAGTTTTTGGAAATCCTTACAATAATCATTAAAAGAATAGGGCAAGAAGATAGCATATATAATAAATGAATTATTAAAATTACCTTTAACCTTGAAGTTTTGTGATGACAAGGCAGACTTATAAATGCAATTTCCCATGGGGCAAAAAGAAGTGTGGGGTTTTTTGATATGTTCATGATGATAATTACTGAAAGCCACCAATCTTACTGTTTTTCCCCAGCAGAAACCGACCAATCCACTCAGAAATTCTTCACAACTAAGATTCCACTAACAACTGAATTGGTGACCACTCAGGGTAATGCTATATCCCCACTTCTGTATAGTAAACTATTTATTTTCATTTTTAATGAGGAAAGAAATTTTCTTTTCAGAATGTCTGTTTTCATCACAGTGAATTAATATAGGTGCAGAATATCAGCTGAATAAGAATATTTATATGTACACCACTTGAATGTAGGAAAGACAGTTTATTTAGTTAGAACGTTGCTTTTGAATGTAGGGTTGACCATGTGATACTGAGAACTAAGAATGAAAGCCTCCCACCATGCTTTTTTAGTTTGTTTAATCTTCATTTGTCTCATTTTCCACATCTGATAAATAAGAATCCATATTAGCTTTTTTTTCTTCCCCATACTTCTCCCTCTCCCCATCCTTCTTTGTGCTCTCTCTCTGCCTCCCTCTGTCCCATCTCCTCTATTACATAAGCACATTGATACTATAGCCTGAGGAAGGAAACTAGTAAGGAGAAGAATCAATTTTTTTAAGACAACTTATATTTAAATATCAAAGGAAGGTTTGGGGGATATTTCCTTGTATTTCTTCCTTTCTACTTCTTGGGAAACAAACTTGCCTACACAAAGCTCTATCTCCATGTTCTCAGTAGTCTATCCTTTGTATATTTTTCTATCCTACTTAGGTTATAACCAGCTGTGGATTTCTGGTATTTTGGATTATTTTTTTCTTTCTGTTCTAAATGATCCCTTTTGTTCACCTCTACATCTTTCCTATGGCAGGAAGCCCAAAAGACAAAAGTAAACTTTTTTTTTAAGAAGTTGGAAAACACATTGATTTTATTTATTGTCAGTTATAATTTGTGGAGAATATTTGGTATAAGAAATTTGAAATAAGAAAAATTATAAAAATTTTGATTTTAAGATATTTTATACTAAGTAGAGCAGTACATATCTAAATAAAGATGACTAGAACACTTTATGGCATAGGATAGTTCTTATAAATGTTCTCAATCCTCTTTTACTAGTTTGGTTTCATTTTTTATTATGTTTTAATGTTTATTACTTACCTTATTACCCTCCTATTTATTAACTTTCTATTTATTTATGCATCCACACAGAAGAAACCTAACATAATAACAGCCCTCCCACGTCCTCATGACCAGCTTCCAGTATTAACAACAGATGGTCAATCATGTCGCATCCATAACACATCCTCATTTTTGTAGGTTTATTTTTATCTTTTTGCTTAATAGAAGCAATTAATGTCTTACTTTATAGAAGGTAGTTGGATTCTCATAATGAAATACATTGTTTTTGCAGCAAAATATGTAAACATTTATAATAAGCAACATAAAAAAGACTATTCAGTTCAGGTTATGTTGCCAGATGAAGAAAAGATTACAGCTTTTTAAAGCTTTATAGATTTCAGAATTGAGAATAAAAGATTAGAGGCCTATTTTTTCCTTGCTTTGTTTTTTTTTTTTTTAACTTCAATGGGAATGTCAGTACTGTATCACCATTACTAGTGTATGTGGAATTTTTATCAAATTCTTTCTAGAACATGGTTCTATCACATAGGAATTTCATGGCTGATGGGGTGTATATCCAGGATCTGATATCATTATATGAAATGTCTTAACATATTTATAACTTAACACATGTATGTTCTGAGGATCATTAGCTTGAGCCTAAATTGTGCCACCCTAGGGTTCCTACTTTTCAAGGCTTGGACCAAGAATCTTTAAAGTGAACTCACCAGGCCTTCGCTGATATAAGGCGACAAAGAACACCCTAGGAAAGAACCTATCATAAGGACGGGAGTAGCATTCACCACCTGGTCCAGCCCCATAGTCCCACTTTACCATCAGGGCCCACTTTCACAAAGCCATGCTGTGCATCACTAGGGTCACCCTCATAAAACCCATAAAAGTGTGCCTGAGCTCTAAGAGATAGTCAGTCAACTGTTTTGTTATATTGTATTTTTAACATCAGGCATTAGAGGCATAAGACAGCACACGGCATTTTGAGAAAGGTGCTGGGGGTGAAATGGTTCTTCATGGTCTTTACACTCTCCCCATGCATGGACCATGGCCTGTGTGGCTCTTTGATCTCCCAACCTCCACGATGGGACCCAAGGCCTCCAAAAAAACTTTGTGTCGAAAACCGACAGCATGAGGCTGCTAGTAGAATCTCCAACCCCATTTCTCTGTGATACCCTTGCTCCTTTGTCTGCTGTGACATTTCCCTGCAGCACACCATAACCAAAACCCTGAAATACTCATGCTCTTCTTTGCCTTTCTCAAACTATAATAGAAACTCACTTGACTAGAGATATTTTGGGTTCCCTGTTTATTTTACTTGTTTCCACTCCCTTGTCCCTTTCCCCCCCACCACCACCCCAGGGAAAGTTATGTCTTCCTTACTCTCTCTGCTGGGCAGAACATGACACCTTCAAGGTGTTTATTCTATAATCCTATTTGTTTAGTTTTGATTTTAACTTCATATAGTATTTCTTAATGCTCTTCTTAAATAGATTTTTATAAAACTAGGTACAAAGGCATCCTTTTTTTTATTATTATTTAACTTCTTTTCAGTGTAACAGAATTCATTGTTTATACACCACACCCAGTGCTCCATGCAATATGTGCCCTCCATAATACCCACAACCTGGCTCCCCCAACCTTCCACCCCCTGCCCCTTCAAAACTCTCAGATTGTTTTTCAGAGTCCATAGTTTCTCCTGGTTCATCTCCCCTTCCAGTTTCCCTCAACTCCCTTCTCCTCTCCATCTCCCCATGTTCTCCATGTTATTTGTTATGCTCCACAAATAAGTGAAACCATATGATAATTGACTCTCTCTGCTTGACTTATTTAACTCAGCATAATCTCTTCCAGTCCCATCCATGTTGATACAAAAGTTGGGTATTCATCCTCATATGGTATTTCTTAATGCTCTTCTTAAATAGATTTTTATAAAACTAGGTACAAAAGCATCCTTTAAAATTATTAGTCATTAAAAGCTATGTGGACGTATGTTCACAAAGCTCCATTTCTTTTTCTTTTTTTCTTTCAGTTTAAAATTAAAACCCTAGAGCAGTTTTCTCAAGGCCATGTGTTATTTAGTGATAAACTGTATGAGTAACTCACAGTCTAAACTGAAGTTATATTCCAGCACTGGTCTGAAAAAGTCTGTCTAGATTTGAGTAAAGATTGTGGGGGAAAAAATAAAGCAAAAATTCTGATCCTATGGCTTTGAAATACCAAATGTAGTCCTGATTGTTTCTGTGTTCTGCTTTATATAACTTTCCTGTCTAAAGTTTAAAAATTAATATTTGTCCTAGAAGAAGACTAATAAGAGCCATGATCCTTGTATTTCTTTGAGCTAAAACATTTTAACATTGAAGAAATTAAGATGAAAAACTGAAATAGATTCAATTCACAGGGAATTCTACCACTATCAAAGAGAATTTTGAAGAAAAACATTTGCAAATCATCATGACACCATTTGAGGGTGTAATGAGAATTAATTTTTTTATAACATCAGTGCCTCTGCTCACTCTAGCTGCAACACTTTGAAAGGCCCATGATAAACCTACAAGGAACTTCAGTATGTGTCTGCTGTTTTTGGCTTGAAATATGGCAAAATTCTGCTCATCAGTCTTCACACTGGAAGCTTATAAATGAGCTGCATTATAATCTATTTCACAGGTGTATTTTTTTTAACTTGGTAGGAAAGGCATTGCTGATTTATGATTATATAAATACCCACTTAAGATGTGAACAAAATCATCAAAACGATGTAATCTACTTACATAGTTGCAAGAAAAATTTTTTCCAGTCTTACCTAAAGCATTACCAGGAGGGTGGTGTTAAGGAGGCAGTCTGGTATGTTGAGGGTGAGGAGAGGAGGGAAGGGAAGAGGGAGGAATTCCAGGATGAAAGTACACTTTAAAACCTTAGGAAGTAAAAGGATTTCAGCTTAGTTTCTCATGAGTTTGCCTGCTACAATGGTCGCTCATTTGTTAAATTTATTCAGCAAGTCTTAATTAGGAGTCCTCACCATGCAGGCCCTGAATAACAGGACCGGAAAATGACAAGGTGGTGTGTTGCTTCCAGGACTTGCCCCAGTTTCTTGCTCCTTGCTCATCCTCTCTTGATAGGCAGAGCAACAAAGATCATTGTCTCCCATTCCTAAAGCTTTAATGGATAAGACTAAATGAGTATTCATTTCAGGGTTATGAGCTAGGAGAGTTTGATAGAGACCACCATCCCTATTCTTTTAACCTACCTAAAAATACTTTTTTAATTTTTGAGATTACCTGTCTTCTTGGGCAAAATAATGTTCCACTATGACTTCCTAATTGAGAGATGTGGATGGATGGATGGATGGATGGATGGATGGATGGATGGCTAGTTGGCTTATATGTTTACGATGTTAACAACCATTGCGTAAAATAAAATGCCTTTGAGAAACATGGACTAAATGAAGACTAATCCTTGACACATATTACAAATTACTTAGCTCACTTTATGCCTTTATTTCCAGTCATGAATATGTATGCTTGTTTTATTTTCCTTTAGCAGCAATGCTGTAGTGCATAATTGCAGGTTTCAAAACGTCCTTTCTACTTCCATGCAAAGTGTATGAGTTGCTAGTCCCTAGGATGCTAACTCCCCATTTAATGGAAAGTTGGTGATTAAATACAAAGCCTTTCCTCTGTTTCAGCACCACACAGATTGTATACTACTCCTGTGAGGCCCAGAATACCGGACAAAGCACACATCAGACCCGGTAAGTTGTTTCTCTTTCCAATGACCTAAATAATCAGCACACCTGAGAAGGAATAAAATGTGTCGAAATAGTAGCATACACCAAGGGAGGGATATATATCTCTAAATGGCAATAAAGGATGTGCAGAAATTCAGATCCTTGTGGAGAGATAATAATGAATCTATGGTAATGATAAAGTGTGACTAAGGTTTTTAAGGATGACCAGATATAAAGACTCCCATGGAAATTTATCAATAGAGAAGTATTTTTAGAATAGCATCTGTATGTAAATCTCACACATACTCCTTCAGTTTTCCATGGCAATTATAGGAAAAGAATTAGAGTTAGCTATTCAGATATTACTAGCTCTCAAATAATATTTAAGAAGAGATGGTCTATTCTCGTATAAAAGATGCTTGTTCTGGGAGAACATATTTCCTTGATTCCTTCAGATAATAAAACACACACACATATACACATATTTTATAGGTAATATATAGTAAAAATGATAAGCATTGGAAAATACTTTACATTTATTGAATTCTCCAAAAGTTCTAGGATCTCTGTCACTGGAGCTTGTTAAGGAAAAGTTAACTTGGAGAGGCTGATCTGGTTCATGTAAATTGTTCCTGTGCTAAAGCACAAGATGTACCAAAGACACTGACATTCTGTTGCTACAATTCTAAGTCATCTTAAAGTTCTAAATAATGAAGCTGGCTTATAAATTAATGTTCTTCATCTACATCTCTCTGGGCATATAGGAAAAGAAATCATTTTATCCTTCGGTTTCTGCAGATTCCATGTGGTGTTGTGTGTTTGTGTGTGTGTGTGTGTGTTTGTGTTCTGTGGGGTGGGTTGGCTGTAATCTTCCAAGACCCAAAGGTAATAAGGCACAGACATCTTTTTTTGTTTTAAGATTTTATTTATTTATTTGACAGACAGAGATCACAAGTAGGCAGAGAGGCAGGCAGAGAGAGAGGAGGAAACAGGCTCCTTGCTGAGCAGAGAGCCCGATGCGGGGCTCGATCCCAGGACCCTGAGATCATGACCTGAGCCGAAGGCAGAGGCTTTAACCCACTGAGCCACCCAGGCGCCCCGGCACAGACATCTTTTATAAACAAATACATCTCCATGTGCCCTCTGTACCATGAGCTTAATGTGTGGCTGGTTATAGTAAAAGTTTATACACAATAATGAAACCATAACAACAATGGCTAACATTGACTGAGGGCTTGCCATGTGTCTTGTGGGGTACAGCTGAGGAAGCCAAAGCATGAGAAGAGGTAGGAAGTAGATTTAAATGCAATCAATTCTGGCTCCAGAGCTTGCTCTCCCAACCACAATATACTTTGTGCTTTTCCTTGAAGAGTCTTCCAGAGGATATGACAAGTGACCTCTTAAAGCACTGGCAATGTTCTGGCTCTCCATAAAGTGGAAGAGAAATTAAAATTATTTCATCATATTCCATGTTCAACAGTGAACTTGTACCAGATTAAGAGGGAACACCTGTATGTAGAGACCCCTGCAAAAGACCCACCAACTTATGAGTCATGAATTAAGGCCTTGGCATGTAAAGGTGCTTCAAGTTTTAGGTTTTCATTGGGTATATATGTAGTCCTGATCTTTCTTCAGTTCTGTTTTGAAATGTATCTAGTGCTTAGAAATTAACTGAGGGATTTCCCATTTAGACCTATAAATTCACTTGCCAGTTAGTTTTTCAAGCCAGTGATCACCTCAGAGTAAAAAATCAGGTCACTCTTCCCACATTCAAATCTATGATTTTTAAACCAGAATTGTGGTTTCCATATTTTAAACAATAGTTTTTGGTAAGCAATCATTTTTCTGTTGCCTCGTTAAATGACTTCCAATTCTCTGGGAACTTCTGTTTGCCTTGATTGCAAGGTTTTAACAAGAAAATTTCTAACCTATTTATTTCCCACTTTATTGTAGTTCTGAATAAGACAACTACAAGACCTAGTAGACTCAAACCCAGTAGGACACCCAAAGGGAATGGCATGGGAACAGGTAATGATCACAAATTTATTTCTTTTTGATCCTCTCCAAACTATAAAAGTGTTCATTCAAAATTTGTATTTTTATTGAATTCACACTTCAAATTTCTTTTACACCAGTTTTGGAAGTTCTTAATATAACTGGAATTGGAAATTGTAACTCATTCTAAAATCAAAATTTCCAGTGTCTGAAAACATAGAAAAATAATTTTTCTTTTCTAAACTCAGTCCATAAAATCAGCTACCATATGTAGTCTTGATTCTTGAAAAGATCCTGATTAATATGTATAATATGTATTATTGGATAAAAATATCAAAATAACTTTTTCTCTAATTTCAGAAACACTTTCCATACATAGGCTCAAACTTCAAGACTATAATCACTTTGTTTTTTATTGGTAGTTTCACCAGTACCATTACAATTTTTTTATAAGACCTGCAACTGTTGGCAGTGTGGAACATAATAGTCTAACAAGAGCAGCTAACAGTTAATCATACTGGCTACAGGCATAGTAACATTACCAAAACATTCAGCTTAATTTGGGAATTAAATGACATTGCTCTAATCCGACCAGATCTCTGGAAGTAGGAGTCATGCAGATAACTAAGACAGTTATCTGATTCAAGTTCAAACACCTAACTCACTAAGTGGATAAATGGTAGTTATTAGATGCGTTAATATGGGATTGCATCATTTCCTTGCTTTATTTATTTATTTATTTATTTAAGGGGGGGAAGAGGTGGGACAGAGGGAGAGAGAGAGAATCTTAAGCAGGCACCATGCCCAATGCGGAGCCCCATATGGGTCTCGATCTCACAATACTGAAACCATGACTTGAGCCGAAATTAAGAGTTCAACACAACGAACTGAGCCACCCACGCACTTGCAATATTTTTTTAACAGTACAAATCATGTGTGTGCTTATGAAAAAAGCATGTTAGTAAGAATTTTTTTAATACATATGTAAATAAATCCATGATGGTTCTCTAGTGAGAGTGAGATATGAATAATACCTGAAGATATTTGGTCTAAAAATCATTTAGATTTGTTTTAGAGTTTTTTTCTCTATAGGTTCTTACAGTGTGTGAAGTTCTAGGAATACACTTTTCTTCAAACTAATTAATGAGGCAATTACTATAAATCCCTGACTCATGAAAAGCAAGAAAGCATTCCAATATCTATTTGTGCTCAGCTGTTCTTTTATTATTCCCAACTGTGGGATTGACATAAACAATCTGGGTCTAAACGAACCACCTTGTTAATAGTCAAAACACTTCCCTGGAGTTTGACCAAGTGAAAATAGAAGAAAACATTTGTGTCAACAAAGCAAATGAAAGAACAGGTAGCTATGATCAAACTTGAAAGTTATTAACTTTTAGTGTAATCAAGCATTGGCTCTCACTAGGAAAAGGCTAATTGTCTTCCAGAAGAAATAAAAAGGCATTATTATAAGTCTATTTGCAATACAAACATTTTTTTTCCAGAGCCCCTTGTAATACAGACTGACATCTATTACCCTTTTGTGTAGATGAAATCAACTTTGTAGTATTAATTCATCTCGTTAAACTGTGGAAGGATGTCCTCTTAACAGAGCTTCTTCATTTTAATTAGTTGGTCTCTAGTAGAAATGGGTTGGTGAGCACAGGTAGACAAAGCTGAGCTCAGTTTCTGCTTCCCTTGCTCTACTTCCATCCCCAACCAAAATGCATTGCATATGTTCTATCATCTGATGGAATTCCCCTTTGGGGAATGCTGCCCATCTGCAGGGAATGAAGTCTGCAGACAGCATCCTCTTTCAGTTCCTTCAGAATCAGCCTTAGCTGAGAGAGCCTCACCACGTCAGGGTGATGCATTTCCAGATCTACTACAATATCACATAACAACCAAATGATATTTGCCTCAAGAATGCAAGGTCGGCTCAACATCCAAACAAATTTATATAATTCATCACATTAACAGAGAAAAGGAGAAAAATCATACCATCGCCTCAATAAATTTAAAAAAACTATTAGACAAAATTAAAAATCCATTCATGATGGAAACTCACAGAAAACGAAGACTAGAAGGAATTTTCCTCACTCTGATAAAGGACATATCTGAAAAACCTGCAAATAACATCATACTTAATCGTCTGAATGTTTTTCTCCTCACATCAAGAACACAAGGATTCCTACTTTAACCACTTGTGCTGAAAAGAGTAGTGGAGTATTTACCAATGCAATAAGGCAAAAAAGGAAGTAAATGGTATAAAAATTGGAAATCATAGATGACATGTAATGAAAAGAGTAGTGGAGTATTCACCCAAATAATAAGGCAAAAAAAAGAAGTAAATGATATCAAAATTGGAAATCATAGATGACATATAGGATATAATGAATGGAAAATTTAATAGCTCTCAGACTATTTGCTTAGGGAATAAGGTTTTTAAAAATTCGTGAGAAGAGTGTCTTAAAATCTATTCTCCCAAGATTAGTGAATTACATGAGTCCACCTTACTTTGATTCTGCATAATTTTTTTCTGGCTTGTTTACTAAAAATGCAGGCTTTTTTTTTTTTTAAGTTCATTTTCTCCTCTGACCCAGTCCACTATCTCATCCACACTCACATCTAGTTTCTATCTAATCTTAATGAGACTTAATTTCTGTGTCAGCTGATTTCTAATCAAATGTGACATCTTGCCCAGAATATTTATCTTTATTATTCATCCATCTCACATACATTTTCCTGTAGTTTTTCTTGCTGAAATTTTCAGCCCAGATATTTTACATTAAAAAGAAAAATCAGGGGGCGCCTGGGTGGCTCAGTGGGTTAAAGCCTCTGTCTTCGGCTCGGGTCGTGATCCCAGGGTTCTGGGATCGAGCCCCACATCGGGCTCTCTGCTCAGCGGGGAGCCTGCTTCCTCCTCTCTCTTTCTCTGCCTGCCTCTCTGCCTACTTGTGATCTCTGTCTGTCAAATAAATAACTAAATAAAATCTTTAAAAAAAAAAAAAAAAGAAAAAGAAAAATCAGTTGATAAAGGAAGTGTTTAGGATTTATAGGACATATTCCTCATGGTTTTAGGCCATGTAAGATAGTGCCCTTAGGTCTTAAAACTATGGACCTTTGATTATTTAGGCCTCTATAAAACTCTTGCAATGATTTCATAAACCCAAGAGTCTTTAAACATTCTTGAGCCAGGTTTCTTATTTCATGACATCATTACAGATATTTGCCTAGCTTTATATGCATTTCTTAGCTACATTTATAAATACGCCTCCACCCCAAAGTCTGAAAATACCCTACAGAGGTTGAGGTTGTAGGTGGGTCATTTTCCAGCATTCTGCTTTTACAGGTTTTCCAGAGATGTGTTTCAGCTTCACTGATGTGTTCTAAAAATTACAGCCAACTTCAGATCTACACTGCAGAGATGCAACAAGCATGCCCTGGACTAGGAGGTCACACAGACTATAGTCCCACAGGCCAAATCTGTCTCATGGCCTATTTTCATGAATAAAGTTTTGTTGAAACATAGCCTGCTTTCACAATATAATGGTAGAGTAAAATAATTGTGACAGAGACAATATGGTCCACAAAGCTGAAAATGTTTGCTGTCTGTCCAGCACAGAGTAGGCTAACTTCTATTCTCCAACTTTCTCCCTATGGAAGGAAGTTGCTGAGCTCTACAGGTCCTCTGTTGAAGGTCCATTATGTTTCAGGCAAAATATAGTCTGGAAACCAACTTGACACATGTGGTTTAGCAGATATGTTACATACTTAAACCTGAGACTCCTCTCTCTGCCTCCTAATGAGGAATCCACACTTGACTGCCCCCATATAGTGTGCTTGACAACCAGAAACCAGACTCCTCCGAGATGAGGAATGTGTTTTTCTGGGCTGTGGCTAACCCTTCCAGTCTGCTGGCTCATCACTCCTGGCTTTTTAGCAAGGTGTTGAGATTTGGAGAAAAAGGCACAGAGACCAATCATGCATAAAGACCACCCTTTTTTAGTCACAGGGAACAGTGTCTAATACATTTGGAAATGGGTTTTCAGTTTACTGTGTTTGTGTGCAAAGTTTTTGTTACCATGGTTAAAAATCGTAACTTCATTTTTGACAATAAACTGCTAAGGAGTAAACTATGTAAATCCAGAGATTTTTGGAGAACTCCCATATGGCAAATGGGGGCTCATGCTAAAGCTCCACTTAGTACTTCCAGAGCCAGTTTTGCCCTCCTGAAAATATGTTGATTAATCCTGCCTGAGGGAAAAAGAATTCAGGTCACAGCCTGGGCCAGACTGGCTGATTAAGTGCCAATTCCTGAGAATTCTTTCTCCATAGTATCTCTCTTCCTGGCTTCCTCCTTTGCCTTCCCGCCGCCTCTCTGCTACCTCTGGACTTCACTTGCTCTCTGATTCAGAGCAAAAGAAGTTCACTGGAGTTTGGGCCCTGGTGCTCATATTGCTGCCTGGCTGACATGCATACCACAGTAAGATGTAGGCATGGCCAGAACCGGAGTTCATCCCCCCTGTCCCCAGTTCAATGCCCTGTCCCTGAGCCCCATGGCTGCCTTTCGCAAGGCTCTTAATAACATTTTTCTACCCTGACACTTCTGTTTCTGAAGGCTGAAGAAAGACCAGGTTAGCTGCTGATTGATTTGGGTACTTATATTTAATAGTAAGATGCTTCTGTTTCTACCTATAGAGAAGCTGACACAATAGGTGGTTTCTGCTGATTTTTCTCTTAATTAGAAAAAAAGCCAGGGAAATTGTATCTTTGGTCTTACTCATAAAGTAGGCCTGCAGAGTTTTGGATTCTCTCCTATATCTCCAATTGACAAGCCCCTGTGGCTCAGAGGACTTGTCCACTGTCAGAATCTGCTATTCTCTGAGTCCCACACATTAGTGGCATGCTTGGATAACACATGCTTGCCATCTAGGGCCATTTACAGTGGTGATGCCTCAAACCACCCAAAAGGCAGAAGATAGGACTCTAAAGCTAATGTCCCTTAGCATCTTTGTGAGGAATGACAGAAGCAAGAAGCTGACAGTACACTGTGTTATGCCACTTAGTGGTTAAGAGCTAGGCTTTAAGCTAGGCGCATGTCTGTCTGAGTCCTGACACTTCTAGCTTTGAGTTGCTTAATCTTCCCCTGCCTTGGGTCTTCGTCTGTAGCATCTGGATGGTATCTCCCACACAGAAGGGTTGTATGGATCAAATAAGGCACTGAATATGGAAGGTGCTTTGAGCCAAAATGCTTTGTTTTTGTTTTGCAGTTAGAAAGATTTGGGAAAGTGTTGTGAAGAAGAATGACTACAGGCACACATAATCTACTAGCCTTCTGGAACACACAATACATTTTTTAGTCTCAAAGAGTAGTGGTAAATCAGATTCACCAAACCAGGTTATCCCACAATGGAAGTACTTTCCATTCCTCTATGCCATGAACAAATGAGTCCTTTTCCAACAAAAACACCCAAATGACCACATTTCACTGAGAGTGGGTACAGGAAGAAGACTAATGAGCCATTTGTTTTTGCCATGCCTGTGGGATTAGCCACAAAATAACCATCAACCTCAAAAACATTCTCCCTACTACAAATAAGCAACACTTAATTCATGACTCCCTATAAACATTCACCATGATTTTATATATACTCTCTTAACCAAGCAGCAGAGAGTATGAGATTGCAGTACTGGGGTTTATAAATTAATGTTTATTATAATTATTATAGTATTAATGATAATGTTAATAATTATAATGCTATTTCTACATTAATTAAAATGTCAATTTATAATAATTAACTTCATCACTTAATGTGCTAATATCTGTTTTTTGGCAAAGTTTCTCCTGTATTTTAATCAATATTATTTTAATATATCGGCCTGCACATTAAATGAGATTGAGTGTGTAATGTCTTTACATAGTCCCTAGAACACAGTGAATACTAAAACAAGGTGGTGATTTTGGTTGTCCTTGTTCATGTATGGATTAGTGTACTAAATATTCTTATTTTTTTAAGTATGTGAATTATAGTCAGGTCAGCAGAGTATAGAGAACTTTTTTATTATTATCTTCTGTTAGTCACCATACAGTACATCATTAGTGTTCCATGATTCATTGTTTGCACATAACACCCAGTGCTCCATGAAATACATATCCTCCTTAATACCCATCCCAGGTGAACCTATCCACCCACCACACCTCTCTAAAACCCTCAGTTTGTTTCCCGGAGTCCATAGATTCTTGTCTGTTTGTATGGATAATGTCTGTTTCTGTTCTTTCTTAATGATGACTGTCAGCGATATTGGGGAAGAATGTTTTATAAGGTAAAAACATAAATAATTCAAAAAAATAAGACAAAACCTAAATTGGCTCCCCCTCTCTTTAGGATAGATATTCAAACTCTTAGCATGGGTGTTTAGGTCAATGACTCATAACCACCAGATTATATTTGAGAGACTTGGGAGATAAAATTTCACACAAAACAATTTTCAGATCAATTTCTTCCAATAGCAATTTGGAGCTCTGTGCCTGCCCAGAACTAATTTCCAAGTCTCAAAGTTACAAGTCCAGTATGTGGCCTAACCAGCGTGATAGCCAAGGCTTCTCCAGGAATATTTTTGAAGTCAACTTACCAAGGATAAATCCAAACACATTGGAATTTTAAGAGGTTTTAGGGGGGTGGAGGAAAACTTTTTTTTTAAAACCACAGAATGTACTCATGAATATTGGCAAAAAATGGCCAGTCACTGAATACGAAGTCTGCCTGGTAAGACCATACCACCCAGGAAGGCAGTACAGTGTGGGCATCATGGAAAATTAAGACAATACCATGATCCATAATTAAACACTAACTCTTCAGAAAAATTATTACAGCTAATGAATATAGTGCTCTGAGTATTTTCTATATACAGACAGGAGAAGCCAATTAAAATGTCTGGGCACAAAAACACCAGTGCCACTGTTTTGCATTGAATGCACATTATCACTGATTACCAAAATTCTGTGAAAAAACACAACACATTTTTGCTGTTTACTCACTTCCTTTCATTCTGTGTGTTCATAGGGGTCAAGCAAGCCCCAAAGCCATCAGGTGCTGGTAAAAATGTGTCCATGGACTCTACCCACTCCACCAAAAAACAAGGTAAGGAATAAGACACTGACTCCCTTACTTTGCTCTTCTCTGCTACTTGGGCAGAAACTGCAGTGCCAAAAGTTATAGCAAAAACAGCATCCTCACAGCTATTAAAGAACCATGCCAACAGTACTCCTAGAGAAACATTCCAAAATAAAATATATTTTTTAGAATGTTTCTCTAGAAGTACCCAAAGGTACTCTTTGGGGCACCTAGGTGGTTCAGTTGGTTAAGCATCTGACTCTTGATTTTGACTCAGGTCATGATCTCAGGGTTGTGAGATGGAGCCCTGCATTGGGTGTCAGGTGTGGAGTCTGCTTAAGATTCTCTCTCTTTCAGCCCCTCCTCCATCCTGTGCATACTCACTCTCAATCTCTCCCCCCCAAAAAAATTAAAAATACAAAATATTATCTTTGGGAAAATGAAAGTGCTCTATGCACACATCAAATATTAACAAGAACTTCTGATGGGGTACTAATTCAAGAATCACTTTGTATAATGTTCTGAGGGGTCCCAATGGACAAGTGCTGAAGAGTCACTTTGGGTTCTAGCTTTCACCATGTTCAAGTTTTGTTCTTGTGTAATTTACTACAATATCCTTTTGCCTGATAGGATTTATGTTCCTAATTTAAGACTGTGTTCTATATAATAGGCCAAAATGATGAAGCTGGTGACTTGGAAAGGTTTGCATTAAGAATTCTATGCCATTTACAAGGTTGCTATGAAACCTACTCTGGTGTACTAACACCTGGGCTACAGATCCATACTCTGTTATCCCACTCACTCCCCTGCACATGCCCAAGTATACCCTCGCTAGTCTCCCAAGGAGTACTTAAAGTCACAAGCCATTCTCCTAGGTTGTCACTTTTACTTCAAGATTTTTAACCAATATATATCATGCAAAGAAAAAGGTGAATTTTTAAGCTGTAATACAAGACTTAAAATTTGGGTTAAGATGGGTTACTCTAGGCACCTGTAGCCTTTCCAGCCTTTGTGCAAAGTATGAAAAGATGACTTATGCATAGTATTAAAAGGTACCTCTTCCCTCTATTCTTTAGGCAGACTCTTTAGTACAATGTGCCCTTCCTCTGGGTGGGCAGGCTTGCACCAGGGCTCACAGATGGGTGAGCAAAGTGCATGTTAAACTTCATCTCCAACTCATGTATCCCTTGCCAAGGGCCCTTGTGCAATGCACAACTGTCCATATTGACCCTGCTCTCCACAGGCATAGGCTTATTGCTTCTGCTGGCAAGGCTGCTTTGTTGTAATCTTTTGGAAAATTCTGAAAACATTTTTTCAGTTATAATTATATAGTAGATTTCGGTGGTGGTATGGAGCATCCACTAAAGGAGAAATTATATCCTTTAACAATTTAAAGCTAAAATGACATTAGAAATTATAGTCTGAAAATCAAAGGCAATGGGGGACAATGAAACTCAGAAATACTATTGTGCCTATAGAGAAACTAAAAATGTTAAATTCTCTACATCTGTTGAGTTTCAAAAGGCAAACAGACCTATAATTAGAGGATATTTTTCCACAGGTTAATGGACTTCATTGTTCCTAGGTATATTACCAAAATTGATTTAGATGAATATCAGAATATATTACTCATAGACACTTTTCTATGGAATCTCTTCTCTGTCATCCAATTGCTACTTACCAAATGTTCTATTTTTTAAAACCTGACATGTTTATGGAGTAAATCCTTATACCAGCTTTATCTGTAATATAATCTCGTAGCCGCAGTCCCAGGTACTCGCCGCCCACACTTGCCACCTAGACCTGTGCCCCCACGAAGAAAACCGTTACCACCAAATAATGTCACTGGCAAGCCAGGAAGTGCAGGTATGTTGGTCACATACCTTCTCTCTCTGTGATGTTCATTTTCCTGGGCAACCACAAGCCCTTCTTGGCAGGCTAGGTTAGGCAATAGACTAGTCTTTGGAGCATTGGACATGTGCTTGTGTTGGCCCCCAAAACTGGACACTGGGAGTCCAGTGGACATTGGGCTTCTGCCCTGATTCTGGATGGGTGAGGTCCCAGAAACCATCCCTGTGCCCCTAGGCCAGTTCACTTCTTTTTATAATATAATTTTTTCAGTGTTCCAAGATTCATTGTTTATGCACCACACCCAGTGCTCCATGGAATATGTGCCCTCCTTAACACCCACCACAGGCTCACCCAACCCACCGCCCTCCTCTCCTCAAAAACCCTCAGTTTTTTCCTCAGGGTCCACATCTCTCATGGTTCGTCTCCCATTCTGATTTCCCCCAATTCACTTTTTCTTTTTAAAGATTGTGAGACAGAAGCTCACTCAGGCCTTTCAACAAGTGCATTATTTTGAATGAGGTACTGTACATTGCCAACCTAGTAGGGGTAATGGAACATGTGAGGTCCTGTCATCTCTTTATCATTATCTCCTGAAATGAAATCCTGTACCTTTCACTGAAAGCCCCCCCTGTTCACCAGCCTTCATGCTGGCCCCAGTATTATGGTACTAGAGGAGAGACCGAGGGCTAAAACATTAGCAGCTCTACCTTGTGCAGCAGGGCAGGAATATATTGTAGAAGTCAACAGAACAGATGTTATAGTAAGCATCTTTTTCCTTCTCTAGCCCAATCCATGCCTGCCAGTTACTAACCAGGTCAAGCCATTCCATCTCCTTGATAGCTTTCCTGTAAAACATTTTCCATCTAATCCCACTGCTCCATATGTAGTTCACCTGTTCTGCCTTTGCCTTCAACAACTACTTTCATCTTTTGACTTCCCTCTTGGCCACCAGACTTGCAACCTGACCATTCATCCCCTTCTCATCTCATTATTTTCCTAGTAAAAATCTTTCAGTGGGTCCTTGTCCCCTAAAAACAATGGCCAAATCTGTGGTATGGAAGGCCCTTCATGATCTGACCTTTCCTGTCCTTCCACAGTCAGCTCTCATGGCACCCCAAAGTATCTCAGCTCTCACCCCTTTAAATTAAACACACCAGGTAGTTTTGTGCTTCTCTGGCTTGGTTCTTCCTGCAACCTCTGCCTAGAATATAACTTTCGTACCTCCCTGCTGATTATCTCACTTCTTTATTGGCACAACTTCTGTGAAGGCATTCCTGCCCTCCCCCCACCGACCCTGCATCTTTTCCCATAGACATTATCACTCTGTTTTCTTTCTCTGTGACTTTATCCAGTTTTTTCACCATATCTATAATGCTTCAGTATATTTGGCTCACACATCTATTTCAATCAAAGACACCAGTTTTGTTTTCTCTCCAAGCCTGGCATATAGTGTAAGTGCTGAAAAATATTTATAGAATAAATGAGAACTTGGCAGTGCTCCTATAAAGCCTGACTACTTTGGCTCCACGTTATAGGAATCATTTTATCGGGCCGAGTAACATCTCCACCCTTGAGGGCCACACTTGGCCCTACTGAAGCCCCTTCAGAGAGAACAGAGACAGATGAGAAGCAACCAACAGTTCCTGCATCAGGAGAAGATCTTGGTTAGTATGTCATTCACTTCACACTGGATGCTTAACTAGGAAGTACTGAAAGATTTCAAGTTAGGAGGAAGTGTGTCTCAGTTCTGGATTACCTGCTTTGTTCAATTTTATGGTCAATATGAGTCTTTTTAAATTTTGAAATTATACTCATGTTTAAAGCTTTGAGATAGAATATGGTCCTTCCTTTCATAGAGAAGAAAGTACCCAAGTTTTTTAGAGACATCTTCCTGAAAATATCTAGATTACTCAGTGCTTCTCACTAAATCAGACGTTATTATTATTGACATATCTTGGGGTGGCTGGCTCAGTCAGTAGAGGATGCCACTCACGCTCTACTGCCTGATCTCAGCTGATCACCGCACTGATCTCAGGGTCATGAGTTCAAGTCTCACTTTGGGAATGGAACCTAATTAAAAAATAAATCATACATATATTAATTTATTACTGAGTATTGCCTACTTTAATATTTAAATCATTATTTAGTATACTCAGAACACCTGCAGCAGGACACAATTAAAGGCCTTTTATTGTGGATAGTATGTATAATTGTAATAAAGCAAATCAAGATCACAAGCAATTGACCAGGAGGCATATTAAATATTTAGAGTTCTTAATACTCTTTCATTTTATTAAGAAACTTTTTTATATTTTGCTAAAATAATTTCTTATCTTCTGTTCACAGTTAATATAACTGACTTTAGCTCAAGTCCAACAAGAGAAACTGATCCTCTTGGGAAGCCCAGATTCAAAGGTATGTACGATCGGCTCCAAGTCTCAATTTTGACAAAGCTGTCTTTGGTGCAACTATCAGTTAGCTTTTGCTGTGGAATAACTGCAAAATCTTAGTAGCATAATCTAATAAGGATTTATTTCTCATGTGTCTCCAAGTCACCTGAGGGTCAGCTGATCTCAGCTGTGCTTGACTGGGTGGTTCTGCTTCTAGCAGCAGGTACAGCTGGGCCTCCTGTGGCTTGGGCGTAACTATACTCCACATTTTTTCATTCTGGTGCTGAGGATCAAGGACCAGTAGTGAGTCAGAAGGAGCCATTTTGGTGACAATACAAAGTCAAGGGTGTTGAGTTCAAAAGCACAACAGCATTTCAAGTTCCTCCTTGTTTTATACCTGACACTATCCATTGGCCAAAGTCACATAGCCAACCACAAATCAAAGACTGGAGAAGTATACTCCTTCCATGCACACAAAGAATATTTTTGAACAGTATCAAATTGACCATAGTAAGAGAGCTATGATATAGAGCCCAGTATTTTCTTTTATAATATTTTTTTCTGAAGTGTAGAATTTGATAAATCTTAACATACATATACACCCATGAATCTATCATCACAGTGCATCTACCACCTCCAAGAGTGTCATCATGTACTTTTACAATTCCTTCATTTCATTCCAAATCTCTAGTTCCTAGATAATCACAGATATGCTTTATTATAAATATGTATGCATTTCGTGGATTTTTATGTACATGAAAAAATACAGTATGAACTTTTTTTGGTCTGGTTTCTTTCAGCATAATTATTTTAAGATTCATCCATGTTGCAATATGTATCAGTAGTTCATTTCTTTTATTGCTGACTGATATTCTGCTTTATGGATATATAAGTATTTATTAAGCCTGTTTATGACATTTGGGCTTTTTCTAATTTTTTTACATTGCCAGTAAAGCTGCTATGTGGTGAGTGTTTGTATAGATATATGCCTTCATTCCTGTTGGATGAATGCCTACAAGATTAGTGGCTAGAACATAACATTTTAAGAAACTATAGACTTTTTCCACGGTAGTTGTGCTGTTAACCTTTCTGTCAGCAGTGTATGAGACTTCCAGTTCCTCCACATCTTTACCAACACTTATGTGGTATTTTCAATTTCAGTCATTTTAATAGGTGTGTAGTGGTATCTGATTATGATTTTACTTTGCATATCTCTAATGACTAAGGATGCTGAGCCACCTGTTTTGGTGAGCCTGTTCAAATTTTTTGTCCATTTTTTTAAAGAGATTTTATTTATTTGACAGACAGAGATCACAAGTAGGCAGAGAAGCAGGCAGAGAGAAAGGAGGAAGCAGGCTCCCTGCTGAGCAGAGAGCCTGATATGAGGCTTGATCCCAGGACCCTGAGATCATGACCTGAGCCGAAGGCAGAGGCTTTAACACACTGAGCCACCCAGATGCCCTTTTTTTGTCCATTTTTTATGGTACTGCTTATTTTCTTATTGTTGAGTTTCAGAATTTTTAAAGGTTTATTTATTTTAAAGAGAGGAAAGAGTGAAAGAGTGCGTGCGCGAGCGGGGGGAGGGTCAGAGGGAGAAGAAGAGAATCCTTAAATAGACTTCTCACTGAATGCAGAGCCCAATGCAGGGCTTGATCCCAGGACCCCTAGATCATGACCTATGTGGAAATCAAAAGTTGAATGTTTAATTGACTGAGCCAACCAGGCTACCTAAGATTCTTTGTATTTTTTTGGTAGAAGACCCTTTTTCAGATACATGCTTTACAGATTTTTTCTCCTAGTATGTGACTTCTGTTTTTTAATGAATCTCAGCTTATTAATTTGGTTTTTTTTATATACTGTATTTTTGGTGTTATATTTAAGAGACCATTGACCAACCAGAGGTCACAGAGACCTCCTTTGTTTCCCTTTAGAAGTTTCTCTGCTGTTTTTTAGACATTTTTTACTTTTACATTTAGGTCTACGATCCATACTGTGTAAAATTTTGTATATGATACAAGATGTGAAACAAATCAGTTACCTTGCTTGCGGATATAAAATTGTTCCAGCATCATTTGCTGAAAAAAACTACTCTTTCCACTGAATTTCATTTCTGCCTTTGTCAAAAATGAATTGTCTACATATATGTAGAAATGTTTTAGCTCCCTGGTCTGTTCCATTGATCTATTTATCTGCCTTTACATCAATACCACCATGTTTGTATTATTGTGGTATTGGTATTGTATTGATGATTCTGGGTACTCTGTATCTACATCTGAATTTTAGAATCAGCTTATCAGTGTCTTAAAAGTAGCCTGGTTATATTTTTATTAGAATTTTATTATATTAGAATTGCATGGGTCAATTGGGAAAAATTGACAGCCAGACAATGGTTAAGTCTTCCTACCTATGAACAATGGTATATTTTACAATTTATTTAAGTCTTCAATTTTTCTCACCAGTGTTTTTTAGTTTTCAGTGTACATAAAACCATAAAAATAGTATTTTTATTTAAATTTATAATTATTCATTGTTAATATGTAGAAAAATTAATTTTTATATAATGATCTTATGTCCTGAAACCTTGTAAAACTCAGTACCTTTCATGTAGATCCATTGGATTTTCTACATACAGAATCATGTCATCTGAGAGTAAAGTTTTACTTCTTCCTTTCTAACTTGGGGGGCTTTTTTCATGCCTTATTATACTAGCAAGACCTTCCAATAAAATACTGAATAGTTACAGTGAGGTTGGGTATCCCTTTACTTATTCCTGATTTTATGGAAAAAGCATCCTCTCACCTGAATGTAATTAAGTATGATGTTACCTCATAGGTTTTTCATAGATGCCCTTTATTGTTCTGAGAAAATTCCCTTCTATGTCTACTTTGGTGGTTATCTGAAATGAGTGTTTGATTATGTCTAATGATTTTTCTGCCTTTTTGAAAATGAACATTTTTAAATTAGTTTCTTAATATAATGAAGTAGTTGTTTTTGAATTTTCAACTTTTCATTCCAGGGACAAACTCCACTAGGTTACAATGTATTCTCATTTTAATATGTTGTTGGATTTAATTTGGTAAAATTTTGTTTAGAATTGTATTCAGTGAAGAATATTGGTCTGTAGTTTTCTTTTTTGTAATGTCTAGGTAAAGTTTTAGTTTCAGAATAATGCTGAACTCTCCTCAGTTTCAGAGTTTCAGAATTGGGATTGCTTCTTCCATAAATGTTTAATAGGGAAGAAGAGTATTTTTTCTTCCCTAGTAAGTTTTGGTAATTTTTATCTTCAATTTATTAGTCCATTTCATCCAAGTTGTCAAATTTGTTGACATAAAGTTGTCCTTAATATTCTTTTATTATTTTAATATCTGTAGAGTCTTTAGTGGTGTCACCTCTCTCATTCCTGTTATTGATAATGTGTAAGTTTTCTCTTTTGCCTGATTAGTCTTTCTGTAGTTTTATTATTTTTTTTGTCTGAAAAAGTTGACTTTTTGTTTCATTGATTTTGTCTACTTACTTTGATCTTTATTAATTTTTTCTGCCTAATGTGGTTTAATTTACTCTGAAAGTAAAATATGTGTTCTTTGATTTGATTCTTCTCTTCTTGAATATGAAATTTACTGCTACAAAATTTCCCCTAGATATTATTTAAGCAGCATCCAAAAATTATTGTTATATTGTATATTCATGTTTATTCTATTCAGAATATTTTTAATTTCCTTTTGATTTGTTCTTTGACTCACTGATTATTTAGAAGTATATAATTTAATTTCTAAATATTTTGAGTTTTTCTAGAGATTATTCTGTTACTGATTTCCAATGTAATTCCATTGTTATCACATGCTCTATAAGATATTTAAATCCTTTTAAATTTATTGAGACTTTTTTATGACCCAGAATATGGTCTATCTTGGTGTATGTTCTGTGTGTACTTGAAAAGAATGTGTATTCTGTTATTCCTTTTTTTTTTTTTTTTTGTATTCTGTTATTCTTAAGAGGAATGTTGTATTTGTTTGCTAGGGCTTCCATAACAAAATGCCACAAAGGTGGTGGTTTAAACAACTAAAATTTATTTTCTCACTGTTCTGTAAGCCAAAAGTCTGAAATCAAGGTATCATCAGTTTTGAATTCTTTTGAGCCCTCTCTCCTTGATTGAAGATGGCCACCTTCTCACTATGTCCTTATATAGCCTTTCCTCTGGATGCACACATCCTTGTTTTCTTTTCCTCTTATTAAGGACACCAGTCACAATGGATTAGAATCCCACCCCATGACCTCATTTAATTTCATTTACTTTTCTAAAGACCCTAACTCCAAATAGTCACATTGGGAGTTAGGACTTCAACATAGGAATTTTGGGGAAATAATTTACATAGCCAGTATTATATAGATGTCAATTAGGTCCAGTTGTTTAGTTGTATTGTGCAATTCTTTTATATCTGTGGTAATTTTCTATCTACTTGTTCTATCAATTAAAGACAGAAGAAATTGAAATCCCTGACTATAATTGTGGATTTATTTCTACTTACATTTCTATCAGTTTTTGCTACATTTATATTAAAGGTCTGTATTATATATACACTTAAATTGCTTAGGATTCTAAGAAACTGATCAATTGATTCTTTTTCATTATAAAATTATCTTTTCTGTTTATGGTAATACTATTTGCTCTGAAATCTAATTAGTTAATATTGCATATCCACTCAGGCTTTCTTTTGATAAGTGTTACCATCTATCTCTTCTTTCCATCCTTTTAGTCTTAATCTGTTAGTCTCTATATATTTAAAGAGTGTTTCTCATAGGCATCATACAGTTGGTTCTTGCTTTGTTATCCTATCAAATAATCCCTTCATTTTATTTTGTTTAGAACATTATACTTAACATGACCAATGATATAGTTAGGTTTAAATCTATCTCATCTTGCTATTTGTTTTCAGTTTGTCTCCTCTATCCTTTGTTCCCTTTTTCCTCTTTTCCAGCGTTCTTTTAGATTTTTTTTTAGCTGAAGTGTAGTTGACACACAATGTTACCTTAGTTTCAGGTGTGCCGACATAGTGATTCAACTTTTCTATACATTATGCTATGTTCTCTACAATTGTATTTACTATCGTCACCATACATTATTTTAATATTATTGACTATATCCCAATGCTGGACTTTTTATCCCTATTTTGTATTCATTCCATACTGGAGGCCTGTATCTCCCATTCCCCTTCATCCATTTTTGCCTATCCTCCCACCCCCTGTCAACCATAAGTTTGTTTTCTGTGTTTATGGATTTGTTTCTGCTTTTTGTTTGTTCATTTGCATGGATTTTTTTTCTAGATTCTACATATAAGTAAAATACAGTAGTTGTCTTTCTCAGTCTGATTTACTTCACTTAGCATAATAGCCTCTAGGTCTATCTATGTTGTTACAAACAACAGTCTCATTCTTTTTTATGGCTGAGCAATATTCCATTATATATATGTACCATTTTTCTTTATCCATTCATTTGTCAATGGACACTGGGGTTATTCCCATATCTTAGCTATTGTAAATAATGTTGCAATAAACACAGGGTTGCATATATCTTTTCAAATTAGTGCTTTCATCTTCCTTGGGTAAATACCTAGTAGTGGAATTACTGGATCATATGGTATTTCTGTTTTTCATGTTTTGAGGACACTTCATACTGTTTTCCACAGTGGCTGCACAAATCTATATTCCCATCAGTAGAACACAAGTGTTTTCTCCATATTCTCCAACACTTAGTATTTCTTGTTTTTTTGACTCTAGCTATTCTGACAGGTGTAGGGTGATATCTCATTATAGTTTAGATTTGCATTTCCCTGATGATTAGTGTCGTTGAGCATCTTTTCATGTGTCTGTTGGCCACTTGAATGTCTTCCTTTGCAAAAATATGTCATGTGTCCATTTTTTAATTGGAGTATTTGTGGGTTTTGGTGTCAATGTGTATAAATTCTTTATATATTTTGAATATTAAACCCTTATCAGATATATCATTTGCAAGTTTCTTCTCTCTTTCAGTAGGTTGCCTTTTTGTTTTGTTGATAATTTCTTTTGGTGTGCAAAAGTTTTTTACTTTGATGTAGTCCTGATTGTCTTTGTTTTTGTTTAACTTGCCTGAGGAAATATATCTAGAAAAATGTTGCTAAGGCCAACGTCAAAGAAATTACTGCCTATGTTTTCTTCCAGGAGTTTTATGGTTTCATATCTCAAAATTAAATTTTTAATCCACTTTGAGTTTATTTTTTGTGTATGGTATAAACAAGTGGTCCAGTTTCATTCTTTTGCATGTAGCTGTCTAGTTTGCCCAGCACCATTTATTGAAGAGACTGTCTTCCCTATTGTGTATTCTTACTTCTACAACTTCACAAATAGTGCAAGAACTTTACATTAGTATGGCAAATATTGTCTCCTCCTGGCCTATCATTGTTATACATTTTACTTTCACATGTTAATATATCACACTAAATTGTTATTTTTTATGCTTAAATGGCAAATTATCTTTTAGAAAGAAATAATAAAATTATTATACCTACATACATATATAGTTACTATTCTCAGTGCTCTTTATCCCTTTGTGTGGACTCATATTTCCATCTGGTATCATTTTCCTTCTGCCTGAATGTCCTTTAATCTTTCTTGTAGTGTGGGTCTGTTGGTTTTGAATTCTGTTGAATTTTGAAGGTATCATTGGATTTGAGTTCTTTTGAGCCCTCTCTCCTTGATTGAAGATGGCCACCTTCTCACTATGTCCTCTCACTATATCCTATTTCACTTTTCTTAAAAAAGGATATTTCCACTAGTTATAGAATTCTAGATGATAAGGTTTTTTCCCAGTGTTTAGAGATGTTGTTTTACTGTCATCTCACTCTCATTCTTTCCACTGAGAGATCTGCCTTAATCCTTATCTTTGTCATTCTATATATGATCTGTCTTTTATGCCTCCTTTAAAAATTTTTCTCTTTTTACAATTGGTTTGGTGAAACTTAATTATATTAGTATAGTTTCTTCATGTTTGTTGTGCTTAGGTTTCTTTGAACTTTTTTGGATCTGTGGGTTTAGAGGTTTTATCAAATTTGGACATTTTTCACCATTATTTCTTTGAATATTTTTTCTGCCTCTTTTCTACTCAGATACTAAAATTATGTGTATATTATACTGCCTGAAATTATGCCACAACTCACTGATACTCTGTCATTATTTTTAATTCTTTTTTCTCTCCACTTTTATTTTGGGTAGTTTTTATTGCTATGTCTTCAAGGTCACTAATCTTTTTCTGCAATATCATCTCTGTACTACTATCATCCTGTGTGTTTTTCATCTTACACATTTTAGTTTTCACCTCTAGAAATTTGATTTCAGTCTTGTTTATATCTCTCATGTATTACTTTTTTGATCACATGCATTATAATGATAATAATGTTTTTATTGTCCTTGCCTGATAACTAACATCCATGCAAGTTCTAGATTGATTTCCACAATTTATTTCTCTCCTCATTATGGGTATTATTTTCCTGTTGTTTCACGTTGGTGTGCTGGATATGTTTTTTTTTAATCTAAAGTATTCTTGAATTTCATCCTGGACATATTTAAATTACTTGAAACCACTTAACCCTTTTGAGTCTGGCTTTTCAGGTTTACTAGGTTAGACCAGAACTCTGTTTAGTGTAGGGCTAATTATTCACCACTTCTAAAGCAACACCCTCTCGAGTACTCTTTCCACTGCCCCATAAATTATGCAATTTAAAACATGCTCAAGGGGACCAAATTACTTTTGGATATTAGCATAAGTTAAACCTATTTAGAAAATTAAACCGGCTACAACATCTAAATCATGTTTCTAGAGACAGGAATTCTAGATTTTCACAAGTTTGAACAATGCATAGCACTGCCTTCATCTATCTATTTATAATGTGAGACCAAATGTCTTCATACAGATAAATAGATTTGAGTTTACCTCCACCTTCTGTACACGCTCAAACAAGGCTAAATGTCAGAGTCCTCTTTCTCTTAGGTCCTCATGTGAGATACATCCAAAAACCTGAAAACAGGCCCTGCTCCATCACTGATTCTGTCAAACGGTTCCCCAAAGAGGATGCTACTGAAGGGAATGCCACCAGCCCACCGCAGAACCCACCTACCAACCTCACTGTGGTCACTGTGGAAGGGTGTCCCTCATTTGTCATCCTGGACTGGGATAAGCCACTAAATGATACCGTCACTGGTAAGATCATGGCATAAGGACTGATACTTTGGTGGGAAGCAGTGATATGTGAATGTGGTACCTGGGTCAAACTATGTCCTATAAGGTATATCTCAGGTGTAGTGAGTCCTAGCAGAGCTGTATTGCCGGAAGTGTCATATGATGGGAAAAGATCATCTATGTCCTCATTATGGGCTTTCTGTTAATTTAATCTCTTTAGGTTGTATTCCTTCCATCTCCCCTCAGAATTCTTTTTCATGGTATAAAGATAGATCTGATCTTTCCATTATCAAGAAAACTACAAATAACATAGAAGTTGGCAGTGCTGATGATATTTAAACCAGTTTGCATTTCACCAAACTAATTTCTAGATTGACCTAGAAGTTTCCAGCAGGTTGAAAGTTATTCAGTTATTTTAGGAGAAATTTTTTTTAGAATTCTAATACTGGTCATTTTTCTGCTCACCTCAGGAAATTTTAGTTCTGATATCACTCACCTAATCCCTCTAAAAGTGACTGTGAAAAATAAGAAGGGAGTCATTCTTTGAATTTATTATATGGGAATTTATTTCTTCATAGTGAACAGGTTAGTCAAACTAGAGAAGAGGGAGAAAAGACGAAGAGGATGAATCAGCTAGAGGAATATACCCAATAGGGGGATTACACAAAGCTCCTGCTGTCCATGTCCTACTATGCTTGGACAGGTAGACAGGGTCTAGAGGGCCCCACTGAGAGGCTGTCAGGATGGAGAAAGGAAAGTACACAGGGCAAGTGGGGAGTGGGAGATTCAGCATCTGACAAGTTTTCTGTGAATAAAGAAGAAAACAGCAGTTATTTCTCCTCAGACAAAACTGTTTGGTCTGGGGAACTTCTGCTAAAACAGCCTATTTTGCTTAGCTGGGCTCTTTTTTATTTAACCATATTTTGTGAATTTCATTTTTCATGCAGGCCTTGCCTTTGTTTTGAGAAAGAATCAGCCATTGCTCATATTTCCTGGGGATTTGCCTAGTCCTGCTTCTTCACTTGGGACTATGCCAGTAGGCGCTACCATCCCAATATCTAAAAAACAATCTCTTGAGTATTGACTATCTCATGGATTAAAAAGTCAAAACTCCTAATTCATGTAGTGTACTAATAAGAAGGAGTTCTCATGACAGACTGAAACTTAGTTATCATAGAACCATAGAACCATAAAATTTCATTAGTCTTAAAGATGTGGGACTTCAAGTTGGAATTGGTTAATATATCTAATAATCCAATACATCTAATACATATTCCCTTTGGTGTCTCAATATCTGATTTAACTTTTTAAGAGCAAAAGGATTTTCCTTTCTGGTTCATCATGTAACTTTTTTTTCATTGTAGAAACTTGTAATCTCCAAAAAATAATGAATAGGGTGTGCTTTCTCTATCTAACCAATTACATTTGTAACATTGTTACTAAATGTTAATGGGCTGTTTAAGATCCTTCATAAGATACTGGACTTATGATAACAATTTTCATGGAAATGGACTATATCTCTTTAGCTGCAATATTTTCTAGATGGAAATAAGTCCATATTTAATCATAACCTAGTGTATATTTAAATGTTGGACCATATATCCTAACAGTCTATTCTACTTTTTGCACTGTTTATTTTTAGTGTTTTATATAATCAAATACCACTTGGTATAATCAAATACCACTTGATTTCAAATGTAATCTTTTAGAAACCAGCAGATCATGTAATGCAGAGGTTAATTCTCTCAAATCACTGGAAATTATTTCATAAGAAAAGATTGAGAACGATTGCAAAAAGAGAGTGAAACATATTCTTTATTCCCTGAGTTGGCTTCTGTCAGTAATCTGTCTTTTAATTGACAGGAATGTATTACCTCTAATAAATAACATCCAAATTTGGTAGCTTCTACATGTCCCTTCTACATTAAGGTAAAAATAGATACATCTAAGAAATTGGTCATAGCCTGGGTCCTTTAAGTTAGTTATGACGTGGTGCTTTGTGATATGCCAAGAGCATACCAACGTAGATTTAAATCCCAGACTGGCTGTGTACTATATATGCAAATTGAGTATGCAGTTAACCTCTTTGGTTTAGTTTTCTTATTTGTAATAACAATAATAATTCCCACTGTTATCAACTTATGAGGATAATTTTTTAGAGAGGGAGGAGGAAAGGGCAGAAGGAGAGGGAGAGTCTTTTTTAAAGATTTTATTTATTTATTTATTTATTTATTTATTTATTTTAGGAAGAGAGCTTGAGCTGGGGGAGGAGCAGAGGGGAGGGAGAGTGTAGGGGGCTGAGTGAGCGGTGGGGAAACATCTCAAGCAGACTCTCTGCTGAGCATGAAGCCCAATATGGGGACTCAATCACACAACCCTAAGATCATGACCTGAGCCAAAACCAGGAGTTGGATGCCTAACCAACTGAGCCATCATGCACCCCCGATGAGGATAAAATTAAACAATGTAAATGTGCATCATGAATCAGAAGCTGTTAAATTAATGTTTGTCAGTAGCAGCATTAGTAAGACTGGTAAAAACAGTGTCACCATTATTATTTTCATGGTCTGTTTTCATGGCCAGACTCTAATTTTCCAATCTTTATAATAAATGGGATTTTTTCTGTTAAGTAAATTTTCTCTTAATAGGGCAGTAATACCCTCTGAGGGGATAAAATACCAATTATTCAGTGCTAGTTCTTTATAGATAATTTATATCTTTACTGTTAAGGAATTTATAAATCCCATATTTTAATTTTTTTCCATATTTAAAAAGTAAGAAATATGGACACATACTAAGTGGTTATCTTTGCCTTCTGAAATATACTCAGAATATGGCTATAGATATTCATTCTAAACATTAATATTCCATTTTTATGGTGTTGGACTTACAAAGAAGTTATGATTGCTTTAAAGCATTGCAAATGAAGATTTTGTAAACCTTCATTACAAAACCCAAGAAAATACTTTCAAAAGCCAGAATTCTGAGAGAAATTCTAAATGTATTTTTATGAAGTAAATTCTATATCCATTTTGAAAACTTGGATATTTCAGGATAAAAATAGTATTAAATAAGCATTTAAAAATGAGTCAAAAGAGGGGTGCCTGTGTGGCTCAGTCGATTAAGCATCTGCCTTTGGCTCAGGTCATGATCTCAGGATTCTGGAATCAAGCCTCACATCAGGGAGGCTACTCCTCCCTTTCCCTCGGCCTGCCACTCCCCTTGTTTGTGTTCTCTCTCTATCTCTATCTATCTCTCTGTCAAGTAAATAAATAAATAAAATCTTTTAAAACAAACTGAGTCAAAAGAAAACTAGAGAAGATATGCGGTAAGAGTTTCTAGTACTAACAGCCTGGGGTAATATTAAAAAGAATATTATGCAGTCAATGAGAAGTATCCTAAGCCTAAGATGTTTTTTGAAAGTGGTTGCTTTCATGCATAGTCAACTGGAGTGTGATATAATTTTTTCTTTGGGTGACTAAGAAGCACTTGAATCTTTCCAATTGGCATCTTTCCAACGTTTGTATCTTTCAAATTTTTGTATCAAAACACAACTCAGGGATAATAAGGGATAATAAAAGCAATAGCAATAATAGGTACCACCTGTTGAAAAAAAATATGCAAAATACTATTAAGCACTTTGCATATATTCCTAATTTAATCCCCACAAACAACACTATGAAGAGATCTTATTGACATTTTATAGATGAAAAAACAGAGATCAAGGCAAGTGACTTGGTCTGTTTCTTTTCATTGAGTCATAGCATCTCCCTTTTTTTTTTTTTTTTTTTTCAGGAGGGGACTAACTAGCCTGCCCCATGCCCTTTATTAGAAAAGTCATGAATGTTTTGGGTCCTTCGTATCAGAAACACATCTAACCCTGTATCCAACGAGCAGTTTCCATTTTTAAAAAGATCAATTTTACTTACATTTTGATTACTCCCATCTATTTCTAGTAAATATTGCTTCACAGCTGAGAAAAAGATATAAAATGGATATATTTGAATTCAGGGCCCTACCCTTCCCTCCCTTTCCACCTTCTGTAAGAACAAAGAGCCAGCTGAGAGATGGATTGGGAATAGAAGAGTCTAAGAAAGGAATACCAAATACTAGCCATTAGTCCTTTGGTAGCTGTGCTAATGTGTCCAGTACAATGGCCATTGTCTTCTGGTTTAATTTTGTGAATTTTTGGAAGGATGGTCATACGAAATTTTTAGAAAGAGCTATCCTCCTTTTTTGATTTTTAAAATATACCATTAAAACTTCTTCCCAAATTGAAATTGGTTATTATGTCTTCCCGAGTTTTTCATAATTTTAGTTTTATTTCCAGTCTCCATCTCCCATCTTTGGTCTCAGTGCTAATAGCAGAAATACCTAGTAACCTGCCACCTCCTTCACAGCCTTCCCACTTTCCCTGATGGCTGACTTGTGTATTTGGAGTGGGGTTTGTTGTTGTTTGTTGTTTTTTGAGTTTTTAAACAAGTTTAAAAACTTGTTTAAAGTTTTTTGAGTTTTGACAAGATCTGCATGATCTTGTCACACGCATTAAACTAAACCCCACTGAGGGCAGGGAAAGCCAACTAACAACTTTATCAATTATGTTCTTAATCTGAAAGTCTTTCTCTTGATTAGTCCTGCAAGTTCATAGAAACATGCCTCTAAGTGACATTTATGGAGATCTCTATGCAAACTTAAAGGTCATAATTTTTTTAAAAGGATGATCATCCAGAAAGCATATGTAAGCAATAGGTATAAAACTTTTGTAACTTACATAAGCAGTAGGTACAAAAATCCCATAATTCTGTAGTTCAAAATAATGAACTGTCACTCATTACTTGGTTAACTGTTATTTGCTGCATGATTTTAAACCCAGAGTTTTTTGGTAACAGCACTATGAATGCAGTGGCCTTTTCCCCAGCTGTATAATAAAGCTTCATACAGAAGAAAACATGGCTTCTACTCAAGTACCACATCTCATACAGAGCTTTCCTCATACTGAGCATTCCAACAAGAGCAGACCAACTGATTTGCCTAGCAACATCATTGGCAACCAGTTCAAAGCCACCACGGGAGTGTTATCAGTCTTCATAGTTAGCAGGCCTTCATGTTCCAGTAAAGGGAAAGCAGAAATGGCCAATGAGCAACTCCCAAAATGCTTTGGGACCTTCGTCATCCACTGACCATCCCCATCCGGGAATTGCTAATGTGTAAAATCAGTACGCCTCAAGGACTGCAGGCTAAATTGCTCACTTTTATGTGAGTGACTTTATGATGCTGTGTGCCTTAAGAATAATTAAATCAGCCAGGATGTAAAGATAAGTATTTGTTGGCTTTTTCGCTTTTCAGAATATGAAGTTATATCCAGAGAAAATGGGTCATTCAGTGGGAAGAACAAGTCCATTCAAATTACAAATCAAACCTTCTCCACAGTAGAAAATCTAAAACCAGATACAAGGTAAGCCACCTGTGCTATTACAGGTGAATTCTGAGAGTGCGAAAGTTGTAACAAAGGAATGAAACTACATCATCTGTCTTTGTCTTACGGGACAGTCTAGTTTGCATTTCATTCTTTGGCTTACTGTGCATAGCAGTATATACCTCTAGAGTCATGTTTTGCAAATACGCAAGTTATTGGTGGGGACACAAGAGCTAACGAGGTGGTCTTGTAAGTTAGCACTCTAGGTGAGAACATTGAAAAATAGAAGGTCGTTAATACCAAATGTTGATAATTAAGTACCAAAATTCAGAGGAGGAAAGTTTTGTAGACCAGACACAACTGGAGTGTGTATGTTGTAAACTCAATTTGAAAACAAGAATTTGGCTGCCATGTTGGCAAGAGGAGAGCAAGGAAATAAAAGCTATGTAACAGATACAGATGAAAGTTTGTGATAGATAATGCTTCAAATAACTACAGACCATTCCCAGGCGTAGCAGTCCTTTGCTTTGGGGATCTTTTTATCACAAACAAATGAGAATCAATTTTTGAAAACAGAAATATATAATATTGACAATACAGTAAACAACTTTTCTTGGCATCTCCTATTACACATTCGTACCGGGTTGTTTATATTACTGTGTGGTTTTGTCATTTCTTTTGAAATATAAAATACCCAATATTTTGTCAGCTCATTGTATTGCAAGAAAAATAAGGGCCTTACACACTTCTAGAAATGTAATAGAGAAGGTTTTTTTTGTTTTCTGTTGTTTTGTTTTGTTTTACATGGATAAATCATCACATTTACTGTTCAAGGAGATTCTCGAATGATACAGCCAAGAATTTCCTTAATAAAGACAATGTACTAAACTCATTTTGGGACTAAATATCCCTCTCTGGAAAATCAGTTTCCTTTCTCAAACTCCAGAACACTGTTTGATAAGCTATCTATGCATTCAGCTAAAATGAAAACATCCTCACATCTTAACTTATAGTAAGCCAAGCAAACCAGATCACTTTTCAGAAAGACACAATCAGGAGTTTTTCCAGATTGAATATTTCATAGCTTGATAAAGTTTCTTGGCATTTAAAAAGATCAGCAGAGGCAAAGATTGGAACACCAGCATTAGAAATTTTTTCATAAATTTTACTTATATCTCTCATTGTCATCAGTTGATTAAATTGAATCAGGTATTGAATATGACACACAAAAGAGCCTTTTTAGTTCTGATAACAAAGAACCTCTTTTATGTTTTCAGGAAAAAGAGAAGCATCTACTTCATTCTAGAAGGTTTGCTGTGTATAAACTGTAGTCTTATACTGCAAATATAATACTTTCCGCAAGCATTTTTTTAACGTTCTTTATTTTAAGCTGTCATATGGAAAATTTTACAACTGCTATTTTTTTAAAGGCTGTAAGTTAGCCAAAATAAGCATGTATTTTAGTAAAAGCCCATTTGATGATCTTGGTTCTGTTTCCTTAGGGAAATTAACAGAGAGAGAGAAACTATTTTTAACATAATTATTTTAAGAAAAGAGTAAAAAATCAGTTATTTAATTTGGCCTTTTTAATAGGTGGATTTGGGCTTACAGAATGTAGATGTTTTACAGTTTCTTGCTTTTTATTCCATTTAATACATTGAAAACCATTTTGAAAAGCATCTAATTTCTAAATGTTCGTGTTCCTTTTCTGAATTAGGCAATCCTCAGATCTTCTCAGAGTTCACCTATTATTCATGATCAGAAAATAATTTTTTCAGTGACATTTTTAAGCCTGTCTTGTTTATAAAAGATTTATGTTTCCATTCAGCTAAGATTTGTCAAGTGCCAACAGTGTGGTTGGTGTTGTGACTACAAACATGAATAAATGTGGTGCCCGCCCTTGAGAAGCTTGAGGAAGTGGGGTAGTAACAGATAATTAGTAACCGATTATTCTACACAAAGTGGTGAGAGTTCTGGTAAAAATATATACAAGTTGCAAGGGAAGCCGAGAGTGGGTTGCACTTTACAAAGGCTGGGGAAGTTAGGAAGACTTCCTGGAGTAGGTGATAACTGGGCTGAGGCTTGAAGAATGTATAGGAAGGAGTTAGCTGGGTAACTGTAGGAGGGAAAAGAAATACCACAGAGAATAGTCCATGTCCATACAGAGGCCCGAATGGCATGGTTATGTGCAGTGAAGAATCAGCTACTTTCACCAGTGAAAGGGGTGAAAAGTGGACGGAGGCAGTAAAAGCAACAAGGGGTGGAGGTGAGGCTATGGAGGGCCTTCTGTGCTAGATCAGGAAATTTGGCCAATAGATGGGGAGACCCAGAAAGATGGTAACTGGGAATGGCTTGCTCCAAGTTTCATTTTAGTATTGTTATGATTTTGATTTAGATGGAATAATCACTTTTGATACTAAAGCAACTTATAATGAGTAACATTTGGTAGAATAAATCGAACAAAACTTTTTGTTATTGTCTTGCAAGAGTGCCATTTTGGCATCTTGCCTAATTGGCCAAGAGGCACATAGGAGACAAAAGTACCCTGGGCTAAGCTGCATTTCATTCTGGAATTACATGACTAATGAGTCCTGGAGTTTACTTCTAGCTTCTGGTTATAGTTGTTGTAGGACTTATGCTAATTATTTCTGGAGTTTATAGCCTTGTCCCTTTCACCCCGCCCTAAGGTGTGTGTCTTGCTTGTTACTCCTGTCCTGATGAAGGCCTGATGGACCTTCTAAGGAGGGACCCCTACAACTACCCAAATCTCAAGACAAACAAAGCCCAAAGGAGGCTCTTTCTGGACTTGTCCCTAAGAAAAAAAATAATACTAAGTTTTGGAATCCCTGAAATCGGAATCCCATGCCAGTTTTGCCAGATGCCATAAATCTGGGTCCACTCAGTGTTTCTATTTGGCTTATTTTACATTATTTTTAGAGTTTGATATGATTGAATGAAATCCATTCATATATAAGGACTGTTTAAAAAGAAAAAAAGGACTTTCAATATTCATAGCTAGGACTGTGCTAATAGTCCCTGCTGGGTCATGATTTAAAGGTTGTATATTAGCAGTTTGAAAACATTTCCTCACTGGTGACAGAAATGATACACATGGATATAAAGGTGCTCTGATGAAAACTGTTTAGTCTACAGTTTGTGGAACTTTGTGGTGACCAAGTAGTTCAGCAGATCCCAGTCTCCAGCGAGTGGGAATGCATTCTGTGCTATCTTAAAGGTAGGCTAGAGATTAATGTGTTTATTTAATAGGCAAAAAACTGTTTTCAGCTGAAATATTATGGGTTGAAACCCCTATTAATCAAAATAATGAGCTAAGGAAGAATAAAGTGAAGTTGAATTATGTCATTTAATTTGAGATTTCTGAAGCCTAGAAGCAGCTGGGGAACCAAAAGTAACACCCATGAAACAATGGGAAAGCGTGGTAAGACAGCATAAAAGGTCACATAGAACCTACCCTGAAGTCCTGCAATTTAAAGGAGGGAAAGCCTCACAGAATACTCGAGACTAGACCTTGATGATAAAGGATATAACTCAATGGGAAAAACTGGCAAAAAAAGAAAGAGCACCAACAGTATTGTTTGTTCAGATCAAGGCCACGTGTATGACTTGGGTGAATTACAAGTAGTCCTCTGACTTACTCCTGACAGGGTTACAGTCAAATTAATAAAATTGTGAGTGCCAAATATAGGTTGGTTGGCTTTTTCTTTTATTTTCTTTTTTTTTTAATGCAAGATTTTTCCATAATATCTTATGTTCTGAAGGCAAGATATCTTTCCATTATTTCTTTTCAGGCCCAACCATGATCCAAGATTAATGCTCATAAGAGACACGCTATAAAATTAAGAGGAAGTACGTATAGGACGCAGCCCCCAGCTGGGTTTTATTACCTATACAGAATGACTTTAGTCACATTTCACTGCTCAGGGAAAATTATATCCCCAACAGACAAACTAAATTATAGTTGTTAAAATCTACCACCACTGCTGCCAGCCCTCAGTGAGGCTCTGGAATTCCCTATCTGAAAAGCTAGGAGATAATAACTTTTGAAAGAATTACAGTAGCTGTGTTCCAATTCCAGGAAACACAGGTATATAATTTATTTCACTATCATTTTCCATCATTCGTCTCCACTGAAAAACATGAGATCTAAAATAAGGTGATAATTACTGGCCCACCCATTAATACACCGTGGAAAGGGAGGAGTAGAGCTTGACCATAGAACATTTAACCCAAAAGAATCAATGCAGAGAAAATAGATCTCCAGGGCTGTTAGGTTAAAAATGCCAAGTGGTCTAGAACCAAAAGTACAGTGGACTCTCTTACGTTTTCTCACCGTGTATGCCTACCTCCTCCCCACCTGTTGTTACGACATAGCCAGGTTCTTATCTCCTCCATAGAAGCTCAAAAGATACCCACAGGGAGGGACCAGCCAGCAGCTATCTTGCTGCAGGAGAGTCTGGAGAGCTGCATACCTGGTGCAAGATGTCTCTGTTAGAGAGTGGAGCTCCATGGCTGTTCTGGGGCACCTGGTTGCAGTTCCAAAGGGGACACAGGAAGGACATCCCCAGCCTTGCCAACAAATGCTTGCAGCTTCTGTGGGCTTTGGTCATAACTTTGCATGGGGAAGAGGGGCCATGGGGTGCAGTCATAGCTGTTTTAGTCAGGGGCAGCAGGAGAGATGAGCTGACAGAGGTGCACTGCTGTGCCACATCTCCTTCTCTTTCTTTTCAGGACCCCTCTCTCACCCCCTAGCCCTAAAATACTAAGAAAATATCAATATGTTGAATCAGTACCCAAATAGCCCACTCCCCAATATTTATTTTCCATTTATTTCCCCTGTGAAACCTCAATGTGTGGCTCTTGCGGGGCTGAAAGATAAAGAAAAATACAAAGAAGAGCCTCTCCTATCTGCAGCCAACCACCTGGTATGCAAAGACCACTATGATTATTTTTAGTTCTATGAACAGAAGGACTGATCAAGTATATGTCCAACAATAAGTCTTGTACCCCTGCTTAAGAGG